ATTGACGACGCTGCCAAGCAGGTCGCAGAGTCGGATGCCAACACCAGCACTGATCTCGCTTTCGGCGCTTCTTTCATTCGCCTCTTCGTTCTTCGAGGCGAGACTGAGAACGCTTTCATGATCCGTATTTCGCACGCACAATACGATGGTGTCTCTCTGCCCGAACTCCTCCGCCAGCTTGAGCTTCGCTACCGTGGCCTGGAGATCCCCGCGTCGGAGCCTTTTGAGACTTACATCCAGCACCTCTCAACCGTTAAGCCTCAAAACGTGGAATACTGGCGCAAGAATCTTGAAGGATCATCATACACTGAGATCGCTCCTGCTGCGGAGCCTCAGCAGAAGACTGCATTCATGACCAAGGATGTTGACATCTCTGGAGCCTCACCTCACACAACACACGCGATGCTTCTCACTGCTGGCTGGGCCAAGGTACTGTCGCAGCACCTCAATGTCTCCGATGTCACATTCGGTGGTATTGTCTCCGGTCGCGACGTCGATGTCGCCGGTATTGACACCATCATGGGTCCCTGCTACCAATACCAGCCCGTCCGCGTCAAGTTCGAGCAAAACTGGACAGCTTCACAGCTCCTGGACTACGTGCGCAGTCAATCAGTCGAGGGCAGCCAACACGCTACGCTAAGCTTCCAGGAAGTGCTCAAGGAGTGTACAGACTGGCCTGCAGACACTCCCTTTTATGGGTCTTTTACCAACCATCTCAACAAGGAGTTCTTCGACTCGATTCCTTTCGCTGGAACGAAGTGTCGCGTGGATTACTCCATTCCTCACCCCGAGCCTGCCACACCACCTCGTATTGTATCATTTGTTGAGAACGGTAGAACTCAGATTGGTATTGAGGCTGACGAGGAGCGTCGGGAGTTCTGGGAGGCAAGGGTGGAGGAGCTGGCGCGTGTTATTGAGGGGTTTGTCAAGAACCCTAACGATTTGATCTAGTTTTGGGAATTTTCGCATGTTTATTGTTTTACGGATAGAAAGGGCATAAGAATTGGTTATCTATTTCAGTTACTTCAAATAAAGCGATTCACATCGAATTTATCATCAGGCTCGTCCGAATCTTCAAAAGGCATGAAGCTTGCTTTGATCCAAGGTCAACCCCACCAAGTTACTGAAAGAGGCTCCTAAGATTGCCCTAAACTTGCCTAAAATTATCATTACAGGGCCTAAACTCTTCTCACTTCAGTGGACTGTCTTGTGTTCAAGGGATTATTTGCACCACGCTCTCTTCAAACCTACTAATCTTCCGATGATGCGCATGACCTGCGCTTGCATCATAGGGTCTCATTGTAAAGTGAGACTATCAATACGTCGAATCGTACTATATCAATCGGCTATTTGTTGTTCGCCACGCCTTCATTCACCGCATCATCTGAAGTGTACTCTGAGCTGATGGCGTCCACTATGAACCGGCTCCGCTGTCGCCAGATGCGGGCCAGAAGTTAACGGCAGAGAGCTGAGAGGAGTTCTCGAAGTATTCATCTACTCTCAAATCAGGTGTTGCAGTCTTTATTGTGTTACATTATGCATCCATCAACACGAGACGAATCAATTGGCGAACTTCAATGCTTATAAGTTATGGCTTCTTTAATATTAAATGCTGGTGTATTATTTAATGGTTCTCAGTCTATGTCTATAAAGTGTATGAGGGAATCTCCATCGACCCATCTATGACATCTATGGGGGGAAGGCCCAAGTATTTCGGTCCTTTAGTCAAACGCCAATGCACAAATCCCATAAATCCAAAATTCAGTTCGCTAAACATGATGGCAAGCAAGTATCCTCAAGAACCCAACTGCAGATAAAACGATTCACATCGGCACTATTTGATGTTATCGTGCTCCTATGACGGCTCGCCGCCATTTGTAATTGTCCGATTATCATCGTCATTGCGCAGACGCTGCGCGGGGAGGTTGGCCTCCAGGTCAAGATCCTTTACCGGTCTCAGTCCATGTGATGTTTCCTGCCGTGTCTGCTCGGTGCTGAATCGCTCAAACTTCTCGTTAGGAGTATCTTGCAACTGACTCTCAGCCTCGGCCTCAGCCATCAAGCACCTCTTGCGGACTGACCATGTGCTTCCAGCGTGGCCGACAACCCACCAAGAGAACAAGATGGGTAGAGTAACCCCAATGTTGGCACGGCACCCAGACCAGATACCGACGAGAAGAAGCCACGCGTTATGGGCTGGAAGTGCCCACGACCAATGGTAGAACCCAGGCGTGAGCTCAAATGGGAAGACGGTTGACCCGATATTGAGAATGATCCATGTAAGTAGGAAGAATGCAAAGAACTGCATAGGAACTATAGTTGCCAGCACTGTGTCGATGACAAGGTAGTTGATGTCCATGTAGAACCAGAGGCACATCCAAGTCTCAAAGAACTGAGCAGCATCAACGCTCCAATTCTCGCGGAAGGCCCAGAAATAGCCAGCCATGCCTAAAGCACCGATGAGGGTATAAATCTTTCCAGTGATGAAGCGGAAAATATAAACATCTCGCTTTGAGTACGACTGGAGGACCTTGGTAGAAGTTGTAATGCCGTTAAGTCCCATCTGGAAGAAGAAATGCATGAGAATGCCCATCACTAGTGAGACAGTATTCAGAAGAACTCTTGTACCCTGCTCGGTCGGCATGATGTTCCAGATGTTGGCATGGAAGGGTCGAAGGAGTGTGCTCGCTGAGGTAGGGTTGGTCATGTTGACGGCCTTGAGGGCATCGGGAGTCGCAAGGGCATACATGGTTGCGGCAGCGCCAACGAGGCTCTGCATGTTGCCTTGAAGAGAAGAGAAGATGGAAGGATAGTATGCGCCGTTGTAAATCGTAGTGACAGCGTCTTGTGGATCATAAACAGTAGTGTTGTCGCCCTCGATGGTGGACAAAAGACGATCAGAGGCACCAGGATGAGTGTAAATAGCACCCCAGTAGCCATGGTTACAGACAGCGTCGCGAACCTTTTCAGGGGTATCATACTCGGAGGACGAACCGAACTCAACGGAAGGGAACTTGTCTGACTGGAGGGTATCATAAGCACCGGAAATGGCCTTTCCGATATCGCTGCCGTCGAAATCGATCGCGAGGATCTTGAGGTTATGCATTCGTGTCGAGGACTTGAAGAGGGAACCGAAGAGGTAGGACATATTTGCTAGGAACAGAAGTTGAACCATTAAGGCCGTCATAACGACGGGCATTACATAGGTCTTCATCCTGACGGATAATGGTGTAGACCGCGAAGAGATTCGGTTAGATGATCGAGGTGGTATTAATGTCATGGTGAGAATATGTTGTCGTCAGCTGTAGGATAAGGTCTTGGTGAGATGAAATGGAAGTACTGAACGAGACTTGTCTTGATTAAAGGTAAACAAAAGAAATATTGTTTACTTATAAGTCTAAAATATAAACATCATGCCATTCCCCTGAGCTGTCAACGGGTTTGTGTTACATGCCGCTGCCGCCAAACTAAGCTGGCTTCCCGAATCTCCGTTTATTAAGCCTCTCGGGCTCAGACCCGGTGATAAAGTCATGCCAAATCTCACAATGCGATTGGATCAGATTCATGACTCAGCGGAAGTTGGGGTTTTCGGATTCGGTCCCCACCATTCCCGGAAATTCGGACTTCGCGCCAAACGCAATTTCCATAGAGCGAGTCCAGTGGCTTCATATGCATAGACGGTAAATCTTGATTAGAGATTTCTTTTTGCTGCCTCATTGGCGATATAGTGGATCTTTTGCCTCGGGTACGCGCATTCGCTCCCGGCAGTTGAGTAAGGCTGAGCAGTAAACAGATAGCATGACGTATGTATGGACTGAACAATAACTAGATCTAATCATGCTCAGAAACGACCCACTCCCTGTCTTCTTCTGGCTTCTTCTTCTTCTTCTTCTTCTACTTTTGAGGAATATGGGTCTCTTCTACCCGAAATGCCTTGGGGTTGGAACGAAGTAACCCCAGGAGGGTTCCTCATTGAATCCCGGCTCCGGGGACCAAAACTTTGAGTGAATCGGCTTGAGACTTCCTTTAGACTTCCCAGCTCTGACCTCAATCATTGTATTTCTTATGTAAGCTCAGAAATCTCGTCCTGTGTGTGATTGAATCTCGCCCGGTGCCTTTTCGTTATGTCTACGAAATGCGCTTCAACTGATTGGCGCAAGTATCTTTCGCCCGTCTCTACTGCTGTTATCTGTCGCTCTAAGTCCTGCCTCGATTCAAAGGCTAATGATCCACTCTTCAAGAGAGGCTTTTGCAAGGCTCTGAGCTCACCTTGCAAGCGATCCCACCGGGTGGCATAGTGGTTGTTGAGGACAGTCCCCGTTGCGGTTTCATCAATCTCTTATGCTCTTCAACAATTTCGTGCTGGAGTTGGAAGGAAACTGGACCTTGAGCATCAGAAATAGCAATAAGACCTGAAAGAATAGAGAGGGCCAAGCAGCGGAATGGGATTCACAGAAACAGCCAACTGCATAAAAAATATCATTAACTCAACTGACGGTGCTTTTCTCCGTACAGACTTCCTTTCTTTCAGACACCGTGTTTCATAATCCCGACCAAAACCGAACTGACACAATGTGTGACGTATTCCTAGGCCCTAGGCCGAGGTCTAGCGACATATTGATAGCTATCATGGGAATGGCTGGGTCTGGAAGGAGCACTTTCATCTCGCTGTGCACTGGACAAGATGTTCTTGTTGGCCATGATCTGCAAGCTTGTACATATCGGCCATGTCATTCATTGGTTGACACAGTCCCGTCTTAACACGATGCAGGTACACAACACGTCACTGCATACCAATGCAAATGGTCAGATACCTCTGACATATATCTTCTGGATACTCCGGGGTTTGATGACACGAATCGATCAGACACCGAAGTTCTCAAAGAGATTGCTTTATGTCTTACCAAGACGTATGAAGACAATATCAAACTAAGCGGGATCCTATATCTCCACAGAATCACAGATCATCGTATGGGCGGATCTGCCAAAAGAACCTCATGATGTTTCGGAATCTCTGTGGTAAGGACAGTCTCATGAACGCCATTCTCGTCACTACTATGTGGGAAGATGAGTATGCAGCAATAGGAGAAAGGCGAGAGCAAGAGCTGATCGCTACGTGTGGTTTCTGGGGAGCCCTGGTCGAAGAAGGCGCTCAAATCAATCGCCATAATAAAACCCGCTCATCCGCCATGTCCCTACTCAGAACGATTGCCAGAAACGATCGAGTCACTATTTCCATTCAAAAGGAAATGGTCAGTGAGCACAAAGATTTGAATAAGACGGAAGCTGGTATTGGCCTTAACTCAGACTTCCTTCTAGCTGAACAGAGGGTCATGAAGGAGATGTCAGAAGCCCTCGAAATGCAGAGGCAAGCCAGGAAGGACCAGGATGAAAGGTCAGCCGAAGAACAACGCCAATATCGGGAGACGATGCAGAAAAGGGTTGACCATCTCAATCAAGGACGAGAGAATCTCAAGATAGGTCTAGAAGAGATGAAGGAACAGAGACATCGCTTCAAAGTACTGGAGGGCAAGTATCGGAAAAGCCAAGAGCGAATGCGCCACAGGACAAGATCGAGAATCTGGAAGAGCAACACAGGCTCCGAGAGCAAGAGATGCTTCAACGAACCGAAGAAGCCAGTAGGGAATTCAAGAGTCTCCGTCTTCAACTAAGCGAAAGAGGCAATGCTAGAATGGGAATCTTGAGTATGAGACCTCGAAGCTCAGGGTCTCATTACTTAACTGGCTCCAAGGATTTAGTGTTGTTTCTGTCAGGAAAGGGCTTCTTTGGAGGCAGAAACGGAAATCAGCAGTAAGTGAAGGCCATTCGAATATCGACCAGATCTCTAATAGATTTTAGCCGCTACAATAGGGATCTAAAACGACTGAGGGACGAAAATGACATACGCAGAATTTGTGCGCTTGGTACCAATGGATCATGGCTCTACCACTATCATACTGGAAGTAACTTTGGCTGCTGGACATGTAAGTTGAAGCTCAGTTAATCGATATAGATGGTGATTAATATCTGGAGCAGGTTGGTCCGACTCATTTGCAACTAAGTATCCCGAACTTGCTGCTTGGCTAGATAAGCACCAAAAGTTTGTGTGTCCCCGACACATAAGTCTCGGTGCTGATGGGTTCTTCTACATCGCCATAATGGACAACTCGATTCATTGGCGTATACCAAAGTCCATGTCCAAAAGGATCACCGGATATATTGGTGAAAGGACCGTAAGGCCCATCCAGAGACTTTGGCTTGGTTACAATCACGATTACGTGGCGGAGATTTCTGACGATGATTATCTCTGCAACATCGAAAATTACGACAACCTTGAAGGTCTTGTGGGCGATATTGATAGCGAAGGGGCGTCATTCATGGTTCGGAAATCCCCTCACTCTAGACCCCGTTTACTTACTTGGATTAAAGCAGCTTGCTATGAATATTGAAGATCCTAGAGGATACATCTTGGTCCAGGAGTTAGGGGAAGCATTTCAGAATATCGGAACAACTGGCAACCAATTTGACGAGGCAAGATGGTAAAGGTTCAGAAATGACAACGAGTATGATTGGTTGGGGCGCGGGGAGGTAGTTAAAATTGTTCATAGTGAGATAAGCTCTTAGGCATAAGTCTCAACTATAAATAATATATCTAGCTTATAACTTAGATATTATGTTAAAATATCAAACTTATTAATATACTATAAAGCTAACATCATAAGAATATATATAATAACTTATTTAATTACTATTATAAAATATAAAAAAGCATAATATAATTATTAAAATAGTTTAATTTCAAGTCAAAAAGAAATATTTAAAAAAGAAAATAGTTTTTTTAATAGTTTTATTTCTTTTACTTTTAATATTAATATATTAATATATTCCTTATTAAGCTAGGCGACCTCTAAGCTATTAAATCCCAGCATAAAGAAGAGTATAGCTTATATTAGCTTTAAGCTGCAAAGGTTAAAATAAATGCTATTATTGACAGCCGGTGCAGGGAGGTAGATACTAAAGAGAGGCAATTAGAAGCCATAAGAAGACAGGGCTGCCAACCCATGTGTAATAACAAAAGCCACTATGGTATTAGGGGGATCCTGGTCGTTGAAACTCTAACTTAATTCATGTGAGCCCCCCTAGTGTTAGATAGATGTTGCCTACTTGCCACTCGGCACCTTCGGCGAAAATAAGATAAAAAATCCTGCATTTGGTACTGGCAAAGCCATCCGGTGTTCACGTAGACCAATGCCATATGGAATGTTATCCGAGTAGCCCGCATGAAGCAGGATGACGGGGCTCGAATTATTATTGGTCTAGATAAGGTAAAGAGCACAATCAAAGTATCTACAATCGAAGGAAGCGCTATGCTAGGCTATCTACTTGCGGCAAAGACGGCCGGTCTGCTTGATCACGTAGGCTGGGTGATCAGTGATGTACCAGTCCTCGCTACCGACAGCAGTAGGAGCATAGAAGACACCGTAAGGATCAATCTTCTGCTTTAGCTGGTAGAGCTTGGCATAGTTAGATCCGAAGTAAGACTGACCGAAGTCAGGATCCATAACATCACCCTCGTTACCATAACCACCACCACCGGGAGTGACGGCCTTGAGACGCTCCATGACACCATGGGTGAGTTCGTTGTTGACTTTGGCAATCTCCTCTTCACTATCGGTGTAGTTCCAGTTAAGAGCAGTGATAACAAACATGTTGGCGTCACGCCAGGCAGGGTTGGCAGAGTTAGGAGGAGTGTTTTGCTGCTTGGCATTGATGTTGTAGATAATCAATATGCCTTCGTCAGCAAGAATGCCCTTGAGAACGTCGATGGTGTTGTTGAGAAGCTTAGGGTCATTCCAGTTCTTACGGGGGATGAGACGAGAGCCGGAGCGACCATTGTAGTTACCGACGTTTTCAGCAGGGAAATGTGTCTTCCAGGCAGGGTAAAAGCGGTCATGCTCAAAGAATGTGGGCTTGGGGTCAACGCCAAGTTCCTTCCACTCATCAAGGAGGGGCTGAACAAGCTTCTTGAACTCGCCAACAGAGATGTTGGGGATCATCCAAGGGTTCATGGTCCAGAGGAAACTGCCGTTGCCAGCAGGGAACATAAAGCTGTAGCCGTAGCTGTTCTTGTCAGAGTACTCAGGGAAGCGACGCCAGTAGACGTCAAGGGCCTTGAAGAGAGCCTCCTGAGAGATGCCAGAATCCTTGGTATTGACGCTCCAGGTCATGCCAGAGAACTTCATCTTGGGATAGACTCGGACAGTCATGGAGACGACGACGCCCCAGGTAGCAGCACCACCACCACGGACAGCCCAGAAGAGATCAGTGTTCTGCTTCTCGTCGGCAGTGACGAAGCGACCATCAGGCGTGACGATGTCAACGCTGAGGAGCTGGTCGGCAGCAAGACCGGCGATGGGGCTGATGGGGGAGTGGCCACCACCGGGAAGATAACCGCCAGCGACACCAACATCCTATGAACTCATTAATATCTGCGAGCGATGGCCGACGAAGAGGAAGACTTACACGGCACTCTCCACCAACAGCAGTGTAACCCTCCTGGTCGGCAGCCAGGTACAGGTCCTTGACCTGGATACCGGCACCAATCTTGAAGGCGGGGCCAGCGTAGCTGCTAGCACCACGGTAGTTCTTGGTGAACTTGATATCCTTGAGGTGATGTGTCCAGATGCTCAAGGCACCAGCACCGGTGCTCTTACCAAGGAAGTCATGGCCAGTATTGTGAACGACAAGACGGAGGTTGAGGTTGCGAGCAAAGTTGACGGCGAGTTGGATATGGGCAACACAGGTGGCCTTGATGGAGTACAAGGGGAAGCCACCAATGGTGCACTTGGAGCCGGAAGCGGCGTTCTCGGGCTCACAGGTGGCACCCTCAAAGAGGGGTGACATGACCGAAGTGGGATCATCGATGCTTGACGATGTTAGTTTGACGCATGTATGAGACGGCACGGTCGAGGATGAAACTCACTGTGTCGTGCTGTTATGCCAATTTTCTGTAAGGTATTTGCAGCGCTCCTCGTTATAATGCTCTCCTTTGTAGCAGGCTGAGCCCAGGGGAACTGTGCTGATAAGGGCACCTCCGCTGAGAAGGTCGAGGACCTTCCAGATGAGTTTGTTGGGGTAAAGCTTGTCACCAGGGAAAACCTTGCACTTGGAGTCGACAGCAGCAGATCTCTTCTTGGAACCCTTGGTATCAGCAAAGTAGAAGAGGTCAACTTCACTGAGGTTGAGGTCCGTGAGGTTGGTGAGCACGGCATCGGTCAGCCGAGGGGTGTCATCGACAAAGGAATATTTGGACGATGCAGCCGGTGGCTCAGACCACGCAGGGGCAACATTCTTCTCGTTGGCGGCTACCCCACGTTTCAGATTAGCGATGGTTCATGAGAGCAAAAAGAAAATACGTTCTGCAGGCGAAGATGTTACGTACGGACCGCCTTGCCATCGACTTCGATCGTCTGACCAAGGGTGAAGGGAACAAGCGCGGCAAGCAGCCACGAAATGTGAGAGCCTTGCATCTTGTAGAGTTTTGAGGCTGGCTGCAGGGACGGGATAGAACGCCAAGGACTCAAGAGGGTTGGGGGAGGAAAGAGAGGGAAAGGGGAGAGATCGGCTTATGCCACATGGCTTTCTGTGCCGTCTATATATCGAACACTAGTTCTTATGTTACTACTGCAATCCTACAGAAAATACGCGAGTTGTCGTTGGCTAGGCGGTGTTTAGCACGTATTAGGTAGTAATCACCTTGATGCTTAGGTTCATGGGCCGAAAGATATCCATGCTTGACGATGGAGCGCGGTGGCGACGGTGGAGTAAGAGCCGCGAGGCATTGCCGTTGAGAGAGGAGAGAATATCATACATATCGGAAGCATCTGAACCCCGATTTCCTGTCAAAATCTGTGCCGATTGTGCGGGCGCTTTTCATCCCACTGGCGCCATTTCTTTCAGCCGCCACGGGGATGCGGCTTCTCGTCGCTCCAAGGGTCAAGGGTCCCTCTATATGTGGAAATGATGGTCGATTTCTAAGCTTGGCGTAGAATTACTGTTACATTATGCATAACCCTCAATTGGAGAGCCTTCGGGTCGAAGCCGCTTCCCGTCAGACTAGAATAGTCCATGACATATTCTAAACATGATTGGAGCGGGACCCCGCGGACGGACAAATTATACAGGCTGGGCATTCAAGACCGACAAAGTTCGAGATCCTGGTGATTAAGTGAAGCGAGAACTTAATTTTAAGCGGCTGTTGGTTGAGAATCTTTGTCAGAGTGGGATCGGCTTCGTAAATATCGTGCTAAAAGATGATGGCAATCTGCATGGAGAAAGGATCAACGGATTATCATTTAGCTGAGACAAGCGAAGGATCATCGTTCAGCCTTCCGGGCCTTGCGACTGGTTGGGAAGCTTGGCAAGGGTCGGGGATCCGGGGTAGATGTGAGCATCTCGGTAGTGTCTTCGTGATGGAGCTAGAGGAGCAGTAGAGGACCTCAAGCCCTGGGGAGCAAAAAAAGCCCAATGCCATCTTTCAAGGTGCGATAAATAAATGGTTAAAACTTGTCTAAGTTATACTAAAGTTGCCTAAGTTCATCCTAAAGTGGCCTAAGCATTTCTGTCACTTAGAATCGTAGTCCCGAGTTTCTTACTCCCCTGGCCCTTAGCGGTACTCGGTTAAAACATGCTCAGGGTCCAGCCATTATCCATCCCTTTGACATGCATGCTACGTTCATTCATGCATATGCATGTTGGTCCTTCGAGATTGTTGAAGAAAAATCGCGCGAATGCTGATCTTCACCTTTGATGGAAATGCTACGAGATCTAGCCTGAACCTAATCACAAATCACCCAACCATTGCTCTGGATTAACGATATTAGTTCACCCTCCCAATTTATAATGCTTGAAGACATCAGAACGAGTAGTTCGTATATGGTATCGAAATGAGCTATGTGGGAGGCTTCCAGCAGGATCTAGCGAAGGCGTCATGCCTCGTCCTGAAAACAAGTTATTGACAGCCCTAGTCTCAGCCACCACCGGAAGGCTTGGGCATCAACGCCTGCTTAGTTGCAAGCCACAATGTTCTATCATTTCTACTTTAGATTCTTCAACAACCAACATGCATGATCGAAAACACAGCTGAGGGGGAAACATATACGCGTTCTTGGCGGAACACCGGAAATCGTACCGGGAGTCTCTGCGGCACAGAAAACCTTAGCAGCCCTTCAGTCCAACCGCACACGGGACGTGTGACACACAAGTAGCTGAATCACCGGTAGTTGACACACAATTCCTTGATTCCAGAACCAGATGCACTGAGATATGCCGGCAATCACTTTCCCCTTTCGTAATCGTACATGAACAACGCTGTACTGTGCAATCCAGGAACCAGGAACTCGTCTTACTCGAAGCACCAAGATGGTGGTTCAGCTCCCAAACCACGGACCATGCTGCCCATGTTGGGTCACTTGGGTGACAATCCTCATGAACTCTGTTTCTCATCCTGTTTTATTGGTCTCCGCGTTCTTCGTGAAAGATTCTGCGTTGCTGGGTTCCCCTGGATATCTACTATACATAAATCTGAAGGGCCCATCTAAGCGATCGTCTTCATCTTGTGCCAATACCGTAACAGCGGTTCCCCCCTGGTTCGTCCTGTTACATGTACATACAGAGCGACGATCGATCGCAGCGGCCATCTTCGCCCGGATCAGCGGTCACATCGAGTCTGCGTCAATCTTTCTAGTGTCCCTTGACGTCCCATGGTGCAAACTCTGCTCCATCATACTTTTGACACACCATCTCTTTTACGTTGGCTTGACATTCACGATGGCCTCATTACATCTCTACACTCGAACAGGGCCGCCGCCCTATCCTAATCCTTTGAGTCTTCCTACGACTCCTCTTCAGCAAAAGGGCCTCGCTGCTCTTTTCCTCTTTCCAGCTTTATCGATCATCATTGTGTCTATGCGTATGTACAGTCGCGTGACCTCACGGACAGTTGGATTAGGTGAGTCTCTCTCATGGTCAGTGCAATCAATACCGAAAGCTTATCGTTGATAGATGACTGGCTCGTGCTGGCAGCTTTGGTAAGTTTGACACATTTTCATGTCTTGGCGTTGGTCTAACATCGACAGTTCTTTGCTTTGATGATGATTGGACCTCTCTACATGTGTACGTAGTTTTGAATCTTGTTGCATCAGAATGACCCTTTCGCTGACAATTAAACAGTTATGAAGCTCAACTACTGGGGATTCCACGAGCGAGATGTCCCAAAAGACCTTAATCTCGCCGCTGGCTTCTGGTGGAACTTTCTCGTGCAGATGTTCTACAACCCCGTCCTGGCACTCGTCAAGGCCTCGATTCTAGTATTCCTCCTTCGCTTGGGTGGTCATAAAACCAACGTGCGATACGCCATATACGGACTCAACATCTTTAATGCTGCGCATGCCGTCGCCATCTTCTTCACAGCTCTCTTTCAATGCTGGCCCATTGAAGCCAATTGGGACTTTCCCCTGCGAAAGGAACCTGGCGTTCATTGTGTCAACAACTGGTTTCATGTCATTGCATCTTGCATCACAATCGTGACAGACTTCTTGGTCGTCGCACTTCCTTTTTGGATCTTCCTTGGTCTAACCATGCGATGGGCAACCAAGATTGCTGTTCTGAGTGTGTTTTTGTTGGGTAGCGTGTAAGTAGCGCCTACAGCTTTGCGAGATAGATACTAATATTACCTAGAGTCGGTATCATCGGCATCATCCGTGTCATATCCATCTATCACCAACTCGTCGAGGGACCGAAACCCGGCGAAGACACCTTCTACTCCGTCCTTCCCGTCTGGGGCGCCGTCGAAACGAACCTCGCCATCATCTGCGCATCGGTTCCCGCTCTACGACCGCTTTTCCGACGATGGTTCCCTGCTCTCTTTGGAGGAAGCTCAGACGCACCATCTGGAACTCCATACGGCGGACGATATGCCAACAACTCCCGCGGGACAGGTGGAATGCGATCACATAACCACGATGATATTCGTCTAAAAGACCTTCGGGTTTCGCGAACTCAACATACTGAGATTCGTAGTGTTTCGCCGACCGGATCCGAGGAAGAGATCATGACATATAATGGAATTATGCGTACTACGAATGTTCAGGTTGCATATGAGAATGCTTCAAAGGCTACTGTGTCGGAGTCGAGGACTTCCAGTGAGATACGGTTTGAAAGCAAGGCGTCAGAGGTTAGGTCTGGGATTTAATTTCAGAAGATATCAGGTATGGGAAAACTTTGGTTGTATAGTAGTTACTTTCTTAATGATTACCTGGCGCTTTCACGTAGTCATTCAACCATATGTCCCCAGGCCCAAGCATGTTCCAATGGCTAGGCGAAACTCTTTTACCGCTGTTAATGTTATTATATCTATGCAGCAATGGTAACCCATTGATGAGTCTCGATTTAGATATCCGCACTAGGTAAATAGATAATCCTCTGTTGGTGTTACACTGTCAGTCTGGCACTTGCAGGGAATGGTACCCGTTTTCGTTGATGAGCACCAATGAAGCTTAGACTGGTACCTAATTAGGATAGTCTGCTTGGCTCAGTTGGTTAGAGCGTTGGTCTCATATTAGATTGTGATCTAATCTTAGATTAGAGTGATCCAAAGGTCGTGAGTTCGAACCTCACAGCGGACAAAAGTTTTGTCATTTTTTGCCTCTTCTTTCCAACATGAAAACATCATTCATTCATATACACTTTGTTGATTGCTACGCTACCATTGGTATACGCCATGCGAGTTGATATTCTTTTGCTTCTTTAGTATCATGTCTGGCGAAACTGAGTAAGTCGTGCTGCACGCCATTGTTCATTCACTAACTGTCCGTGATCATGTCTTGGTCTCACCCTAGACCCGCACGAGCCATTAAACAAATATCATCAAAATTAAGTGATCGCTAATCTGTAATTACCGTGTATAGTAGAACCCGTCATTACTCTATTCCCAGACACATTTCATTACATTACAACGCACCCACCGCCACCGTCCTTGCCATTGTCATCACCGCAACACCCGCAACAGCCATCGCAGTCACAACAGTTTTCGCATTCGCAGCAATTGTCGCAGCCACAACAGTCATCGTTGCCGTTGTCACCACCATTTTGCTGGTCACTTGGTTGTTGGTACCTTGTGGTATCATACGACGTATCCACCTGATCATTGTCGTATTGGTTGCCGTAGTTTGTGTCATTGGCGTACTGGTCGTGATCATCATCGTAGTAGCGATAGTAGCGATTATCGCCGTCTGGACTGTTTGGAGAGTATTGACGATCACCATCGCTGTCATACCGATAGTCTCCATTGTCTATGTAGTCACCTTCATATTGATTGTACTGAGTATAGGTGATGTTCTCTGGGCCCTGACTGTTGTCGTAGTTGTTGATAACGTAAGTGGGCTCGTTCGAGTCGTTGTTCAGGAAGTACATGGCTGCTCCTGCACCAGCCGCACCGGCGACAGCACCCCCAGCTGCATACTTCATGTTCGACGAGCTCTTCTTGTGGCTTTGTTGAGGGTGGCCGGGATGGTAGCCTTGAACTGGTGCAGGTCCAGCCCTTTGGACTGGCCGGCCTCCACCTTGCGGAGCATGACCTTTTGGTGGTCCAGCCTTCTGTCCTTGAGCAGGAGCTGGCTTCTTGGCCGGAGGACGCGTAGCTTGTTGCGGTTTCTTCATTTGGGTCATCTGCATTCCATGATTGGGAGCAGGCTGTCTTCCGACAACAGGAGCACCTGCAACTGGTCTCGGAGCAGTCACCGGTTGATAACCGGCCGGTCGTTGAGCAGGCCGCTGGGCAGGCTGTGATGGTCGCTGAGCGGGTTGAGCAGGTCGCTGGGCAGGTGGCTGAGCCGGTCGGCCAGCTGGAGGACGTCCGGCCGGAGGGCGTTGTGCGGGAGCAGCTGGGCCTTTGTTGACAGCAACGGGCTTTTTAGGTTTTTGACTATTAAGGCCATGTTGTTAGTGCCTGGAATTTGAGATTGCCGAAGGAGGATGCTGCCAAGATGAGGTGGGGAGAGTCAAATGTGATAGGGCTGGAAGAACTAACCTGAACATCTTGACGAGGAGGTCGTCCCTTGGTCTCTGGAAAGATTGTGAGGATTCTGTAGGTACCCGAATAGCCTATACTGATAATAACGAAACGCAGAAAACACGCGTTCACATCTTTGATGGTGCGCAGTTATATAAGGGTCTTGAACAAGAGACAAGGTCCTCATCAGGCTCAAAATTTGTGCTCTTTTCAACCTCCTCCACCACTACCCTGAGACAAATGCTACGCTGACAACTTGGCACTCCAAAAGCCTCCAGAAAAGATGCTTTTCCCTCGCACTGAAGTAATGCAGTGAGATTCTCAATGCTACTCTGTTTATTTTCGACATCAAAACGGCCCCCAAATGAAGATGCAGGGTTTCCTTCAGCTTTTTGCTCATGGTAACACCTTATCCATATATCTCACAGCGAGGTCCAATAAATTTCTCTGCTGACCACTAAACCCTGTACAACGGCCTGAAGAATCAGAATCGCTTAGCCAGATCAGGCCTTATTCCCGATTTTAGTAGCAGAAGGCCCAGGCTCTGGTACGAGTTTAGCCTTGTAAGCACCAGCCTTATTTCAAATCTTATATGCATCAAAACAACCATGTCTACCCCCGATTATTCCCGTTGATCTTTGGTTGATCGAGGTCTGGAGTATCTCAGATTTTCGGCCGCTTGGTCTTATCAGTTTCATTGTTTGGCCCCCAATATGATCAGGAAACTGCAGTCTTGCATTCTGGTTGGGGGCCGATTCTTAGTTGGCGGCAGGATTTGAAGCGCTTTGGTCATCATTCCTGGCGCAAGATCGTATTTTCACCTTTGGCTACCTGGCATGACAAATTGCGAGTTGGACAAGCGCTTATGTTACCAGCCAAAAACGAACCTTTTGTGTAGAGGCTTTGGTTGTACGGTTCTATGGTCGCAGACTGACAGAAAAGCATGTTGAAGCCGCTGGCTCCGTCCATGGTAAGAGAAGCACAAGGACACCGATGATAGAGTGAATGAACACCAGCAGTGGTTAAGATAATACGGATGAATGATACCGTGTAAGATTAAATATGGTTTATGGATAGACGAAGATATGGAGACGACGCCTCAGCTTCTGACTTCAAAGGCAAGTCGTCTCTCATGCCACAGGACCAAAGAAGCTAAACTTTCCTCTGGGGTCATACTTGTTCTTCAAACTCTTCAAACGCTCTTGCCGCCAGTTCTCCTTTCCATACCAACTGACTGGCTCTTCATTACCAAAAGCGTAGTTAACATAGACGCTCATGTGGTACTGACCAGAAGCTCTATGGAGGATATGGCGCAACTCATTGCCGACAGCGGCAGCCTTCTTGTCGAGTTCAGAATCTCCAGGCTTGTATGTGATCAAGGGAGCAGTGAGGATATTCTGTTGTCGGAAGGCGAAAGCAGCACTCTGGGCATCAGTGCCCCGAACAGCCTGGGTGGAGTAACCCTCAAACATGAAGATAGAAGTGTTGAAAGGAGTGTCAGGACCTGTCTCTTTGGCAAAGAGATTCCATGCGTTCTTCATGGCGGATACATTGTACTTCTGAAGGTAGAGAGGGAAGCGGGGGTTGACAAGACCATTCTTCTGGCATGGGACAGCATCGACATCGATTTGTGTCCACCTGGCAAGGTCGCGGTAGTCTCCAGACTCAGGAGAGATGGCAATTGGGTTCAAATCGTGGAAAGGCTTGGAGATCTTGGGGTCGATGCTCTTCACGCCTTCCTGGATGAGCCAGAAGAGGATGATGGGCTGCAAAAGCCAACGTTAGACCAAAACAATGGATGAAGGATGGAATCTTACGTTTTCGGGGTCCGCAGTAGGGTCATGGACCCAGTAGGACCAGTTGATGACGCCCTCAGGCTGCTTTCGAAGGAGATGCTCATTGGCGGTATGATACAACTTCTCAACGTGTTCGCCACTGAAGACAAGTGTCTCGATGGCCCAGTCTCGGTGCTGGATCTCATACACCTTGGAAGTGATGGAAGTCACAATACCAAAGTTGTGACCAGCACCTTTGAGGGCCCACCAAAGATCGGACTTGTTATCGATGGTCTTGAACGATCCATCAGCCAAGACAATGTTGAGCGAGACCCACTGATCTGCGATGATACCGTGATGGCCTTGGAGCCAGCCATGTCCACCACCAAGGCCTGGACCCATATAGCTAACGCACTCGCATGTTCCGGTCACTGGTAGCGGTTAGCACGTCATCATTGGCAAGAAAAAAACATCAAAGCGTACCGGTTTGCTTGTTGGCAGCCCAAAGTGTGTCGGTGACTTCTTTGGACCTTGTACCGCCGCCAATTGTAACCGTCTTGCCGTCAGCAGCGACTTCGACCTTGTTCAGCTGGCTGAGATAAATCTCAATACCATGGTCCATGCGACCCAAAGTGGTGATGGCTCCATGAGCAGTGTTGTAGGCGAGGAAAGGAAGGCTCTTGGAGTTGGCATATTTGACCTTGAGAAGCAGTCATTAGCATTTCTCATCAACGATTAGTTACGAAACACTTACAGTCGTGGCGACATCCTGCTCTGTACCAGGAACGACAACAATATTGACCTTGGGAGCATCCAGAACGGACCAACGAGTGGTAGCCTTCTCAAACTCGGCAGATCCAGGACAGTAGACCTTGGCCGACTTGGATAACTTCTTACCAAGTTGGCTCAGGTCTTCAGAACATGTCCCAATGGCATCGCTACGAGCAAAAGGAGTTGTCGCGCATGTGACTGCGGTGCTCCAAGCTGCCAATGCAGCAAAGACTTTACTTGAGAAATGCATTATAAGAAACCACGTGCAAATGCAAGACACAACTTGGACCCTTAGATCAAAGACCCCCTCTAGTTAAAGGATCGACGAGGACCAGGTGCATATTTAACCTGCCTGGTTCGCCTTTTTCTTCCTCTGCGCCATCGGCCAACGTTACCCCGAAAAGCCAATCCCTGACAAATCCCCCTGACTTCTTCCTGCAGCCGAGGTTTGACAAGAAAAAGGGAAATTATTCCTAATATCCTTGCTAATGTCCATAGCCACCTTCTTCGTTCAGCAGCCTGCATGTTAGTTCCCCCACCTTCTCGCAGGACAACGGAGATTTTGGTACGACCCGATCGAATATCTCAAAGTCATAGCGCGGAGATGGATCCATTTTAGTACCCGCGGAACGGGTACCGGCGCGGAAAATCCCTGACTTTTAGCTGAAACCCAGTATTTATTTCGGGCTTTTATTCCATGGGTTGCTGATCGCGAAGATGCAATTGTCCAATCGGGTTCCTGGACATGATCTGAGTGCAATCTTAGAACCATCAGCATCGATTTGTGGGAGGCCTACCGAGACTTCCGAAGGCCAGTGGGTATTGGGACCTTTAGTCTTGTGAATTGCCTGAATGCTAGGAACGAAGAAGAAATGATCGTCGAGGCGAGGTGTTGTCAGAAGTGGAAATCAGATCTGAGATTGTACCAGAGCATCTCGAACATCTCCCCAGATTGTCGAGGTAGCATTGACAGCGCCATCTCTGTCCCAACTGAGATCTCATATGCATGTAACGGCCAAAAAAGAACATCTCAGCCAAATTATCATGGATTGAAGGAATATGGTTATTTCTCATTACGTGCGTGGCGTTCTCAGCCGTAGCTTGCCGTATCACAGGCTTTACCATTGAACTCTTGGCGCGTCATTTTCTTCACAAGCTAGCCAGACTTTGCCCTGCTACTGCTTAGTGTCAGGTACGGGTCGGTCTCCAATATTTCCAGCTATCCCCGAGCACCAACCAACTGAACATTGCATGTCTAGCATGGCCAGGGGAGGCAAGAAAACCCATGACGTGTCCCAAATGACAAAAAGAATGAGGTAAGCTTACTTCAACTTAGCAGGCCATCAGAGGAGTTATTTCTGGCACCTTTGGCTAAGACTTCCTGGTGGCATGTGCAGACTAATCTCAGGGGTGCAGATTCTGGGAAGCTTGTGATTCAGTGGAAACGAAAAATGCTCTGCGTATTCAGGCCCCTACCTGCTTACTTATGGGGCGAAGTGTCCAGGACCCGGGCCCATGGGCCGCTGATCTTTGTTCTTTCTCCCTTCTTTCCTTTTGCTTCTGATACCTTTGTTGGTTCTGAAGATGTCAGACCCTGTCGTTGAAGGTTGGACGCTGTATGCGGTCGGCGTCGCTTCGACGATCCTCAGATTTTATGCTCGTATGAGAGTGGATGGTTTGAGGAGTCTTCAAGCTGAAGACTATCTCATGGCCATATCGATTGTGGGTTCCCATCAAGCTCTGTGGACACTGGTTGGATATTGACTTCATCAGGTCTTTTACACCATCCAGACAACTCTTGCATACAACATCGGGATCCTTGCCCATGGTCTCGCAAACAATGGAATAACAGATGCTCAACGAGCTGCGTTGTCACCAAGCGACGCAGAATATGATTTCAGGTTCGTGGTCTTTCATCATTCTTGATCTCCCAGCTCTTTGCTCACTGAAGTTGTCAGAATAATTGGCTCCAAAATCCAGGTTGCCGGCTGGACCATATATTCCGCTCTGATCTGGTCACTAAAGCTATCCATGCTATACTTCTACACTCGCTTGACGGTATAAACTCCAAATTAGTCACAAGAAACGCGCCTGACATTTACTAGACTGGACTTGGTCGTCCATATCGCATCCGGATATACGTTGGGTTTGGTCTAGTCATCGGCACTTTCATCGCCACCATGATAGCTATTTTTGCTGGTTGTCAGCCTTTTCACAAGTACTGGCAGATTAACCCGGATCCTGGCAGTGAGTATCACAGTCTCAGCTGCACAGACGTTGTACTGACACTTCGCCCCAGACTCCTGTCAAGCTGCTATCTCGAAACCCATCGTCTGGGTCTCATTTGCAGCCAACATCTCAACTGATATCTATCTTATCGCAATTCCTCTTCCTATGCTTTGGGGATCGAGCTTGAAAATGATTAAGAAGATCGCTTCTACGATCGTGCTTGGGGCCGGTATCTTTGTACTTGTCTGCGCAACCTTAAAGAGTGTTTTCGTCCTCGTGGTACGTCCTCTGGCAGAGCTTATTTCTCCAACACTATAGCCTAACTTCTGCATGTAGGATCCCGTTAATGGAGCCGAGCTTGCTGGAGCCTGGGGCACTCGCGAAGCCTTTGTCGCCGTGATGACAACCAATCTACCGATCCTCTTTCCGCTCTTCAGAGTCTGGCTCACGCCAATCTTCGGAAGTGTGTTACGCTCCTCTCACAAGACATCCTATCAATATCCTTCCGGGTTTCAGACTATAGGCGGAGGAGGGCGAAGCGGCAAAAGTAACGACCCGAGCCGACGAGGACCTCCGACCGCAAATCCCATATCTGCGAATATGTCATTCAATAATAGCGAGGAACGGATCGTCAAGGCAGAAGCCCACCGCATGGATGACCTGACCGATTATAGCGCATCGAAAGGAATTATTGTTTCGAATGTGGTTGAAGTTATTCATGAAGACAAGAAAGGTGGTAGCAGTAGGAGTAGAGAAGGTTCTGAAGGGTCATGGTAAGAACGAGTTTAATACATGTGATTCGAAATGAAATAACATACAGGGCACTGAAAGACTTTATATTGTTAATGGATAATGAGACATGGCGTTGATCTAAGATGGTTCAGTTCGCATTCAGTAGCTCTTGTTTTCGTCTAGAAAGGTGGTCTTAAATTGTTTGCTTATGGTAAGATCACCACAAAAGATAGCACAACTTTTGGGATTTCGAAATTGCCCAAGCTGTAACGAAACATGGAGCCCTGGGACAACACTTCCTAAAAACTTGACCCTGATGCCGTGTTTGTACGGTGGAGTGTTGTCGGAGATGAATGCTTTCTTAACACTCCTTATCCCACGAGCGCCATGCGTCTTCAACCTTGAAGTTACCAGCAGGTTGCAGCTCCCTAATGTGCTTATAGTAGAGAAGGCAGGTTCCAGGGCTTCCGCCATCGTGGGCGTAGGAGCGGCATGTCGTACCGTCTCCGACAGCAGCGCATCCAGCCTTGCAAGCGGCCAAATCGGTCTTCAGGCGCCGAGAGAAGTGGCCCAGATCGTTCTTTCCCAAGATACCGCACTGAGCACAGCTCGAGTGTGAAGATCCCGAGCTTGATGCAGCGGCGGTAGCCTTGCACTCTGCCAGCTCAGACTCGAGCGCAGCCTCGCGCGCAAGGCAAGCTTCTTTGGCCTCTGCATCGGTCTCGGCAAAAGGATCAGGCTCAACGAAGGGGTCGTCGATCTCAACCTTGGTCATGTAGATGACGTCTGCTCTGGTGCGATCTTCTCCATCGGGCTTGGAGACAATGCATTTCTTGGAGGGAGGGTGGTATGAGCAGACCTCGACGCCAGCAGCCTGGCAAAGGGCAGCGCAGTCCTTGGCGGAAGCAATCCTCTCGTGGGTGGTGCCCGTGCGATACATGTTGCACTTATGCTCCACAACATAGTCTGGGGTAATTGTCTCGCGATGACCCTCAACGCAGTCAGCGATGACGTGGGAAGCACCGAAAAGTGCGGCCAGGCCGTAGATGACGGAGGCTCTCATAGTGGTGGTTGGTGAGTATAAGCAAGTGTAAGGGTTGGTAATTGAGGAATTCTAAGGGATAACTAGACTCAATGATTGGAAAGATTGTGAGCTGATGCTAAGAATGGGATGTCCAATGTTGGAAAGTCCAGATACTTACACCCGGTTCGCCCTCCCATCGCTGCCCTTTGTTTTCTCCTTGACTTATCACTATGAGACAAAGATCTCGTTTACTTCAACCTTACTCTGAGCTTAACATGAGAACTTCCATCTGCACCTGATTTCGACGAGGCATAAGCTTGCAAATCTCTGTTGGTCTTTCCATGGCAACAACCTAGTAATCGTGAGAGCTTGGAGCCTGCTCCCTGGTGGATTCTCAAAGCATAGAGTTTATTGGGTAAGTCTCAGCTAATTCACAATCTCCCCGCTTTGATAGCTGAGAGCGGCATCAAGTTCAGCTCTTGTTGATCTCTTGGCGCATACAGATTGAGACAAAGCAGCGAGACGATTGGAGGAAGATGAATCGTACATTTTTTCTTGTGCCACCACTGAGTCTGAGATGCATGCAAGGAGCCTTTTGCGTGAAAGACGAGCGGGGGTATAGGAAGGGGCCCCGGGGCAAGAAAACGTTGGATCCTGAGAAGGGATGCCAAAATAAACTCATTAAAGGGCCTCCTAATCTTATACTAACTTACCCAAATCTTTTTAATACTTGGTATTGAGGTCATGAGTAGATTCTGCTTCCCCGAGTACGGCTCGAGTGAAATTTTCAAGCCCAATCTCACATGCATATTCCACATACCAGTTGGGATATTCTTGCTGCTCTGGGTCTTGGCTCCAAGTCATCAGTCCATTGCCCAATATATATCCCAGGACTGAATCCATAGAGTTCGAAGATTTCAGCCCCGTTGTAGATCAATGCATGGTTGACTAGATTGAGATTGCCGAGTCAGATGGGGCGAATCGGATGTCAGATCTGAAGACACGGGATTTGCGCGGGAGGACGATCAAAGACATGCATTTCTCCGTCGACCACTTAGAAGTGGCGGAATGGGATACAATTCGGGTTGGCCCGTCGGACCATCGCAGTTCAGCCGTAAGTTGACTGACTTCTACGTAGTAATCAGGCATTGGTGAGTCCACATCCAGCGGTTGACCCTGCAGGCAAGTCTGTGAGTTAAGACATGCAGCGATTTGAAAGGTGCTTGTAAGGACCCTGGCTATGCTGACTACGAATTCATAGTCAGATTTCTTCTGCAACGATTGAAGATGGAAAGTCTGGGGAAGAGGGTCTACTAAGAGCTCATCAATAACGTTTCATACACACTCAGTTGCACGAAGCCAGCATCACGTTTTATTTGACCCCGAATGGAGACAAAGCTACCCTCTACTGTCAGATAATCGAGGTCTCTGATTTTCAAAAGTTGCAAAAACGACCATAGGTCATAATTCCACGAGGCAAGTCGACAGTCACCAATTCTGTGATGGTCAACAACCGAGATGCACCGAGGAGATTAGACGGACTTTATCACATAGATTCTTGAACCGTGAAAGCAAACTTTTGTTTCTTAGGCCAAATTTCGACTATGTTACATCCAGAGGTGCTTGAAAGAGTCGCTAGCAACATACCTAAAGCCTAATCCCATGGCCGACAATTGTCTCCATAGCTTGTGACATTGAAGACTGATTGACAGCTCTTCACTACTGTCTTCTTCGAGTGTCTTGCATGGATTCTGTTCAAATCATCAATGGAGCTCTAGCATACCCAAAAATGATCAATTTGAGCCATGCAATACGCTCATGAAGTCGTTGTTGCTCTGGCAGGCCTCAGGCTAAATGAGAATCAGACAACCATTAATGAAGGCTTCAGAGAAGAAAAACACGTTATCCATTATTTAGACCGACTTGGAGTGAGAAAGTATCGTTTTGCGGCACACCCTTCTCTCATAATACTGGCATCCTGTCCGTCACATTTTCGCGGCAGTGGTATGATCTGACTGTAAGAGATTGGCGTGTGATGTAGTCAACGCGGGATGTTGTGAAGCGCCCGAAGTACCGAGGTTGCAAAAATCATGTCTTGACACCGCAAGTTCTAAGTTTGCCTTTGGGTGGTGAAGCGCGTTGTCACTACGGTGAGCTGTTCAGTTATGATCTGACCTCTCACCTCACCTCAGCTCACCTCGGCACACAGGTGAGGACGCGCGGACTGCATAAAACCCTGATCCGAAGTTCGGAGTTAGCAGCGACCAATTGCACTAAAATCTATTGGCTGTCAATTCCATTAGTGTTTATTCCCCCAAATATAGTGTTTTTTATCGTGTCCATTCCGTGGGGAGACAAAGTCTGTTCTCTAGAGGCTCTTTTCATCCCGCGCGCTAGCATTGGTTATGCTGCTGCCTACAGGCACGGTACCTGAGTTGACCGCTCATTGAGGTTCAGGGACCTCAGCTTACCCCTGCTTCTTCAGCTCAACGACATGCATGAAAGGGACGGAATTGGGGGAAGTGCAGGTCATGGGACCTATCGCGTTGAGAGCCGCGACCATGAGGCTGATGCCGACATGGGTGAAGTAGTCATCTGGACATGTCGACTTTTTACTCTACCCCAAAGAACTTAACTCAACCCCACGATGCTTGGCTTGACCTTCAAGGTGTAGGTGGCCTGAGCCCTGAGCTTGTTTGAGAGGTATCCACTGTAGCTTTAGCTATCACTCCCTGATAAGAGGCCTTGATAAGCAGCAATGATGCAAGTTTTTCTGCCGATGACGGCGTGTACTGCTGATCAGATTCTGTGGCGTCTGCAGTGTCAGCGCAGTGCTGCACAGTGAGGTTGCAATATCAGGGCAGAATTTGAAACAAAGAAAACATGATGAAAATCTCTTTCATCATTCGCCACTAAAGAATTGGAGGGACAGGACATGACAGGCAGCAAGATTTGGGATTGAATCAAGCGTTGATGTGATAAGCTGATAAAAGCTAAACTATGGGGCTCTTTAACGTCACAGGCCCCATAATCTTGGGGCCCTTGACCTCACCAACAAAACAAAGCCGGTCTCACCGCGGATCCACGGCTCCCTCTCCACTAAGTTTTTAGCCACCTGAAAGCAGAAAAAAAAACGACAAAATCAATTGAGCAAAGAGTCCACCGAACACGGGGGAACGTTTCGAATTTTCGCTGCCCGAATTTATTCCGGCCTCTCCTTATCTTTCTATCGAAGAAACCACAAAACCCGGCGGTCAGCATCTGCATTTGAGCGGTGACCTCATTCCTCATAACAACAAAACTTCATCTTCCTTCTCTCCTCTTCGCATTCACCCTCACCTCTTCATACCAACAGCTCCTCTCAAAACCTTGATACCCTCTTCATTCGCATCTTCCTCCTTCTCATTCCTCCTTCACACACAATCACAACCGCCAAAATGACACAACGTCTAAAGCTCAACAGCAGCAACCTCTCCGCTATTGCGTCACAGCAGGGAGACCAAAAGGTCAAGGTCCCCTCCTACGACCGCAAGTCTCTCAAGGAAGGCATTGTCCACGTCGGAGTTGGTGGTTTCCACAGAGCGCATTTGGCCGTCTACGTCGACAATCTGCTCGAGAAGCATGGTGAGCGCGATTGGGCCATCTGCGGTATCGGCCTGCGACCCAACGATGCCGCCATGCGCGATGTCCTCAACTCTCAAGACCATCTGTACACAGTCATTGAGCGCTCCGCAAAGGGCAGCTTCGCCGACGTCGTCGGCAGCATCAACTCCTTCATTTTCGCACCTGATGATCGTGAGGCTGTCATCGCAAAGATGGCTCATCCCGACACACACATTGTTTCTCTCACTATTACTGAGAGTGGCTACTACTACAACGAGAACACCCATCAATTGAAGGACGAGCACCCCGACATTCAGCACGATCTCAAGCCCGAGAACGAGAACGCCCCCATTAGCACTTTCGGCTTCCTCTACGCCGCTCTGGCCAGACGTCACGCTGAGGGCCGCAAGCCCTTCACCGTTCTGTCATGTGACAACATGCAGAAGAACGGAACCATCACCCGCAACATGCTCACATCTTTCGCCAAGCTCCGCAACCCTGAGCTTGCCAAGTGGATCGACGAGGAGGGAGCTTTCCCCAACGCCATGGTTGACCGCATTACCCCCAGCACCTCTGAGAACGACATCAAGTCACTCGCTGAGAACTTCGGCATTGAGGATGCTTGGCCCGTTGTCACCGAGCCTTTCATGCAGTGGGTTGTTGAGGACAAGTTCGCCGATGGCCGCCCTCCCTTCGAGAAGGTCGGTGTCCAGGTTGTTCACGACGTGCACGACGTCGAGCAGTTCGAGAAGCACAAGCTCCGTCTCCTCAACGCCAGTCACTCCGCCATGGCTTACCCCGGACAGCTTGCTGGCTTCAAGTACGTCCACGAGGTCATGGAGCACCCCATCTACCGCAAGTTTGTCTGGCAGATGATGCAGGAGGAGGTCAAGCCTCTTCTCCCCGAGATCCCCGGCGTCGACATCGACCAGTACTGCAACACCCTTATGGAGCGATTCTCCAACCCCACCATCATGGATCAGATTCCCCGTGTCGCTCTCAACGCCTCCGGCAAGATCCCCCAGTTCATCATGCCCTCCATCGCCGAGAACATCTGGGTTACTGGCCCCTTCCGCCGCTTGTGTTTCGTCGCAGGTGCCTGGTTCATCTACATCAAAGGAGTTGATGACAAGGGCAACACCTTCGAGGTTGACGATCCCATGCGCGAGAAGCTTCAAGCTCTGGCCAAGGAGGGCGGCAAGGATCCCCGCTCTATTCTCAGCGTCCGAGAGCTGTTCGGTGACGATTTGCGAGGCGACCAGCGCTTCCTGGACGAGGTGACCAAGGCTATGGAGCTCATCACCAAGGATGGTGTGATGGAGACCATCCCCAAGTATGTCAACTAAGGGATATCGGCGGCGTTACCTATCGACTTGTTCTGGGCGGGGAAAATTACAGCGAAGCGATGATGATGATCGGTTAATGAATGACTTTGGGATGGTGAGCTAGGGTTAGACGCGGGTTTGTATACCGTCCTAGAAGGCACACCTCAGATAGACATCAAGGGCAGATGCCCAAAAAGTTTTAATGATTATGCCATGATTTGATGACGATTCGTTCCATCTCGCTGTGACACTGTTTGATGTTATCCGCCAACGTATCCAAAGACTGATTGATGGTGACAAGGTTGTCTAAGAAGTAACTGTCACAGGGTAGCGCAAATCGATCCTTCATACGAATGCATCGGCCAGTGAGTCTGTGCCGTGTGTTTAGTGAACCATCAAGATGGGAGATGCTATGTCGTCGTTTGAAATTCGCGCTTGCCTCAGATGACGAACTGCAGTCGCAGAACATGGAGAAATTAGAACGGAAACACAAATTAATATCATTTCGTGTCTGAAATCATGCGATATCATGCCGGAGTCTTATGGAACATCTGCTTTTCTTGCTCTGTTGACCAAGCTGGCGTTGAACAGACTGAGACGAACCTTCCATGCGGACGCTTTTGAAGACGGTACTGGGAACCAAGCATCGCTGAATTTTGAGATAAACAGACATGATTAATGAGTATTACGGACTGGAAGAACGAGTATTGGTTTGAGTCTTTGAGATGATATCTGTGAGCCTCCTTTGCTGTAAGAAAATTATGAAATAAAGATTAAGGATCCCACATCGCACTTGTACCTGTCATACATGAGTGTCAGGTGTTAAGGCTCATGTTGCAGCGTTGCATAAGCAAAGACTTGTGCGATTCACTTTGCACAATTTTACGTCACAATTACAGCAAATGTCCTCGTGTTCATTTCGTGGAACATTAATATTCATTCATTCACTGAACAAATCACCAAGAAGCATCGGCAGAGACAAAGTTTATCATGAACGTGAATGCAAAGGTCGTAATTGCGTGAGACAAGTATATACATATTGTCAGTAAACCAAATAATCCGCATAAGAAAACGCGAATGGTTTATTCAAGAAGTGAAATGTGAGTTCATAGCCCTGGTGAGTCGCTCTCATAACTTGAAGTGAAAAAGATACATCAAAAGATCACTGCCAGCTATCCCGAACCTAAGCATCCGTCCATGTCGGCGTTGACATTTAGTAAGGCTTGTCACCGATCCTATATAATTAGCGACTGCTTCATTTAATGGTAGAGTTATGGGAACTTACATGTTACCGGGCTTCTGGTAGCGGGCGACAACCCAAGAGGCACCGGAGCTGTCCTTGGCGACGGCCATACCGACCTTGGTGGTGGTCTTCCAGACGCACTGGGTGTAGTGACCGAAGGACATGTAGTTAGAGCCGGAGATGGCCTCGCCGTTGTACTGGCTCTTCTCGCTCAGGAAAGCCTCAACAGCAGCGGAGTAGGGGTTGGAGCCGCTGCCCATGTAAAGGTTCTCGCCATCCTCACCCTGAGAGTGCTCGAGGCTGCCGAGCTGAGCAAGGTGGTCGGCCCACTCTTGGGCACCGGAGGCAAGAGAGTCGTCCCAAGAGAGAGGCTCGTTACCGACAGCCTTGCGGGCCTCATTGTGGAGGTCGAGAGCCTTCTGTTGATCAGCGTCGAGGTTGGAAGATCCGGAGCCAGAGTCGGAGCTGGGCTGAGTGGCAGCGGGGGCCTCCTCCTGAGTGGTGGCGGGCTCCTCCTTCTCGGGCTCGGGGGCAGCGACGTAGGTGGGCTGGGGAGCAGGGTTCTTCTTGGGCTTCTTGACGACGGGGGCGGGCTGCTGCTCCTGGACAGGGGCGGCGGCGGGCTGCTCGGGAACGTAGGTGGCCTGGGGAGCGTTGCCTCCAGCGGTCACGTAGTGAGTGACGTACTCATACTCGGTGACGACCTTGTAGTGCTTGTTGGAGTTGCCCCAGCTGCCGTGGGGAGCGGCCATGGCGCCAGCGGCCATCATGGAAACGATGAAGCTTGAGAAATGCATCTTGAGAGTTTTGTTGTTGTTGGTTAACGTCACCGGGACTGGGCTGTAAAAAATTCGAGTTGCTTTAAAAAGAACGTGTTAAGGAGTGAAAGAATGTAGAATAATCCTTCAAGGATGAATGAGTGGTTTGCCTGTTAAGGAATGAGTGACAAGACTGATTGAGTCTGGAGAGGAAAAGAAACAGAAGATGGGGGGACGGGAATCAAGGTTATAATATAGTTGTGCAACAGTCAACCAGTGTAATGATCCCATTGGATGAGACATGTCAATGATCCCGACAGTTGGTGTGGTGCCATGTGAAAAACGAAATTCGAGGCGTAAGCCTGGGCCCTGGGCCCTGGACAACAGACAACGTCGAATTGATTGAAATAGCGGAGTTCTGTGTTTCAAAGGGATGATGCTCCGATGGGCTGCTCGATCCAGGGGTAAAGAGACTAGACTAGCTAGTCTAGACCAGGGGTAAAAGAAAACCGTTGATGGCCTCAGCTTGCCGAACCAATCAATACGAGGTCTCGCAGCTGACACCCGAGTCTCCGGATGGGAAGCTCGGGTTGAGTGTGGGGAGGGATGCCACACTGAAACCCCTCATATCAGTCCTGCAATATCAAATCCTTACCCAGATCTTGCCTGCGTGTTTCGCCTTGACGCGGCAATCAGCCAGCAAAGAGACGAGATGACATGCCGGGGCTTGTTGTTCTTGGACCAGGGACCGAACATGCCGGCGCGGTATTTTGACGCCACTAAACGAGGGCGGCAAAAGGTACCATTCGCCCTTCACCACGGGGGATGGGGGAATACGAACGGTACGTGCAGCGCTTTAGTGCATTCTTTGTGATGATGATGAGCGTCAAGGTGCACAAAGCGCATCTAAGACAGGTGAGCATTGGTGTCGTCCAGTCTTGTCGCACAGACATGGGCTATCCTCATCCCCCCCGGGTTTTCTGTAATCACGGGCGACGCCTCCCAATATAAAATAAAGTTACAAGTTCGTAATGTGATCCCCGAGTACAGGGATCTGCCGACCAGGGCCAGGATGCTTTCAAGATTGATCGAAATCAGCCTTGAAAATTGGCAGTGATGCAAGATACCCTGCCAATGCCCAACAATTCTCCTCACTCACTCATTCCCTTACGTTACTATTCTCCTTCCTTCCATATGCAAGTGAGAAAGGGGCCGACACGACCGGTCGTGTTTTGTTTAGGAAAAAAAAGTTTGCTAGCATTTTCTTGACTCGTTTGTTCCGTTGCCTCTGTAACAGGCTAACTGCAGCTACTGCAAGGGACGAATGCACTATATCATTGGTCCACGATGGCTGGCACTCCGCCAAACTTTCAATACATGCCACTGTCCGCTCACTAGAATGTCATCGAACGTGGCTCAAGACCAGCAAAGAGCAAAAAGGGGTTTCAACGAGAACAACAAACTCCTCATACAATGGATCCCTTTAGCTGTTGAGCATCTTTGTTGAAACAGCCATCGATGTTTTGAGTCTTCTTTGTCGGACCTCGCGGGTGCAGACCGTCATCGAAACAACGCCACAGCGCTTCTCCCTGACGAGAGCCCAATCATCTGCAAGCGCCCTTTGTTTCTCACCGTACGCCAGGCGGTCGATCATAGCAATGCACGCCTCGTGTGCCCCATGTTTCCCTCCCCGACATTTTTCGCGCAGGTCTCACAGAAAGTGAGTGAGTGACTGCAGTGATCGGCGAAAGGAAATCTCTCGTCTGCCGATGCTAAAGAATGTTCCTGATGATCGGAAGCTGGCACTGGCACTTGGGGTTGCATTTGCCCAAATGATCCGCTTTGGATGGACGTGCATTTCATGGCAGACTAACGTTAACAGGTCCGTGTTGATGTTGAATCAGAAATTCTGCCCTGCAGGCACAGGGGCCCTGCAAAGGCTTATTTCCGATAGGATTCTTGACGACTACGATTCGTCTCGCATTGATATTTGATCATTTCCGAGCCTTGGAACCGGAAAACTGGGATCGTGGCTTGTCAAATTTCACTGTAACAATGAAGTTTCAGCTCCTCATCCACTGATTCCTCCGCAAGACATGATTGTTTTTCCCTCTGGCCTCTGATCGGGTGGCTCTGTTTCCATCCTGCATACTGCACTGTGCTGTGCTGTGCAAGAACTTGGCGAGCGGGGAATGCCAAGTGGGCTACGCGTAAGCAGACCGACTTTGATGAAACAAGCAGCGACTCATTCAAGAGACGGTTCTTTGAAGATATTTTCAGACATTGTATCGTATCCTTGGGTCACATGAAAGAGGATCTACACAAAGCTAAAAGCTGCCAAAGCGCTGTCCGTATGCACTAATGACAGAAATAATGGACGAGTCTGGGCTTTTCTGCGCACGAACCAGCAATCTTAAACTTCCCGTATTCCTCTGAAACCGCCACATCATGTGCCTTCCTAACGAGGCCATGGCTTGCGACTATTGCTTTGTCAGATTGATTAATTTCTGCCGACGCCTCACCTTGCCAGATCCTTGTAGCACGGCATTTATTCAACACATACGACACTTACAGGGTAAACAACTCTCATGGGGAAGTTTCGCCGTGAATATCCTCGTATGGTTGTTATGCTAGGTCTATGGTCTGAAGAGTTGTTCATGCGACATGTGAAGTTCCGCGATGAATGGCAAGGGTAATCGCGTGCGAAACTGTTCAGTTGTTAACAAGAAACAAAGGAACATAATAGTTTGTCTCAAAGTTTCAACCAGATGCCATATGCTTACAGGCATCAGAGGACATTCACTCTGGTCCAAAGCTGGGTGGCAGTTAAGAGAGGTATTCAGGGTAGGTGAATGACTTATTCTCCAGCCAGCGTTCATTGTCAGAGTTGCAATGCAATACGAATATTAAATGATTTTCAAGACTTGTAACGATTGAGTTGAACAATTCATCTTAAATTGAAAGCTACGTGACCTTATTAATAGTCTATGTAACCATTTCTAAACCTTAAGACTACAATATTAGATGGTTGTGAGCAACTCTGGAGTCTAGTCCAGCAAGTTGCACGCAGAACGCTGCCTTCCAAGTTCACACGCATTAACCAACGAACTGGCAAGTATAAAATTATCCTCCCCTTCACGGTATGGTAGCTGCGGATGATTTCAAATATTGCTGGCTCAGGATGCAGCGAAAGCGGCTGCGATGTTACACTAACTGATTTGGCTTTATCAAAGTGTATAAAGACTCTTATCTGTTAGGCTACCAACAAGTGCCTTATCGATAAGCACAATTGTGAGAACAACCCCATCGGTGTTGATTATTTTGCGAACCTCATCATTGGCCAATTACTCATTCCGCAATCAGTATAAGTAAGCCCTCTGCGTCATGATTACGCCGATACCTCCAATAAGGTTGCCCTTATCTTGCATTTACTGAAGACTTACAAAGCTCGTGTCAGCGAAACTCGGGTAGTGATCCTTGAATATGCACTTAGAGGTTATACGAGCCAGCCAATGTCGCATTTGGCGCTGACGACCGTGAGCAATTTATCGTAGGCGTTATTCGAGACTCCCAAGATATGCTGTCCTGTCAGGTTCTCATCACGTATCAGGCGCCATTGGGTCCTTCTGTCTCACGTATTACATCAATCCACTGGCTAAAAGTTACAAATTCCTCCTTTTGTAAGCCAAGACGCTTCTTGTCAGGTTCCGTTCCATCCGGTTTCAAAATGAACCCTCAGGCGGTGGAATCTCCCTTGTCGCAGTCCGCGACATTCCTCGTTCTCTCGGCAACAGACAACCCGGATGCCGACAAGACAATCCGATCAACATTGTCTAGCATTGCAGACATTACCAAGAACATATCAATTCGCCATCAAACCGCAAACCTCTCATGTACTGTTGGGATTGGAAGCTCGGCATGGGACCGATTGACCAAACTCCCTCGGCCTAACGAGCTACATCCTTTCAAAGAGTTCAAGGGGTCAAAGCATACTGCTGTGTCAACGCCAGGTGATATCTTCTTTCATATTCGATCGGAGAGGCGAGATATGGCATTCGAATTTGAGAGACAACTCATGGATAGACTGGGTGATGCTGTCAAGCTCGAAGATGAGACAGTTGGTTTTAGGTATTTCGATACGCGCGACGTCCTTGGATTTGTCGACGGAACTGCCAATCCAGTCGGCCCCGATGTCAAGGACTCGGTACTTGTCACTGCGCAAGACGACTCTGCTGCTGTAGGAGGAAGTTATGTCGTGGTGCAGAAATATCTTCACGATCTCAAAGCATGGAAGACTCTCAAGACAGAACAGCAGGAAGCCATCATTGGACGCACGAAGCTGGATAACATTGAGCTTGACGATGCGGATGAAGGGCAACAGCAGTCCCATAAGAGTCTCGCTACGATTGAAGACGAGGGAGGAAGTGAGCATGATATTCTACGTGATAATATGCCCTTTGGATCTCCGGCCCAGGGTGAGTTTGGCACATATTTTATCGGGTACTCGAAGAAACTCTGGGTCATTGAGAAGATGCTCGAGCGCATGTTTGTCGGTGTTCCGCCTGGGATGCATGATCGGATTCTCAACTATTCGAAGGCTGTTACAGGATCGACATTCTTTGTACCATCGGCTGATTTTCTTGCTGGACTTGATGATGATTGATTGATGGGAAAGCTGTGTTGTCTTCATATCAGTAGATAAATTCGTAAACAGTTTATGACAGCACGCATAAAGTTATGCTCTTCATCCTGTAACCCAGCCTCATTCTAATCATAGATCTCCTGCGCCACATGTTTACTGCACAGTAAACGCACCCTCAGCAACTATCTCGGCCAATTAAATGTCACATTTCGGTGCTGATACGGGCCGATCAGATCGACCTTCCCACCACGTCAATAGCGTAGTTGGTGATGTAATGTCAGACAGATCCCTCGCAATTTCGCTCACAATTACTTCGAAACCACGGCGCGTTTGCAATCTTCACTCATTACCAAATACTTTGCAAATAAGTCGTACGATGTCTAATGCTGGAATTACGAAGACCTCACGACCCAAGCGGAAGAATCGACCTCGGCCTTTGCCGCCCGACGTCACGGCTAGGAACCTGGCTATTGAGAAACAACGCCGCGGTGAACTAAAAGAAGATTTTATGGTGAGGCCAACTGTGATAAAAACCTCAAGATATCATCTAGTAACTTTGTTTTGGCGCTTGCATAGGAACTGGCGCGCCTGCTGCCCAACCTTACCAATACTCGACGACTTACAAAGGTTCTCATCGTAAACAAGAGCATAGAGCATGTGCGACAGCAGCGCGAACTTTGCATAACGGCAGCTAGTGACATGCAAGAAGTTGTTGACCAGAACCATCAGCTTGTCGCTGAGGTGAATGCTCTGCGTGCTCAGATTGAAGGACCATCTATGCCTCAAGCTCAGGTCAAGCCCATGACCCAAGCCATGACCCAACTAGCTGAAACAAAGAATCACGTCTTTGGGACCTTTCCTGCCGGTTTTGGAGATAACTGGGCAGAAGAATACTCGCAAGTCCAGCATGAGACTACACGTGAAGCGGGCTTCTCACCCGATAATTCTTATGCACCCCCTGTCCTGCAAACAGATGTCAATATTACACCAGACACCATCCAAAGCAGCCTAGAAACTACTCCTGGATCTGTACCTGTCTCAGCGTACCAGAAACCGCAAGTGAACTTCAACTTGTGCCTAAATACAGCGGCCGAGCCTAGTTTTCCCTTCCCAGATCTTTTGGGTCCCAGCCATTCTTATTTGGATGATCCTTTGATGGCAAGTTTCTGGACACAGGGAGTTGTTGATGAGGGTTCGGCTTGGGTTGGTGGTCTTAGTGGAAGCGAGATTTCATCTTTTGTTCAGAATGGCACAGGGGATAATGAGTTACAGAGTTGTATTTAACGAGAGTTTACTATCGGCCAGAATGGCGAAAAAGGAAATCACCATCCTCAGAAATGCTTTAAAGCTTCTTCGATCGCATCTCGAATCTGCAGCTCGTTTGCCTTGAATGCCTCAATAGCTTCGTCAAGCCCTCTCTGGGTGACAGGGTCAGCAGCGATGGCTTGGGTCAATGCGGCCCCGTTGTCTGCCAGATAATTGATATCAAGTGCCGGAAGTCCAGGCCAGTCGGGTCCGATAAGGGGATCAACCTGTGCCAGATGGGCAATTCGCTGTGAGGGAGTACCGTTCTTCATGTAAGAATCACCACCAGGTGGCGCGTTTGCTTCAGCATCCAGTAGCGAGAGCTGGAGGAGTATATCCTCGGGAATAGTGGCATGATCACAGCCGAGCTCAGCCATGGCCATTGCCTCACGAGCGGATATGAAGCTGGAAAGCAAAGTCAGCGCCAAGGTTTCTCACCCTCCAGAATTCTGGTACCTACCTTGCTGGTTTGAGTAGTGGTTGCGTCTTACCAGTCTCTTCTCGAAGGCGCTTGTAGATCTGCTGAATTTGTAGGATCCTGGGTGACATAGGATGATCGAGAGCCGGGTCTTTAGCATTGGGCCACTGCTCTCGGTCGGTATGATACCAAGGAACTATGAGGATGTGAGCATATCGAAAGAGCCACATAAACGAGACAGGGTCTCACAGTTGTAGTAGGGGCTAATAGACAACGTCTCTGCCTGGCTGGCAGCAATGGCTTGAGTAACAGAAAATAGAGAAGTTCCCAGCGTGCGGATCCCTTCTCTGAGTAGAACCGGGCTGGCGTTGAGAGCAGGACCTGTGCACGGAATCTTGATACAAAATCGATCCTTCGAGATACCGAGCTTCTCGAACTCGCGTGCATATGATCGGGCCTGGGCTATAACCTTTTCAGTGTCGTATGCGTGGAAAGCTGAAGTCTGAAGCAACACCCGCCCCTGGATGTTCTCCATGTTTTTGGCGCACAGCAGGGCACTCTGCAGATGATGATGTGAATGAGTGGCTACTATCAAGATAGACAAAGTGACTTACCATGCGATCAAGAATTACCTCCCATCCTTCGTCTTTGCCTTCTTCAGCAGTTTTCAAAAATAATTCGCGGTTCTCGGGAGAGATTATTTGCTCATAGACCAAGCGCTGATTGCTCGTTTGATCATATGGCTTGAAAGGCAGAAATCTCTTCGCCTCTTCTGGATCCATACAGTCGATGTCAATCTTGACTATCGAACGACTCAATAGTTAAAATGGATAACGAGAAAAGGAGGTGCTATCATACCTTGCTGCTGGAGTTTGTCAAGCCAGGTGACTTTACTCATGGTGAAAGGTCGCCGTTTGGAGAGCAGAGGTTGCAAGATAAAAAGTGATTTGAAGAATCTTTCAAACAAGAATCACGGAAGAAAATAGCCTCATTTATAGCTGAATGAAACCCCTGAAAAATAATCGATGGTCGTTGCTAACTGGAGAGTGGAAGAGTCGTCGTGAGTAATGGACGAGACGCTAATGCATGGACTGTACAGTTCCTTACACCCTCAGAGATATCAAACATCTAATAGTTATGACATAGGCGAGAGATACTGTACAGTAACCCAGAAATTCTAAGTACCGCTAAATGTCCAGTTTCCCCATGCGCGTGGCGAATGTACAGCCATGGCATAGTGCCGCGCGTGTTTCTTTTTGTTATCTCTGATTCAGATAAAACTGAAAATCACGTCACAAGTGCACTTATTACCTCCGTGTAAGATACTACGGAATACTTCGCCCGAGACGTATGCGATGGAAGTTTGAACTAATCGTCATAAGATCGATTATCAGTGGATGACCAGTAATATAAGAAGGCTCGCTTTAGCTTTGTCCTCTTTATCATTCATACGAAGTAAAAATGTATTTGAATTTGGGACTAGAGTGTACTACTCATTCTTTCTCATGCATTTCTAAAAAACGCTGATCCCACCATCTACAAGGATATCTGCGCCCGTGATGTAACTACCTGCTTTGCTGGCGAGCAAGACAACAGCACCCGTGAGTTCCTCCGGGTTTCCCATACGGCCATATGGGGTTCTCTTTGCCCAAATAGCTCTATGCTCTGCCAAACCGTCCCCCTCATTCAGAATAGTATCCATGTATCCCGGACTGATACTATTGACACGAATACCATGTACCGCCCACTCTGCGGCGAGTGAGCTTTTCATAGAGATAATGGCGGCTTTCGCCGCGTTATAGTGAACTTGAGGCTGGGGAAAGTTTACTATGTGGGCTGATATGCTCGCCATTAGAATGATGGATCCACCTGTTCCTCTGCTTGCGATAGACTTCGCAACAGCTTGAGCTACCAGGAATGAACCCGTGGTGTTGACGTCAAACATGGTCTTGAATTGATGTGGAGTAATGTCCAAAGCATGTGCAGCAAAGGCGATGCCAGCAAAGCAAAGGCAGATGTTGATAGGACCGATGACTTGCTCTGCGTTCGCAACGGCGGCTGTGACGGACTTGGAATCTGTCACATCAACTTCGGTAAACGTGATCTTTGCTTCAGGGAAGTCGCTCTGAAGACTGGTGACTGCCATTTGCCCAGCATCAGGATGCAGGTCAAAGATAGCTAGTCCCTGGAGTCCATGTTCAAGCAGAGCTCGACAGGCAACAGATCCAATATCCCCAGCACCCCCAGTCACAATGGCATTGCCTGTGACCGCGAACCGATCTCGTGCTCGGTCCAGAGATGTGGTGATGGTGTGATTATGTTCTGGGCAAGATGTTTTAGAGTTAGTTGAGTCGTCACTCAATCGCATTGACGGAGGAGCGCGGAACTTGAGCTCAGATCGTGCGACGGACATTTTAACCAAGCAATGAGGGGTAGTACAGTGATGCGATCGATACAGAACAATGGATGACAGACAAGCTGGAACCGGACAAGTAATGGTGACTACGATGAAAGAACAGAGTTGAGCTATTTATTTAATGCCAATTCTTAGTCATAGGCCTATATATTGACCACTTTGATCCAGTCTTCATGATGTCGTAAGCTGCTGGTACTGTACAGTAACCATGTCGATCAATGGAACTTTACGGCTTCTCAACCAATGAAACTGATCGGATGCATGTTACTGTACAGTAACCGCATTAGCGCTCACAGTCGCATCCAGAGATGACAGCGAATCACCGCAATTGCTTGCCAACCATGTTACAGGCCTTATAGATAAGCAGATTATACCAGCATGGCCATTCAGGTTGGAATCGAAAACGCCAGGGGCAAAACTACAAATGAAATGTTGATTGTTTCTCCGGCGCTGGTTGCGCTGTTGGAAGAGAACTAGCTATCAGTTTCTAGCTTATTTCTATTTGACGAGCTCCCACTCTTCGCCGAAGCCATCCGTCTTCATGAGAGAGGCATTTCCAAGGTTATCAATCTCTCCCTGTGCAAGAAACATGTTCTTCAAATCGTTGTAGTACATGCGGCAACCATGTCCACTCAGGACGACCTCGCCATTGTCATTGACGCTGACATACTTTTGAGTAGTGCCTCCAACTGCACCAACGGAGATGTAGTCCTTGCCAATGATGACAGTCCTGTTTCTGTCACTATCACGCTCTCCGTCCAGCCGGATGGTGAAGCGAGTGCGGCCCTGCTTAGTCGCATAGATCAAACCACCCTTTTCAAGCCAGTATAGCTCTGGGCTAGACTTGGACCGAATGTAGTAGCTACAGTACATTAGACACAAAATTTCAGAAGAATGCCTTGAAGGAAACTTACGAATCACCACTGACGACGCTGACTCTTGCAGGTTGATTGAAGTTCGAAATGATACGACCATCTCGATCATTCAGCAAAGTGTATATGATCTTGTTTATGAATGAAGGAGCCAGATCCCACGCCTGAGCGCCGCTGCCCCAAGAGTAGAAATCAGGGCCGAGACGCTTGACATGCTCTGGATCCTTGGTAGAAGCCTCGCGCCACCACTCATCGATGGTCTCAGCATCAGGAGCTGCAAGAAGGTATCGATAATTGGGCTCGGAAGTTTGCTAAGGAAAGGTCAGAATGCTGGTCCCCAAATGGCTGCTGAAGTTTGGAGACGTACCCATTTGAGAAAAGCGTAGTAGACCATGATGGGCGTTGAGAGTTGATTGAAGTAAAAAGGTGTTTGGGATTTCTGGAGATTGCTACTGAGATGAAGGTTGAGACTCGGATGAGGAAATCCTCTTAAGCGTTCTCCATGTCATGCTTTATATGTACCTCTAGATCGAACGGTGACACGTACTCTCCGATAAAATACAGAGACTTCGCTCATCATCGAGTATCATAATTGACCACCATCGATATGGCAAGACGTATTCTCAGCTGAGGCCTTCTCAATTTCCTCTTCTAAGACATTTCATCATCATTTCCTAGCGCTGACCGTTGTCTCAAATGCTTGAGCACCAGCTTTGTCTCAATGTTTACCAACAAGGAATCTCCGCACTGAAGATGGCTGGCTGAACGTCCCCAGAAACCTTGATGAAATGAGCCGATTCCAAGCAGCATGAGACAAGTAGCCTGTCAGAAGGGTTCCGCCGGCATTTGCCTGATAAATACCGACGTCAGTTTGAGACTGAACTGAAAATCCTATCTCAAATGGGATAGTAAAAACACGGGACGCTCAATTTGTCTGATAGTTCCTTTGATCTACGTCACATGCCGGTCTGTCGCAAAAGCATAGCGAGATGCGGGCACATTCCTCATGTAGCTGCACACGAAGGTTGGTGATGGTGACGAAATCACCGGAGTCGATCTCAGCCCTCTCATTTGAACAGATTTGAATGCAGATGCTCTCGCAAATTGACCAATCCGAATAAATTTAAGCTCAGCGTTGTCTAAGAAGATCCCTGTACAAGCATCTCAGCTGAGATAGCTATCATGCAAGGACGGACATGGCCAGAAGCAGGCTGGCAAAGCTAGATGTCAGCTGCACGAGAGAGAATTGGGAAACAACACAAGAAATACTATTGGATCAAAGGGACATATGATTTACGGAGACCTCATAGATAAGCTTTGGCAAAACGGCCTCTTCTACAAGTTAGGTATGGCCTGTCTCAGGTAAAATCCCTTCCGCCGGCTGGCCCGATGGCCCGTTCCGAGCTGGGTGCTGATCGTCTGCAAATCTAAACCTTGAGACATACTAAAGGGAGGCCTAAAATCTATATCTGTGTGTCGCGGTAACAACAGTGAGACAAAAGTTCATCCAGGACGGCAAGGAATCGTTCAAGACACTCAGCTGAAGGCCTCACATCTGACACATGTTCTAGCAATACGACTATCATTACCCAAAAGCAAGTCCAAATAGTGGGCGGAGGCGGTAAAGCTTCTCAAGGAAGAGATCCTGACGTCGGAAGGGATGAGAGGTAAGCTTTTTGGCAGCCAAAGGCCAGACATTGTTTGTGATGGTGGCCCATGAGCTCATGTGCGCACGCTCCGACTCCCCGGCGTCATGGTCAAGTCCTAAGATTGGTATCATATCATGATTTTCCCTCATATCAGAACAGCTTTAGTGGCGTCAGAACATCTGTTTCGGAAGAAAAGGCCTCGACATTCCGTGAGCTAGTGGAAGAAACGCAACCAGTAGACTATCGACGAGAAGGCAGGCATCAAGGCAATTCTTAGGGTATTAGAATGGCTGAGACTATTGGACAAGGGGGCGAGCATAAGCTAACAGTCTACTGAACCTTCTCCTAAAATGTGCTAAACTTGTCGGAGTATTTAATTACTTGCGAATACACCCCCAAGCTTTTCGCTATCCCCTAAGTAGTATCCCTATGATGAGATCTAGCTGAGAGTGCGATTCTAGCGGGACTAAGGTTTGCAATGGCAGGAAGGTCCATTGATATCAAGACTCAGGTTTACGATAGTTTCATCCCGCATCCTAAGAATGCAATTGAGAGACAATCTCTGCTCAGAAGGGATAGTTGTAGATCATACCAGCCACCAACCGGCACAAGTGAGACGAAAGTCCCCATCTGAACCAAAACCCAATAGCAAGTTAAAACAACGAATTTCGGCCGGAATAGCGACATCCGAGAATTGGCGGCCGTTCACAAACGCCAAATATTTCCAGCCGTGGCGCTGCTGGGTCGGGACATACGACTGCCAAGGTATCATGCCGTCAACGAAAGTACGAGATGTGAATGAGGAATCTAAGTAAACACTGACAGCAACTAATCGGACAGGAAATTCTGTAGATAAAAGAGGACTTCATTCGCACTCTAAGTTCGTAATCACTCCTCATCTCCCCATCCTCCTTCACCTTCTCTTTCCTTTCCCAACCATGCATGAATCCTGGAAGACCATCATCGCACTCTCCAGCTTTGCGCTGAGCAGTGCAGCAAAGGACGTTCCGTTCGATGCTCGTCTCATGGTTCAGCAAGCTGGACTGCCTTCCGTTCTTAGTAATGGCTCTAGTCCACCTCCGCAGCTTGACATCCCAAGCACTCGTCCAGCTCGGTCCATCGACCTGAGCCAGATTGTGCCTGTCCAAGATGCTTCTGGTAACAGCCGTTGCTGTCCCATTGGAACTGTCAACGATGGTACTGGCTGTGTTTTCCCTCACTCATCTGTCTGCCCTGAGGGTACTCGTCTTGAGGGAAATACTTGCATCAGCGAGAAGCCACCTAAGTGCCCTGATGGTCTGATCTACAATGGTCGCAACTGTATCGGTACTGCACCTAGCTGTCCTCCTGGTAGCCGGTTCAACGGCGAGTCCTGCGAGTCCGAGGCCGAACCACGTTGCAACCCTGGGTTCAAATATCAGGACGGGAACTGTGTCTCCCTTTCTGAAGCTGGATGCCCTCCAGGATTCACTCTCAAGAACCGTCTTTGTACTTCAAGCAGCAAGCCTCAATGCCCTGCCCCTTTCAAGTACGAGGATGGTAGCTGTGTTGATTCAAAGCCGCCGGCTTGCCCTCCTGGCAGTAAACTCGCCGACGGCAATTGTATTGGCGAAGCCCCTCCATCTTGCCCTCCCGGCTATGTCATCAACAAGGGGGTATGCACCCATGAGTCAAAGCCAAGATGTCCTCCCGGATCCAGCTTTGATGGCACTGCCTGTGTCTCCGAGAAGCCCCCATCTTGTGAGCCGGGCTTCTTCAATGGCAAGGTCTGTGAAGACAAGCCCTCTTGCCCTCCTGGATTCAACCTCGAAGGAAGAGTCTGCGTCTCTGAAAGCAAGGCTTCCTGCCCTAGCGGAACCTACATCGTCTCCGACAAGACCAGTGGAAAGTCGGCCTGCTGCTACAAAAACTTTGACTTCAACGGAGACACCTGCTTCAAGTCTGTTGACCATGAGGATGACTGCCCTCCTGGCACTCACTATGACAAGGGCCGCTGCTGGGTTAGTCCCACTGAAGAGCCCAGCTGCCCTACCGGCGGAAAGTGGAACGGAAAGACCTGTATCGTTCAGTCTGTTCCTCAATGCCGTGCTGGACAGTACACCAATGGACGGTGTATCATCTCTGAAAGCCCTCGTTGCCGCCCTGGTGCAGTCTTCAACGGAGAGAACTGTGTCCTCGAAGATCGCGCAGCTTGCCCTCCCGGAAGCGTTCTTAGCGGCAAGAAGTGTATCTCTAGCACTCCTCCCGTCTGCGAGCCTGGCCACACTCTGACCGGCGATTACTGTATCTCAGAGGAGCGTCCTCAGTGTCCCCGTGGATCCACTGTTGTTGGCCGATACTGCAAGTACCCCGATCTTCCTGTCTGTGAGCGTGGCACCAACCACCATGATGACGACTGCACTTCTTCCGTTACCCCAGAATGCCCAACCGGAAGCTCTTTCAATGGGGTTAACTGCATCTCAAACGATCGTCCTATTTGCAGGCCTGGCTACATCTTCAACGGCGCCACCTGTGTCTCCGAGAGAGATGTCCCAGCCTGTCCCAACAACATGCAATTCGATGGCACCAACTGTGTTTCAAAGGAGCGACCTATCTGCGACCCCGGCAAGTCTTTCGATGGCGGTGCTTGCGTCGATCACTCTGACCCTCAGTGCCGACCTGGTCTTGTTTTCGACGGCACCAGCTGTGTATCCAAGGAGCCTCCCCGCTGTGAACCTGGTACCAGCTGGAACGGAAGCAAGTGTACTTCTGAGAAGAACCCTGGCTGTGCTCCCGGTATGAAGTACAACTCTGAGACTGAGACTTGCGACTCATCTCTCAAGCCCCGTTGCCCTACTGGAACTGAGCTCAGAGATGATATCTGTGTATCAGTCACTCCTCCTCAGTGCCCTACTGGCACTACCAGAAAGGGTGGCAAGTGTGTCTCTGTCGAACCTCCCCGTTGCCCTCGAGGTCTTACTCCCAGTGGTGGTCTTTGCATCTCCACCAAGGTACCTGAGTGTGGCGAGGGCACTATCTTCGATGGTAAGCGATGTGTCATTGGCAAGACCGAGGAGTGTTATACTCTTCACACCTGCCCTCCTGTCGGTGCCCCTGGCCTCCCTGCTCTGGGTGGTCGCTAAAACCTATTTCCTAAATCCCCCATATGTATCAGTAGTACGAGCCTCAACTCACAAATTGACAACTTTCTTTCTCTCAATTTCTCTCTGTCAATGATAAAGATTTCTATGCTTTTCCAATCTACGCTGAAGTGAAATACATATGCCCTAGTAAGTGTAGAGTTGTGTATATTAGAGTATATTATTACAAACTTACCTAAAATTATGATGATAAGTTATACATTTTAGTTCATACTAGTCATGATTTTACCTAAGCTTATGATGATAAGCCTGGGCCAAACTAAATGCGTATTCAAGGGGGTCTATTAAGAGGTAACCTTAAAATATCGGTAGTATTGATTTTACACTATTGATATATTCTATCCATATCCTCTGGGATGATCCCATCACATTTAAGCACCGTTACCATTGTAAGCAACGCTGTTGGGAGAGCCGCTGAGAGTACCAGTGATTCTGCCAGTAGTGGCGAGAGACTTAATACGGTTGGTAACAGAGGCGGGGGTGGAGAGACCCTCAAGGACCTGGAGGTACAGAGCAAGACCGGCAACGTGAGGGCAGGCCATGGAGGTACCGCTGATGGTGTTGGTAGCAGAGTTGGAGCCGATCCAGGTGGAGAGGATGTTGACACCAGGGCCGAAGACGTCGACACCAGCACCGTAGTTGGTGAAAGAAGCAGGGCGCCAGCTGGAGTCGATGGCAGCAACGGTCAGAGCGTTGGGAGCGTTGGCAGGAGACTGGCCAGAGACGGGAAGAGGTCGGCCGGCGTCATCACCGTTACCGGCAGCAACAACAGAGAGGACACCAGAGTTGTAGGCAGCGTTGATGGCAGAGGTCCAGGTCTGAGAAGCGGGACCGCCAAGAGACAGGTTGATAACAGAGCGACCAGCACGGCTCTTGGAGGTGATGTCGTTGACAGCCCAGTTGAAACCAGCAAGAATGGTGGAGGTAGATCCCTCACGGCCAGCGAAGACCTTGACAGAGATGATGTTGGCCTAGAAAGCTGGTTAGTCTCTGGATAGCACGGTTGTAGAATATTTGACTTACCCGCTTGGCGACACCATAGGTAGTACCAGCGATGGTACCGGCAACGTGAGTACCGTGACCGAGGGTATCCTCATGAGCACCACCAACAGCGTTGTAACCAAGAGAAGCACGGCCACCGAAGTTGGTGTGGCTGACCTGGACACCGCTGTCAACGACGTAGGCGTAAGAGCCTTGGCCGGCAGTGGTGTCGTAGATGTAGCTGGTTGAGCCGGAGGTTCGGTGAGAGATCGTACCGAGACCCCATGGGGCACCAGACTGGGTGGTCAGAGCACGGTCAGCAAGCTCGGGCTCCGACTCCTCGTAGCTGAGGTACATAGTGTAGTCAGGCTCAACGAAGGCAACCTATAGCATGTAAGCGATCGAATGACTAAGACTAGATGTTTAAACGAACCTCAGGGCTCTTCTTGATCTCAGCAATGGTGGACTTGTCGAACTCGCCAGAGTAAGCGCTCCAGCTGCTGATGTTGAAAGTCTTCTCAACACCAGAAGTGTCACGCTTGTTGAGGCTGCGGCGGTGGACATCACCAACCCAGTTCAAGTGAGCCGCAACAGAGGAGTCAGAGGCGTCGGGCTTGAGGGTGATGATGTACTTGTCGGGAACAGCCTGTCGCTTGGAGAGGATATCGGCAGGAGCAGCGAGGACTGCGGGGAGCAGAGCTCCAAGAGCCAGAGCGAGGCGGCGGATGCTAGTCATGATGAACAGAGAGATACAAGAGGAGATGAGGCTGTGTGGATGGGGATAGTAAAGCTGATTATCGTGGTGATCTCCAAGTGTATTTATACACAGATCAGCATGAATACACTTTAAGTTGATTGATAATACGATTAGATCCAATCATCCATATCATCAACACCAAGTCTTGCGTGATAGCGTTGAGTTTGGATAGAGACTATTCAGCTTCCTAAACCGTCACGGCGGCCGAGGTGTCCAAGTAAGGAAAGTGATAGTGGGTGAATAGTATCAAGCAAAAGTGCCACTGCCAAGACAGACTTGTAGCGGAGTTAGCCTCGAAATATCTTGGCTAGCTACCTTGTAAGACTATGCTCCTCCTTGATTATGTCGCTGATGATTGGAGTTGGGTATCACGGTCCATAAATCTAACTCTGAAAATGTTATTACTGTTCAGAACGAGTCATCAAGACGAAAATAGCTCATTGACGTTGCAAAGATGTTTGTATTCAAGGGTCCAACGGTATACCAGGCATGAAGGCTGCCAATGCTGGGGTTCAGGTGTAGCCGCGGGGTTATATGCTGTCATCATTTTCTTATCACCTCGAATGCTTGGACCTGCTTAATCCTTCCCGTACCTTTTCTCCTAGCGAACATCGGCCTCCCCCGCCATTTGCTTTGCCATGACCGCTATCTCGTTCGGGGCCGCTCCTCACAAAGGGAAAGGTGCGCCGACTTCCTTGGACGGGATGCACCCCCTTGTTAGGGAAAATCATAGTGTCGATCCGGCAAAGGGAGCAACATAGCGCAATATGATGGGATGAATGCGAGATAGTGCTGAGTTGATCGGCAGTAGAGGCCTCGTGTGACCCTGGTACCCCTGGGCCTAATCCTCTTTCTAATGAGCTCGCGTGATTCGGACACATTACCCATACGGGAATATCCTAAGGTTCTTATGTTTGCACTAGAGAGTATGCTTAGTTTATGCATGCGAGATACCTGGCTTAGCGCTCAGCTAGCAGACAGGGGTATCGCTGATTCCGCGAATCAAGGCCTAAAACCTCATCACTATCTCGGTATTAATGACTAGTGCGATGTCGACCACGGAGGTGCAAATAAAGTGTTGGCGATAGGGACTTTAATTGGAGTGTCAGATAAGCTTGACTATGGTCTTGGCTTCTAGCGAGCTTCTTAAATCGGGTATATGTGAGGACATGATACGAGAGAGATCGTCGGGCCGGAAGTCGTTGGCGCAACTTGGCATTCGCCGCTTTGACCTACCTGTGAAAGTGTGACTCAAGATAGCACGGAGCCGATTAGGATGAGGGGATATTCCAGTCTCATAATTGAGTTTATCTACAGATATCCTATAAAGACAGTACAGATACATTGGATGCCTCTTCCTCTCCTACAGTTATGTATCTCTCCCATTTCAATGCCCAAACCTGGCTAGTCCACAAATACCCGCCGCTCCACCTTGACAGAAAGGGGTCCAGGGTTCGAGTTGAATCGATCAAAGATGACGAAGTTCATCTCTTGGTCTGCCAAGTACATGTTGTATCTCCGTACCATGGTTGAAATCAATATCTGCTGTTCAACAATCGCAATGTGCCTGCCAAGGCATTGACGCGGTCCCTGACTAAACACGATGTAGTACCTTCTGAGATTGGACAATTGCTCTGGGTCAAACCAGCGCTCCGGATCGAATTCATCAGGGTTCTTATACAGTTTCCTGTTCCGGTGAATAGTCCATGGTGAAACTGCAACAGTCGTTCCTTGTTTGATGTGATGGCCCGCTATAATTGCGCCTTGGGGACAGACCACGAGACGTTGCAGAGCGTAGGCAATTGGGGGTCGAAGTCTCAATGACTCGTCAATACATGCTCTCAAATATGGAAGGTCCTTAGCAGAATCGTATGAGACAATTCCGTCGTGATTTGGTCCTAGTCTGGCGTCGATCTCGGCTCGTAGCTTCTCGAAGCATTTTCGATTTGAGAGCAAAAAGTATAGGGTACTTGAAAGAGCAGCAGCAGTAGTTTCGCTACCAGCATTCATAAAGACGATGGACTCAGATAGAAGTCTTTCAAAAGAAAGTCCTCGGTCTTTGCCCTCACGGTCCTTCAGAATCTTGCTCATGAAGTCTTGTTGAGAACGATCTGGCGAGCCGTTGCCCAGTCTCTGAGTGCAGCGTCAGTTAGTTTGCCAACGTCAAGGCTGGCATATCATTTACTTCACTCAACTGGTCAATGCAGACGTTATCAAAGTCTTCGATACCCTGGGCTCCAGTTGATTGTTTCAGCCAGTTCGTGGTATTGCAGAGTCGTTTGGCAAGTTTGACGCATCGTATACTGGATAGCTGAGCTAAAGTCGTAGATAACCTTGTCCCTCGATGGAGTGTATCAATGGTACTGGGGATACAGTATTCTTGCCTTCCAGCAGATTTCGCTCTTGTCGCATCGCCTCCATTTCCCAGGAAGCCCATAGGGAGGCCAAAAGCCATATCGCCGATGACATCCAAAGTGAAGTAGTTGAACCTTTGCCTGATTAGTTTATTGGGTCCCGGCGGAAAGTTTCCTTACCATTGCCGAATGTCTAATGTCTGACCGGAAGGAATATTAGTGCTCTGATCTGCAACACCGTCAAGGTGGTCCAGCAATCTCTGGAAATTTTGCCCGATGACAGGCTCCATATCCGTAACAGTTTTGAGAGCGAATGAGTTGGAAAGGTATTTCCTTCGCTGAGAATGGTCACCATGATCAATGACGTTGACAATATCGCGCTCTTCACCAGAAATCTTGTCATAAAATGTGTCTTTCACAAGCTTTCGAGCTGCAGCATGGCCATATATGTCAGGCACGGCTTCCGGGATGTTGAAGATGATGAGACTAGGCGCAATTCGGATGACATCACCAAGTCTTTCATGCTGACGATGGATACTTCTGGAGCGTCGTTGGAGCCATGTTTCCTTGAGAATCCAGAAATGAGTGGTTGCTGCAAGGAAGCTGGGGGCTGGATATTTTCTCAGGCCGAGAGGATCAAGAAGATAGTAAAGAAGTGGCTTCAAGACAAGGACTGCTACTAAAGTGAGAGGGATAAGGAATGCCAACTCTGCTGTGTTTATCGGTAGCGAAAACATGATAAGAGACCATTGGACAGCTGAATGCGCTGTAGGTCATGTTTTGCAGTAGAATATCTCATAATATTTATATTTGGGTGAGATATATGTGAGAAAACATCGGACATAATTACTCATGTGAGCAATTCTGGTTTAGATTTCCAACCGAGTTTTCGATAGTGGCAGTTGCCAGTCAGCCAATGCCCAACATTCGATCGAAAATACCTCTTTGAGGATCGAGAATGATATCACTCTCTGATGTTGTCGAATTATACTTTGCGGCGTAGTGAAAGGTACAGCATCGGACCAACTGACAAAGAAGCTCGGGCAGAAACACCCAAAGAGGCAATTTAGCAGTGCTGCACCCCGCCCTTTTAGCGTAGCGTAGGCAGCCACATAAAAGTCCCCTCGACCAGATTTTCCTTTATGGGACCTTCAGTTCTCGAGCATATTTTCCCAATTCTGCTCATAATAACGCGGTCATTCTGTCTCCTCAAATTCCTCAAGCAATCGATGCGGTAACATGGGTCGAAGATCACAGCACACAGCCTGGTACACTGCATTCTCTCTGCAGCGTTCCTTGGGTATGGGTTGAACTGACGTAACTCACAGCCAAACATGTCAAGATCGTCATTTGAAATGCAAGTATAGGCTTGATGTTAGAACAAGATATCGTAACCATTCTGATACAGTCTCCAATAGGCAACTCAACTAGCCTACCCTGCTCGAACTGCACCAAGTCTAAGAAAGAATGCAAAGCCGGATCATTCTTCCTATTTCGCCCAGGCATCAAGTCCAAAACCTCCAAGACCTCAAAAACAAGAGATAAAACTCGTCGAAATCGAAGTACAACATTACCACTTACAGAGAACAACTCTGATAGTTTAGAGACATCCTTACCTTCAAATACTGCCTTGTATCTTGGCTCCTCTTCATCAAGAGGTCCACAGGCTCTGACACTGACCCGAGAACAAACATCTGTGCTGAGTTCGATCGACAATGACCAAACTTACCAGAATCCGAGCAATATCCCACTTAGCATCAACGAGCTTCTTTGTAGCGAGATTGATGGTACCCTGCCCAGTGGAGACTGCACTACACCGCCTTTCATAGTGAAGCCCGGTTCCCTCTATCTTGATCGTCCGATCGGACAAGCTATTGACCACCGCGGAGCGGAGCTCTTACTCCACTTCAAGACAGTCATAGCGAAACCATGGGTAAGAACATAATTTAGCCCCTCTAAGTTTCTCTTTTCATCTTTAATCGTGGCTATGTAGTTCGAAGTCACAGATCCTGACTTCACCAACGAAGCTCTTCGACGAGCCCCGAGATGTCCTCTCCTTCTCTACTCATTACTTGCTGTCTCCAGTAGCCACAAAAGTTGGTTCTTGGACGACCCTGACATCGCTCAGGACTATGCGAGATATGGAGAAGAATATCATGAGAAATGCATTAGTTTATTGCTGCCTATGCTCAATGACAGTGAAAGTATTACGGACGGTGCATTTTTAGCATGCTCTACCATCCTCCGATGGTATGAGGAGCTCAGTGGTAAGTAATCGGTATTAGAAAATGGTCATTGCTTACCTTTTTAAGCACCTATCCACGGGAGAGATGATGCAAGACATTTGTTGGGAGGCTACGCATCAGTCGCTGAGTCGTTCAGACAAGATCTGCCTTGGGAAGGGTTCCGACAGGCAGCACTGTGGATTCACCTGCGCCAGGATATTTTCAATGCTGTCATTAACCAGAGGGTACCCAGAACTAACGTCAACCGACTGGGAATCGATCGCAGTTCCTCACCCACAGACGAAACAACTTGGGCCAAGCGAGTACTCTGTCTTGAGGCCGAGGTCGTTGAATACTGCTTTAGCCACGAAGGATCATCAATTCAACGGTATACATCCCTCGAAGTCCGCTTGGAGGATTGGGACCGTCAGAAACCACAAACTTTCACGCCAGTCTTTTACCAAGAGCGTGATCCATCTCAAGGAGTATCATTTCCCATCGTTTCTGTGCTCCTAGATAGTTGTGGTCAGTAATCTTCCCGGGCATGCACCAGTAGCATCTCTGACTACGTGTAGTATTTGCTTTGAGCCATTACTATTTCGCCATGCTTATGATGCTCGTCCATGATCCCCGCATGCCGAAAGTTGGTACTCAGTACCTAGAATGTCAGAAGGAAATCAGAGTCAGACTGACCGCTTCGCGGCTATAGTTTTATGACTGACCGCCTCTAGATAAAAATACTACATTTCCTGAGATTACTGTGTGGTCTCGCCTCTTCAAGTCCGGTTCCGCCTGCCAGAGGGATGACGTGCCTGGCCCTTTCGCTATGTAAGAAAAGACAGGTTGATATCTGGATTGGGGACTAATTTTGTTTATAATAGTCGGGTCATGGATCACAGATCACGCGGAACGAGATGCGGCGATAAATGTCTTGAGGAATGTCGACCAAGAAGATGCCTGGCCAACATCAAGTTTGCGACAAGACTTAAGGGCTCAGTGGGAAAGCAGGGACTAGAATGAGACATATAAAGAGTTTCGAGCTGCTTAATGAAAGATATGCACATATACATACTATTCATGCAAGAATACGAAGGCGTCGGCTGAGACCTCGTGATTACCCAGTCAAGACCCCATGTCTGACTCTACGCCATCGACCTTACGTGGTTTCATCCTAACCATGCTAATTATCCTACAACATACATCGACAACGGAAAATACGGTAAAATGCCGTCTCTCAACAGTTGGTGGTGGCGCTTCCTCGAAAACTATGTCTATGCAGCGCCAGAACCTCCGCCGCGAAAACGCACGAAGCCTATGGAGGTGCTCTGCGTAGGCTTACCCAGGTCTGCGACCGAGTCTCTCCAGACCGCGCTTTTGAAGCTTGGATACGATCACACCTATCACGGCTGGGACATCGTGTACGAGACGCCAAATTACTCATCGAAATGGGTTCGCTTATGCCGAAAGAAGTCAGTCAATATTCTTCATCATTGTGCATAGTTACTCACATAGCGGAGATGGTTCGGCTCGCTCGATGGCAACACTACCATTACAAAAGAAGAGTTTGACGAGGTCCTCGGACACTCTGTAGCTGTCACAGATGCCGCAGGCTCAGTGTTTGCGGCCGAACTCATCGCCGCATACCCCGATGCGAAGGTTGTCCTAAACTACCGCAGAGACTTGGATGCGTGGCACGAGAGTGCTGTGAAGACTCTAGTGAGCGTCCATGAGAATTGGGCTCTATATATATTGTCTTGTCTCGGGAAGATACCGTTCTGGGGCTGGCATGTTTATGAACGGTTTATGTGGCCCGGCCTGTTTCGAGCCCTGGACGGCAACATTGAGACAGGAATTGCGAGGAATGGCAAATGGGTTTACAAGGGTAGGTAACTCGCATTACGTTCCAAGAAGTGCCTCAATGATCGTCAAGAATGGCAGTACTAACCAAACCATAGAACACTGCAACATGATCCGCGGCCTCGTTCCGAAAGAAAAGCTCCTCGAATGGACTGTCGAAGACGGGTGGGAACCTTTGTGCAAGTTCTTAGATAAGCCAGTTCCTGACGGGCCATTTCCTCACGTCAATAAAGCTTCTGGCTGGGAGAATCATGAGGCAGAAGTCACTAAACGATATCTGATGAGTGCCTTGTCAGGAGTCGCTGTCTTATCTGCTGTTGGAATTGCAACAGGCGCCATTGTATATAAAACCATGTGGTGAATGCCTGGCACTGATGAGAAAACGAACCTTGGTGATTCGATGTTGCACCTGGCATACAAGATATCTAGAAAGTGTTCTGATGCCTCAATTTGAACCATCCATCATACTAGATGCATTAAGCTAAGAAAAGTGCATGACGCCAATGAAAAACCTCTCCAATATGGATGTAATCAAACTGAAACCGTTCAAGTCATCAACTCTTGAGATAACCTTCTTCGCTCTTGAACCTCATAAGTCATTGACAACGCTCCTGTGAATACCTTCATACACGATGTCCCCACCCAAACTGTACCCTCAACCAAACTAAACCCAAAAAGACAGGTAGAAGGCGGATCAAGTCGTCACCCCGAAAGCCGGAGATGCTAAACCTATAGCTATTCAGCCGCTGCTCATACCTGCTAGCTCCATTTCAAAGAAGTCCATGATCTGATCAGGAGTGCAATTTGCAACCCACACATGGCCTTGGCGGTTGGGAACTCTGGTAGACCCCCGGATTCTGCGGTCCAGAAACGTTGAGAAAGCCCACTGCACCCTTGTCTAAACGGAAAATGGAATGGTCAACCAGTGTATACGTTCCTGGGACAGCCATCTTCATGTCGACGATCGTTGACCCACCGCAAGGAACAGAAACGGTCTGAATACCCTTTGATGGGTTGCTGGTCACGCCACCATCTCGGTACACATTCTTGAAGTGCGTGCCGATGATGTGGAATGAACTAGTCAGGTTTGGTCCAGCATTTCCGAAGAAGATTCTCACATCGTCACCGACATGAGCCTTGAGAGGATGATCTCTTGTCAAGGCAGACTCGCTACCGTTGAAGGTAACGACTTGGGGTTCTTCACGAAGACCATTGGGATATGAGAACTCAACAATTTCGGATCGTCGACCGTCATCATCAACCTCTGGTGGCTCATGGTAGAACTCGCTCTGCATAACATAATACTCCTTGTCCACGGGTGGTAGGTCATTGCCTTCCGGCTGCACGTACATGAGGCCGTACATGCCGTTGGCAATGTGAACGGGGACAGGCGCGGCGGCACAATGATACACGTAGAGACCGGGGTAAAGGAGCTTGAAGCGACCGACCTTGGTTTCGCCCTCTTCAGCGGTAGTGACAGCGGCACCACCACCAGGGCCAGTGAATGCGTGGCAGTCGATATTGTGAGGATTGCCTGCGGGGTCTTTATTCGTGAGGCTCAGCTCCACGACATCTCCGACTTTGGCCCGAATGAAAGGGCCAGGGACAGTGCCGTTGAAAGTCCACTGTTCGTATTTATACTGGCTGGTCAGCTGCGCTAGCTTAGTTGTAGTTACCAGCGGAACCCTGACAAGAGCAGGATGGTCTCTTGTGATAGAAGGAGGAACATTTGGCGCCGTTGTGAGGATGGCGTCTTCTTTGGGGAGCTTTGAGATCAGCAATGTCTCGTCGTCAACTGTCTCGAAGATCTTGTGCTTATGATCTCCGCCAATAGCAGGTACCATGGCTATGGATGCCTGGGATGGTCAGCTATACTCAAGCCTGAGTCAGTGATGTAACTTACCTCATCATCGACGCAGCATGAAAGAGGCTTCTCCTGGTACGTAGTGGTTTGTTCGTCTTCACAACATCCAACAGCCTTTTCTTGGATCACCTCTGGCTTCTCGTCCACGCAATGGGCACATTTTGGCTTCTCTGGCTTCTCTGGCGCCAGGCCCAGCTTCACTGGCTGGGGGCCTCGTTGGTAAAGATAGTAACTGAGGGCAAGCCCCGTGGATACAGCCAGCGCTGGAGTAAGACGAAGATTACTGACTCGACTATTGGACCTAGTATTCGATGAAAAGGATCTGGCTCCGATCACCGGAGCCCGCCTGGCTGGAAGTGAGAGGTTTCTGATGAAAGCAGTAGAAGCAGCAGCTCTACTGGCAATAGGAAGCAGTTGACTGGTTACTGGAGCAAGGGTCCAGCATGTCGTCACCATGCGAGACATAGTGAAATAGGATAAAGTGGAAGTAGTTGCAAATATTGAATAATTGTTGGTTCAGATTATCCAAACTCTAGCAGTAATCAGACCTGGTCGATCTTTATACTGCGATTACCAGGCCATGATATGGCTCACAAAATAGTACTAGAGCGCGGAGATCTATGTTTGAGTGCTTTGTAATATGACAGCTGTTACTGACGCATGATGGGGCGGACATGGTTTAGTGGTTGACCTTGATTCCATAGCCCTGATCATTGGTGAGCCCGAAATGGCCACCTGAAAACGTCAACTTGCATTTCTCAATGCTGAGCCAAGTAGCTACTTCCCTATAAAATCAGCCCTTTATAAATAGGTTGGGGCTTATTCATTGCTAAATGGATGTCCTTTATTTAACCACACTCCTAAAACAACGATGGTGACGCCCAAGAAACAATATTTAAATTTCAAGGTGGTTAGGGCTAAGCTAGCAGATGTTCAACTAGAAAGGGGAAGGCTAGGACATTTCTCGGCTTTGCGAGAAGCAAGACCACACGTCTTGTGAAGTGGAATGCCTTTCAGTCAGATCATACGTATCATATCATCATGAGAATAGCGCATCTCCGCGGCTCGACGCTTCGCCCTCCAAGTCGAACTACGACTGAAACGGCACCCAATCAACAGTCCTCCACTGTCTCGCCTCCAAGAACAGAATACGAAAATTTGCAACCCCTCGCAAACTTGTTTTGTTAAGTGCGGTGCGAAACTCTATCTGTTATTACCTATGTGTTTGGCGCTTTTATTCCCGAATGGAGGCGACAAAGTTGGAAGAGGAATCAATGATTCTTGCAATGGATTCACTGGTTGCTCCGCGGCATGGACGCTTCATCTTATTTGAGTTCATAGCACAGACTTTGGGGGCAAAAGAACAACAGGCTCAGATATTTCGAGTACCTGTGCTAAGCGGATATATCGGAAGCTTAACATTCAGACCCAAAGCTTCGTGAACAAGTAAAGCAATGATTACTCGTTGAACGATAAGTGAGTCAAAGCACCTGAGTCCGGGAATATTCACCTGGATTCCTCGATGAATTCTGCTCCTGCTTCTTTTCGAATAAACTTTTATTCCTACCATAAAGGACTTGAGGATATTGCCTGATAAGCTACCTTATTTTGGCTGGTAGCTGAAGTAAACTCTTGTTTCGAGACGACAAATTTCCAATTGAACTAGATCTACGAAAACGCTTATAGGTCTGGCAACTAATTAGTATGAATGTGTCTCATTCCATTGTCATTTATATCCCCATTTGTATATCTATTAGCCTTAAGCGCCAATTGGTTGCCTCAACTCTACATAGTTAGAAAGGAATCTATGTAGGATCGGAAGTAAGTCCATAGTCATCTTTAGTGGGATCTTATCTGCTCAACATTTTGCTTATCACCAAAACCAGGTGTTCCACCAAGTGAGCCAAAGATATCACCGATATAATTCTGGGCAGGGATGCCAGCCTCGAATCTGGTGGACCACTCCTCCAAGATCCCCTCAATTACCTTGAGAGCAGTAAGATAGAGATTGCGAGTAGATGGCCCCAAGCCACCTTTGTCCATAACGAAAGGAAGTTGATGGGGCTTATCCTCATGTCCTCGATCGAAGTTGGAAGCAGATCGAATCAGGAGGATTCGCGAAAAGTCAGCCTTCCCTTGAAGTGCTGCGTTCAAGAGACCAGCCAGAAGGGCATTATCCTCCTGAGCTGTCATTGTGTACTCTCCCTGTCCTGAAGTATAGACTCTCGCAACCTTCTCCATAGCTTCAGAGATTCGATGACCATGCCAGAAGGTATTGGAAGACAGAACATCTCCCTCAAGAACAGTTGGATCCTGAGCCGCTGCGTCAAAAACACCACCAGAAGAGTCCTTCCACAAAGCTCGATGTTCAGCAGCTTTGGGTGAGTCTGTAAGCTCAACAGTCTTGGCAACGGAAAGAGCGTAGTCTCTCAAGTCTGCATTAAGCTCAAACACCTCAGAGCCATGCACAATACCAGGAAACTGGTCAGGCCTGTCTGCTCCCATAGGAACATACCCTGACCCCCATTCCTCCGGGACTTCTCTCGCATCAAACTCAAGCTGCGTATCAACCTGAATGGCGAACTTGGCAAAGGCGACAGAGCCAATAGTAGCTCGCTTGGGATTAACGCCTGCAATGCCGGTCAATAAGAAGTATGACTTTGTGAGGTTGAAGAGCGGCGATGCCAGGAGAGCACTGATCGATAAAGACGCGTTGATAACTGTCTCGGGTCAGAGAGGAGGCTTTTGAGGGGGGTTGAATTCTTACGGGCGGTTCCGACTACCAAAAGTGCGACTTCGCCATTCTCTGTGACGTGGATATCTTCGTAGCCCCTAGCCAAGCCCGGAACGCGCACTGTACGAGAGAACTGAAGAGCACTATCAGGAGAAAGCCAATTCCTTGATTCTTCGTAGAACTTGCCACCATTAGTTCAATGCTATCCCAAAAACCAAGTCTCACTCACCATAGCGATAAGCAGGACTTTGGGCGTTATCTTAGCGCCAGTTGGCTGCTGCGCCTGGAGCCCTTGCACGACTGAGCTTTGTGCACTCATGATGCTTCGTATTGGTGGGTATGATCACGGATGGTCTTGATTCTGCTCCTGAAGTTTGGAAAGATTTTCTTGAGGCAATAAGTTGATAAAAGACAAAATGATCTCATTTAAGCCTGGGCGGGGTCGAGATGGCGTGATCAGCGCAACTAACATTTGGGCTCCCTTACTATCCATTTTATCTACCAGCCGAGGCTCACGATCCTCTCGTGTCCACTGCCTCAGTCCTCTAAAGTGAGTTCCAACCAGATAAAGGAACGGAAGCTTCCACATAGCCCTCAATCCGAGACTCGTTAGCAGAGCCAATGCCACGCCCCAAGAATGAAAGCGACGGGCAGAGCCAGTTTCGCAATGTAAATCATCTGCTCTCTTTGATTCTGTGACCGAATGCGCATTTGTTCTTCATAAAATCGCCTTGCTTCCGCAGCAAGCCTCTCTGAGTCGGCAGCTATATCTTCGCCCGACCTGTTGCAGATCCTTTCGATCATGGCCGACACGTCGGCTTTCGAAGCTTGTCGTGCAGTTTGTTCTTTTATATTGCTGGGCTGTTGTCCTGGTCCCGGATGCCCGGTTTTTTTATCTTGTGCCATGGAGTCGAACTGATGGCCTTGGTCGTGGATCAAGCGTCGGAGATCGCGGCGTTATGGGCAGAGTATTGAATGGGTATCTCTATGGTGGCTATTTACCTGTGTAGAAATGATAAATTCTCTCACCCACCTCACATGTATTTTATCTAGAGTGATCATGTCTGCCTTGGCTGAAGCCTAGGCAGATTTGTGATTGTGCAATCAGCCTCAGTCTTAGGTGGCTTGGCCTGGCCTGTGTCACCCTGCAGCCTCATATGCTGCATTCCTCACTACGTCCTTCGTCTATGAATATTTCAACTTCAACCAATTATCCAATACTCTTCGCTGAAGTGTTTCCCTGTTGTATGAGAAGATTAGAGATCTGACATTATCAAGCCTCGGAATCGGAATTGGCTGCCGGACTCGCGGCCGAGCCGAGCCGTGGCTATAACTGTTGGTCTCGGCGAATAAAGGTGCAATTTTGTAAGCTTCAATTGTAGCCGTGCCCGAAAAAGATTTTGATGTGTAGACAGGAGCTAAATGTATGTATAATAGTATAGCTTGCGTGCAGAGCAGCTGTACCATAGAAATGGAAAGTAAAAAAGAGTTGGCCATGCCACAAGCTTTCACTGTCAGCCTGAAAGCCCATAGTTAAATATAAAGAGATGAGATGTGTTGTTCCTAAGTCCTTAGTCATATCTAGATCTGCAATGTCGTAAACTCATCAACACTGGTTTTGATGATGATGATGAAACAAGATCCTGCCCATGATCCCCTTCATACCTTCCTTCGGCCGAAGAAGTCCATCACCTCCAAGCTGCCATGATCAGAGACATATACCCGCTTGTCTCCATCTGTGATATTGATCGTTACCAACCCAGCATACCTTGTATACCACGTCTCCCACTCCTGACTCGTAGTTGGGTAAGGGAAAGACGCGATCACCTTCTCCTGTCCGTCAAAGCGAACCTGCGCAAGGTTGTCACCCGTTGTCTTGACCAGGTAAATACAATCAGAGCTGGTCGGCTTGCCTGTATCTGGCTGTGCGATCTTGACTCCCTCCAAGCACACAAGTTGGTCGTCGCTCACATCCACAAGGACCTCGTTCCCGCGGACGACGAAGAGTAGAGGGACCTCACGACCACCACAGTCTTGGCGGAATCGCACTGAGGCGGAAACTATAGACAGCCCACCCACATCAGCGCGTCCCCAGAGCCAGTTATCCAGGATCGTCTCCATCGGGACGTTGCCCCAGTTGTGATCATGGTAGGCATTGCCTTCAACCTTGGTCTTGGTGTTGTTGACAGTGACCTCTCCGGTCATTTGGCCGCCAGGAACAGCTACGAACCATGAGAAGTGGCAACCCTCAACGTCCCATCGGCCTGAGCCCGGACGATACGATGGAGTAGTTCTCTTGACCACCACGTCGAAACCGAATCCTTCCATCTCATCGGGGTCGACAAAGATGTGATACTCACCCAGCCCATTGACACTGCGGAAGTAACTCTTACGATACTGCAGATCACAATGACCTTTTGCCACGACAATTTCGGCAGGGAGGCTGCCAATGCGCTTATGCAAGTCACAAAGTTTCTTGCCGTCCTTGGCGATGTTCAGATCAATGATTCCCGTCTTGGGACCGTCTCCTTCTGTTATGTAGAAGGAGGCCACCTGGAGGAACCATCCATCTTGAAGATGTGCGTCGGCGTACCACCACTCCCACTCTCCACTTTCGGCACCAGGACTGCGTAGGCCGTCTTCCCAGCTCGCAGGTTCAGAGCTGTCTAACCCGAGCTTTTGCAAGCTCTGGTTATCAGTGAGGAGGTGTCCTCGTGACGATTCAGTCATAGGTAGGTATGTTTGTTTCGAGTATGTTGGAAGCTCTGTAGTCATTGAGAGGAGAAGAAATGTTCAGGATTGAGTTGAGTAAGGGTAAGTATGTATATCGAGTCAATCTTTGACATTTATATATCGCCGTATCACGTACGTCCAAGTGCGATTCATCGTTATTCAGACTTTTCTGACTTGCCTAGTGCTTTCGCTTACTCCAACCGTATGATTTTGGATGCCATCATGCCACTAAGATCAGAACACAACAAATATACTATTAGCTATCAGTTACACGTGTCGATTTAAGCTTTTGATAGCTAAGATACCGGGATGTCTTGTCGTTCCGCAGCTTCCGCGTAGAGCATACTCGGGTGCTGCCAGCAAACCTCGCTGAGCTTCTACACTGATATTGGTTGCTTGAACCCTGTCCAGTCTTTCATGATGACATCATTCAAAAGTTTATACAGTACCCAATTACTAGTAGCTAGTATGCTTCTCTTTCTAGTATACGGTTCAGGCGGTAGTAACCTCGAGTCTCGGAATTGCAAGCGACCTAGTGGAGTTCTCGGCCGAACCGAGCCGCGGTTATGGCTGCCAGTCTAACCTACGCGGAGGTCCAACTCCATAAGAGTATTCATATAAATTAAAATTAGGGACTGGGGTACAAAGAAACATATAATGAAAGCAGAATATTGCGTGCGACGGGGATCATAGAATACTGTAGGTGTTGGTTGAGATGAGAGCGGGGTTGAATCGATAACGAGGATATGACAGCTTGGCTGCGTAAGCGGGGCTTGACGATCAATGAATTGCCTCAACTTTCGAGATCCCCGACTAACGACTCAGCTCTCTATAGAATCCATTCTCGAACCACATAGCAATCATGTCTTCAGAACAACTCAGCGCTGGCTCACTCTTCAGCCTCAATGGCCTTGTCGCGGTCGTGACAGGCGGAGGTTCAGGTCAGTGAACCCCTCAAAGCACAGATCACAACTGATCGTATTACAGGCATCGGCCTCATGTTCGTCAAGGCGTTACTCCAAAATGGTGCCGCAAAGGTCTACATCGCTGGTCGAAGGAAGGAAAAGCTCGATGAAGTCGCCAGCTCATTGGGCGACAAGGTCGTTGGGGTCCAGTGCGACGTCACCTCCAAGTCAGATCTGCAGAACATGGTCTCTCAGATTGAGAAGGACATTGGGTACGTCAACCTGTTGGTGTGCAACTCTGGTATTGGAGGACCTCAGGTGAAGCCAATTACTCCCGAAACAACCTTGGAAGAATGGGCCAAGTCCAACTTTGACACTGATTTCGGCGATTATGTCAACACTTTCGCCATCAATACCGCGTCGGTTTGGTTCACCAGCATGGCTTTTCTCCCACTTCTGAAGAAGGGCAACGAGAAGGGAAATGTCGAGCAGACGTCACAAGTCATTGTTACCAGCTCCATCGCCGCATTCAACAAGAAAGCCCCCGGCGGTTGGGCATACGGGCAGTCCAAGGCTGGAGCTGTTCTAGCAGCCAAGCAGCTTGCCGTTGCCCTTCCCCAGTGGAATATCAGAGCCAACTGCATTGCTCCTGGATGTGAGTCAATTCATGGAAATCTCGAAAAGTGGCATTCTAACGTTTCACAGTATTCCCCAGCGAGATGTCAGAGCCAATTGTCAAGATGTATACCGACGAGTCAGGACAGCCTGGTGCCGTGCCAACGTCAATGGCACCGCTTCGAAGAATGGGAGATGAGAAGGATATGTCAGGAACTTTTCTATATCTAGCATCTCGGGCGGGTGGATATTGTAACGGCACAGTTATAGTCGTCGATGGTGGTCGCTTGAGTAACTTTCCGACCACGAATTAGGACAAGTTCTTGGACCGCAGGACAAGATACATTAAATACAAAATTACAATAGTTTCTGTATTTTTATTCCACCAATTTCAAGGTATTTTGTCTATATCTAAGAGTTTTCCAGAGGCAATCCTGGACTCGTTAGAATTGGTACCTTATTCCGGCTGGGGTTTCTTACGATACTGAGCCAATCACGCTTCAAGATGGATAAACTGTAAGTTTCTCTATCATCAAGCAGAAGATCCATCCTCGCGCTGTGTCTCGATTGGCAATTGCCGAGATCTCACATGAAAAAGATCGGGCTTGCAGGTTGGTACCCGAAGTGCCGTTCGATGAACTAGGACTTTACCTCCAGTCACAACAAAATTGCTCATTCGGGACTGGTGAAACCGGCCTGCAATGACTGCATGATTATCACATTCGATGAGCCATTAGAGCTTCAATTATATGACGGCTTGGTAGGCTCCTCGATCGTATTCACGATACACCGCATTCCAAGTCACCCGATTGCTGCCTTGAGGGATCTGCTAGCCGTGAATCCTCAAACGCCATCTCAGGAACCATTGGCTCGTTAGCGGGGGATCGCTGAGGTGAGACTGAGCTGGCGGGAGGCCCATTTAGTGGAGACGGGAGATGACAAAAAGCCTGAAACTGTAAACGGCGAATTCATGTGGAGGCGAGCTACTCCTTTTCTGACACCCAGGCGACGCTTGGGCGCTTCGCCACAGCCCTCAGCGGCATTGCTGCCTGTAGTCCTACCAGAGTACAGGGGGTTTCTGTGCAACACGGACGGGCAAGTGACTCAGCCCGGCAAGGCATCTTGGCAATCATCGTCGTATCGAATTCACGATGATAATGCATGCAGGCATGCGCGAGCTGCCTGATTAGGCCAGAGGCCTTTGCAATGTGCGTTTTGTTATAAGAGACATTCGTATCCAGGTCTTAACACCATCATCTTCATTCACACCAACTCCAATCATTTCTCCTTCATTCACAATGGCGCGTACTTCACAAACAAGGGCTACCAAGCGTGGCGGCCGTCGCAACACCACAAACAACACGCGCAACACACGCAATCACAAAGAGAATGATCTCGAATACATGGCTCTCAAGCAAGAGGCAGAGCGACGCGAGCGCATCCTCGCTGACCGACGCCGAACTGCTGCCAAATGGCGCCCCAAGATTCCCGAAGTCCGAAAGGTCAACTTTGAGAACTTCAAGAACAGATTCCAAGACATCGATGAGCCTGACTATGCCATTGACGTTCTGATGTCGGGTACTGGTACCCAGGCTCAGATCCGTCGTGAGCATGGTCTTCGTCGACGTGAGGAGATGGCTCGTCTCCGTCAGAAGTACATGTATTACCCTGGCGGTGGTGTTATTGAGACGCCTCATCGCAAAACCGATGCCTATGAGAAGGCTCGACGCGAGAAGGATAGCCAACCATCTTCCGACTCTGAGATTCAGCGCATTCGTATCCAGTCCCAGCCCATCTTGGGCCACTTGACAGCTCTTATGAACGACACCGAGAAGCGATCGTCTCCCCGAACATTTATGCGACCCTTCAAGACCCTGGTTCACTTCCAACCCAAGATGCGAGAGATTCTTGCGACTCTTGAGGACAAGTGGGCTGACTTCGAGGACATTGGTAGCGAAAGCTCCGAGGCTGTCGATGTCGCTGAAGAGACTGAGGCAGAGGTTGTCGACGAGGAGGACGCCGCTGAAGATGGTGATGATGTCGCTTCTCAAACATCTGAGGCTTCAAGCATTGAGTCGGTCGACTCCGACGCCGACGAAGATTACGACAATTTGATGGACAGCCCCGAGGCGCTTCGCGACATGCGATGCTACGTTGACTTTGTCGACAAGGAAGTCCTTCCTCTTTACAACCGCTTCGAGGGCTCTACCGCCGACCGCGTCAAGTTCGACGATCTCTGGTCCCTCTTCCGCGTCGGCGACCTCATCTACATGCCTGCATCTGGCGAGACTGGCGGTCGTTACCACGAGATCTGGCGTGTCTACAAGGTCCGAAGCCCCGAGCCCGAGACATCCTATCCCACCTCTGGCTGGGACTTCTTCGCAGATGAGCAGCAGATCGACGAGAACTCCAAGTTCAAGATCTCCGCTTATTACATCGATCACGACGGCAACACCTTTGGCGCTGTCCGGCGCAAGTTTGAGATTGAGTCGTTCATTGGAGAGCGATCAATTGACTCACTCGAGGCCTTCCCCATCCGATACCGCCACGACTACAAGCAGCTTCTCAGCTCAATGCAAGACCAGGGCCGCAAGTTCATCAACTACTTGGAAGATCGCCATCAGCAGTACAGCGCCTGGACTTTGACCAGAAACCCCCCTTCTCATCGCACCGAGCCTGAAGAGGAGATCCTCGATAACGAGGACTATGAGAAGATGCGACATCCTGAGTTCGTCGAGAGTGATGTCATCGTCGATCTCACAGAGGCTTACCAGAAGATGCCTGACTGGCGCCCGCGATTCCATCAGCTCACGATCAACAAGTCTTCCCGTTGCGAGATCAAGGATGACGAGATGCCTATCCAGCATTGGTTCAACGGCACTCGCCAAAACATGGCATACTCTCAGAATGAGATCATCCAACACGCCGATGGTGTTGAGGCCCGTCAGCGAAGGGACAACCTTGCCGTTGACGCTTTCCTCCGCGTTCGTGTCAAGGGCAGCCGAACCTTTGAGACCAACCCCAAGGCTTTGGAACTTCGCGATGAGGATCTTGTTCTTCTTCCTAAGCGTATGTTCGCTTATGCTCTTCGCGAGCGTCGCTTCTTGCCCATCGATCTCAATGTCCTCAAGCCCGTGCGACGCGAGCCTGGTGTCTTTGAGAACCTTCGCATTCAGAGCGATTACAAGGATGTCGTCCGTGGACTTGTCATGTCGCACTTCCAGCGAAAGGTTCTTGAGCGCAAGTATGCTGATGCCGCGACTGAAGGTCCTAGCCAGGATCTGATCCAGGGCAAGGGCCGTGGTCTCGTTGTGCTTCTGCATGGTGTTCCTGGTGTTGGAAAGACTGCCACCGCTGAGGCTGTCGCTATGGAGAACCGCAAGCCACTGTTTGTCATTACTTGCGGTGATCTTGGGCTTACACCCCATGAGGTTGAGTCTTCGCTGAAGAACGTCTTCCGCCTTGCTCATCTCTGGGACTGTGTTCTTCTGCTTGACGAGGCGGACGTGTTCCTCTCTCAGCGATCCAAGCAGGACATGAAGCGTAACGCTCTTGTCTCCGTCTTCCTCCGTGTTCTTGAGTACTACAACGGTCTTCTCTTCTTGACTACCAACCGAGTCGGTACAATCGACGAGGCCTTCAAGTCTCGTATTCACCTCTCCCTGTACTACCCTCCTCTAGACAAAACTCAGACCCGCGACATCTTCCGCCTCAACATCGGCAAGCTCAAGCAGATTGAAGCCGAGCGCCACCGCATGACCGGCGAACCCGCTCTCGTCATCAAAGAGAACGAGATCATCGACTTTGCCGCCAAGCACTACGAGGAACTGGCCCGATCAACTGGATGCTGGAACGGTCGACAAATCCGAAGCGCATTCCAGATCGCGTCCAGTCTCGCCATCCACAACTACGCCAACCAGGCTGAGGCAGCTCGATCCCGCGGTCAGAGCCCTCCTGCGGCTCCTGTTCTGGACAGGACTTGGTTTGAGAAGGTTCAGATGTCGACACAGAGCTTTGACCGGCACATGAAGAAAGAGGCTGGTAGCTATGACTCTGAGATGCCGATGCGAAGCACATTCCAGGAGAGCAAGTTTGACTAAGGCTAGGGATTCCACAGCTGGACTGGGAATATGATTGATCACGACTGTTTTCGTTGTTTCCTTATTTTGGCGTTAGTAATTATAAGAAAGTCAAAATTAACATCCTTCGAATTTGAGATGAACAATACACCACAATTCACGTAAAATCGCATCAGACTCTGAGTGGTTCGAGATAGATTAACAAATTCTCTGAATTATCTCTTGACCTGTTTCTATTTCAACGATTTGTGAGCCCTTTGCTGTCGCTTGACCTGATCTGCTACGTTAATTGCTTTGAAGTGGCCTAACCTAAACCATGTCACTTGCTCGTCAATTCTTGGAGTCGATGTCTTCACCTAATCTCACATACAGTCAATTGATTGCAGCGGTGGAATAAAGGACTTCTGGTTTCGTATGATGCCTTGCTCACACGCGAGGGAGTTGGACGCATTCGAATCATTGAGGTGAATCTGACGACGACACCTCAGGGGGCTACACCCCAGAACACAACATCTAAGGAGCGTGCCAAGAAGCTGTCTCGGACTAGGTTTGATTCCAACTCGTGCTCAAACTTACTCGTTGAAGCTCATCAAAACAGATCTGAGAAGGCACCATCGGCCAACGCCTCCAAAGGTATCGGAGAAAGCGGTTGGAAAGCAGCCAGCAACCCTGGTCACATCCAACGAACAACCGGACTCGGTAGCTGGCCCTAGCAGCCCAAGGGCGTCACAAGAGCCGACACCCCAAGTCAAACATCCTCAGTCAACCCCAGGGAAACACACGGAATCCTCGTCCAGTGAGATGAAGACGCCACCAAAGGACGAGCCAATTCCTCGCAGCGATGAGGACATTTACAAACCCCGATACGCTTCCATGAGCCAGAGGCCCAAACTCAAACCCAGGTCACGGAAACGGCCTGGCTCGCCATCATCCAGCCCACCAATGTCTTCTCCCTTGAGTCAGATCCCAGATGATGTAATTCGTGGAATAGAGAGACTGAGGATTGCAGACACATCTGAGGTGACTCTTCAGTCGCCCAAACTTATCCCGGTAGCGTAGAAGAAAGACGCACGGAGTTACTACCATGTGGAGAAGGCTGAAGACTATCTTATCAGTAGTTATGCTTAATTGTTTGAACTTTGTGTGCTTTGCTTTATCAGCGGTGCCATATCCTTCTACTAAGTTCAGCTCAGTAGAATGGGTTGCAACGCCTAAGTCCAAGCAGAAACCGATATCCAGTCGAGATTTTAACCTTAGTTGCGTTAGTTTACTCGGCAAGCTGGTTGGAACTACGCATTCCACTCCCCACGCGACCCAGAGCGCGTTGACGGCCGATCCTGGTCGATTGATAAACTATCCTTGAACTTCAGGGTCCTGATACAACGCAAGACATGTTGCCGAGAAACCGATACTTGATACGCTTAGTCTATTTGATGGACCGTAAAATTGGTAATACTTGGATACTGATGGTTATCATGCCATGTAAAATTTCTTGAGGCAGTGCCGCGTAGTTTCTCGGCAAACGTGCCGAGTACCGCGACTAGCGGTTGTTAGTGAAGCTACAATACAACCTCGAACAGCAGAGAAGCATAAACTCTTACACGCTGATTTAGGTTCCCCGTTAAATGTTCTGGGCGAAAAAAAAAGAGGAAGGAAAAATACGTGATACAGGCTGTCGACGAGCTTTTGTCTATTGGATGATCCGACAATTGACGAAGCCAGCTTGAGTGCCGAGAGTTGCTAAGATATCTCGGCATACGGCACGCGAAGAGCCACAGAATTAACTCATGCCAACATGACTATTTTTTGCAGTGGAGTCCACGCCAAGGTCGCCGAACCGACTTTGCCGTCGTGACGGCTTGGCAGATCTTGTTATAAGATAATCGGTCATCATTTTCATCTTATCTGATCCGGTCTGATGTGATCATCGTGAGCTCTGCATCCGAAAACCCTCATGATGAGTGCAGCTACTGAGAAAGGCCACGCTGAGGCGGAAGTGACCTCTCCTAATGAGGGTCTGGTCCGACCAGAGACATCTTCAGGTACGTTGCTAGCTTGTACTTTGACAAGTTTTTTATGCTCATAAACTCAAAGGCGAATCTGTCGAGGAAGTTCTGTCAGCGGCTGGCGTGGGTTTCAAGGATGATGATCCAACTCTACCATGCCTGACTCTTCGCATGTGGACAATCGGCATTGCCTTCTGTCTTGTAGGCAGTGGTGTGAACACTCTTTACACGCTGAGATTCCCATCCATCAGTCTTTCGCAGTCCGCAATCCAGTTCCTGGCGTATCCCGTCGGCAAGGCATGGGAGTATGCGATACCGGACTGGGGTTTCACCTTGTTCGGCAAGCGACATAGCCTGAACCCTGGACCCTTCAACCATAAGGTATTTGCTCCCTAGAATCCTCGAAAAGATACTCGCTAACCGTGGCTCAGGAGAACATGCTTATCTACATCTTGGCCAACCTCAGCTTCTTGACCCGATTGAGCGCCGATGTCCTCACCGAACAGCGCGTCTTCTACGGCCTCAAGGCAGGATGGGGTTTCGAGATCCTCGCAACATTGACATCGATCCTGTTTGGCTTTGCTCTGTCAGGCTTGACGCGATCAGTAGTTGTCGAACCGAAGAGCCTCGTTTGGCCAGGCGTGCTTGGAAACACAGCTCTCAACGCAGCCTTGCATACACCACGCAAGGAGGTGATCGCTGGGTGAGCACTTCTCTCAGTGCTGTCGGAGGCGGATTTTACTAACTTGTTTGCAGCAAGATTTCTCGTTATCACTTCTTTATCCTCGCCTTCTTCGCCTCTTTCTGTTGGTATTGGTTCCCCGACTTCATCTTCCCTGCCTTGGGTTACTTTACATGGATCTGCTGGATCGCCCCCAAGAACCCTGTCGTCAACCAGGTGTTTGGCATGAAGAGTGGACTGGGGTTGTTGCCCTTCACCTTCGACTGTGTGTGCTCGCCGCTCTATGATTCGAGGCTTCGGTCACTAACGAGCTATTGCTTCAGGGAGTCAAATTGCCTACATCGGATCACCACTTGTAGTCCCAGTCTGGGCTATCCTCAACGTTCTCGCCTCCCTTGTCTTCTGGATCTACATTGTTAGCCCCGCGCTCTACTACTCGAACACCTGGTTCTCAGCCCATCTGCCGCTACAAAGCAATTCAATCTTTGACAATACCGGAGAAGTCTTCAACGTCTCGAAGGTTGTCAATAAGAAGGAAGGCTTCACTTTTGATCATGATCTGTATGCACAGTACTCTGACGTAAGTCTCGTCCCATCACGCCTCCCAGAGGTAAGAGATGCTAATGCCCTCCCCCAGATCTATCTCCCAGTAACCTATGCGCTTAACACTTTCGGTCTGTCGTTCGCCACCATCTCGTCTCTTTTTGTCTGGCTCTTTCTCGAGAAGCGCCGGGACTTAGTGAGAACATTCCGCGATGCATGCAAATCGTTGACGTCGAAGAACACATCAGGTCGCGACAGACTGCAGCCACAATATGATGCAGTTCCGCTTTGGTGGTACATGATCGCTGCCCTTGTAGCATTGGGCATTGGTATCTTCACCTATGAGTACTACCCCGTTCAGCTGGGTTGGTATGGTGTGATTTTCGGCATGGTAGTATCTTCTGTCTTCTTCATCCCTGTGAGTACCTCGGCCTCCACTCATAAGTATTCTCCTGACTTTTGAAGCTCGCTTGGGTGTATGCTACTAGCAACATCAAGATCCAGATCGATATCTTCTGTCGCATCATCGCTGGTTACGTCTGGGAAGGCAAGGTCCTGGCCAACATCTGGTTCTTCAACGTTGGATATATCTCGGGTATCAAAGGCCTTGCCTTTTCTCAGGATCTGAAGCTTGGTATCTACTGTGGTGTAAGTGGTCCTTGTCTCAAGGTGATCGACTCTCACCATATCAGATCCCTCCTAGAAGTCTCTTCCTGGTCCAAGTAGTCGGCCTTATTATCGGAACTCTTGGTCAAGTATCCGTCCTCAACTGGGCACTTGGAAACATCCCCAACGTTTGCAATGCCAAACTTGCCCCGAACGGTTTCACTTGTCCCTTCTCTCGAACTCATTTCAACACAAGCATGGTCTGGGGCGCCCTCGGTCCCCGTCGCTTCTTCGAGCCAGGCGCTCTTTACAGGCCCTTGCTCTGGTTCTTCCTGGTCGGAGCTCTTCTTCCTGTCGTCGTATACCTCCTTCGAACCAAGGCCTTCCCTCATATTAATTGGCTGAAGAAGATCCATGTTCCGCTGTTCCTGGGCGGCTTGAACTATATCCCGCCTGCATCAGGTGTTAACTATGGCAGTTGGGCTTTATTCGGTATCTTGTTTGGCGTCCTTGTTAAGAAGCGCAAGGCCAGCTGGTGGCATCGATTTAACTTTGTTCTGAGTTCCGCGCTGGATTGTTCTGTAGCCATCGCTGGCATCGTCATCTTCTTTGCCGTTTTCTACACCGGCGCCGCGGATAATTTCAGTTGGTGGGGAACCAACGTGTACAAGGTCAGTGATGAGAGTCATCGAGATGTGCTGCCGGCTAACGATGTAAATAGGACACCTGCGATTGGAAGAGTTGTCCTTACAAGGCGTTAGCAAAAGGGCAGACGTTTGGACCTTAGTGGCCCACGAGTATAGCAAGCCTAAATCTTTGATATCTAATTAAAGAATTTAGAATAAGAAGTTTAGCAACACGTTTAAGAGTAATGAAGCATATATGTAACCTTGTTTGCTGGAGCCAAATGGCGCGACGTTTTTTTTTTGCTTTCATGCGCTGACTGTTTAGGTTACAGAGGATGTGTGCCCCTGTACCGGCCAGGCACCTTGTGATGCGTAGAAGGCCTTCTGTAAAATAGTGATCAGACACGCTAATACTGGATGGAGAGTTCCAATACCACATCGGCAAAGTTAATCTTGGTAGCTAAACAAGCAAAGCCTCATCCTTCGGGGACATTCCACCTGCCGGAAGCAAATTACAGGACAATCATGCAGTATTTCTAATGCAGTAAGGATTATAACGTGTGATGATCAGCATTGATGCGGGGAAAGGAGGGAAATAACATGATGATCCCCTGGAGCTCTTCGCTAAGCGCTGACGATGTAGACGTCATAAGGTTCACACAAACTCAACGTGGTATGCAGGCGGGGAACACGGAATGGCATGCTAAGGCAATACAAAAGCTCCTACATCCTCATGCGCAATTTCACTCATCGTAACCATCACTTTTCAAAATGTTCTGGTCAAATGTTGCCTCCGTTGCGGGGCTTGGCTCTCTGTTTCTTGACGTCGCTTCAGCGCAGACAAAATACGAGGTTCAAAAACCTCCACTTGACACCGACTGGACTTACAAGGTCGGCACCAATCCTTGGCCGGAACATCCGCGACCGCAGCTCAAGCGCGATGATTGGAAGAGCCTGAATGGCATCTGGACATGGAGAGGCGACGGCGATCTCAGCAACCCGCCCAAAGAAGGCCCTCTTGATCGTGAGGTGCTGGTTCCAGCTTGCATCGAGAGCGCTCTGTCGGGATTGCAGATTCTCGACGAGCGCGAGTTCTGGTACCAGAGGTCCTTCGAGATATCGAACAACTGGAAGAACCAGAACGTTCTTCTTCACTTTGAGGCCGTCGACTATAACTCAACCGTATTTGTCAACGGGAAAGAAAAGACGACGCACATTGGGGGCTACGACCGTTTCACTGTCGACGTGACAGAGGACATCAAGTTTGGAGATTCGAATGAGCTGTAAGTCCATGATTGAGCTTCCAAACTGAAGCACGCTCTAACATCTTACCAGGCTTGTCTTTGTCAACGACCCGACGGACGATCAAGTTATTCCCATTGGCAAACAGACCTTGCGACCGAGTCACATCTTCTATCGATCGTGCTCGGGCATCTGGCAGCAAGTCTGGCTTGAGGCCGTTCCGAAAGACTACATCACCGATCTTGACCTCGCTGCGGGTGCAGATGGTGAAGGTCAGTAATTCCCCGTCCCCGGTGTCTCATCAGATCGCTGACCATTCTATTCTAGTTACCGTTACTGTTCACACTTCTCAACAGTCCGGTAAATCTGCCAAAGTGGTGATTGAGGGCAGCGATGGCACGAACCTGGCATCTCACGAAGGGACCACCGATGAAGAATTCACCTTCACCGCCAAATCGCCGAAACTATGGTGGCCCGACTCCCCAACGCTTTACAACATCACCGTGACACTTGACAGCGGAGACAAGGTACAGAGTTACACTGGCTTTCGAACCATATCCAAAGGTAAAGTTGAGAACGTCACACGACCACTTCTCAACGGTGAGTTTGTGTTCCAGTTTGGAACTCTTGACCAAGGTTTCTGGCCCGATGGGTTGCACACGCCACCGAACAGGGAGGCTATGGTCTCTGATTTGAAGCTCCTAAAGAATTTTGGCTTCAACATGGTTCGCAAACATGTTAGTATGACCTTGTGATCGCTGATATGATTTTAATACTGACGACCGGAGATCAAATATGAGCCGCATCTGTTTTACCAGGCATGCGACGAGCTTGGTCTGTTGGTCATCCAAGATATGCCCAGTTTACCTGCAGACGGCAATCGCAAGCCCAACGACGCAGAGCAAGCCGAGTTTGAGCGACAACTTGAGATTCTTGTGAAACAACACAGAAGCTATACTTCAATCGTTACCTGGGTACATAAAGCGACTCCTTGGGATTATTCGTTTACTGATCAAGACAGGTCATCTACAACGAGGGCTGGGGTCAGCGAGACGGGTCTCCTGAGAAGAGCCTGACTGAGCTGGTGCGAAAGCTTGACAAGTCGAGACTCATCAACTCTATCAGCGGATGGAACGACCACGGGTTTGGCGACTTCCATGTAGGTAGATCCCAAGACCCTACCGACGACTTTGCTGACTCGTTATAGGACAATCACAACTATGCTGCACCTCAGTGTGGCACGCCATTTTACTCGCAACCCAAGACTCCATATGACCCTGAGCGTATCGGTATCGCAGGCGAGTACGGTGGCATTGGTCACAACGTCTCAATTGACCAGTAAGTTCCCATCTATGTGCTCAACTTCACCACTAACTGCCCTTGCAGCCTTTGGAACGTAAAGCAAGCCATCGATAGCATCCCGGAGACATACGAAATCAACGAGGACCTCGACTCATACAATTATCGATCCGGCGTCTTATTCCGGGACATTCGTGAGCAGACTCAGCGTTTCGCTTGCAGCGGTGCCGTATATACTCAGACGAGTGATGTTGAAGGCGAGGTGAATGGTCTGATCACCTATGATCGTCGGTTCGTGAGACCAGATGTTGAGAAATGGCAGAGTGAGATTGCCAGTGTATACAAGGCTGCAGCATCTCGAGGCGGGCGTGAATCTGACGACAACGGGAAGCGCGTAGCTGGGTCATTGTTGGACTTGTAGTTCTGAACGTAGACTGTTAGCTTCAATTATAATTCCATACTTCGGATCAAGATCTCGTCTTAGTTGACGTCGTCACAGGATCTCTTCGTATTTAACAATGTACTATTCACTAGCAAGTGCTTTTCTTGACAATGCCAGGGTCTCACTACATTGAACAAAGGCCCATATGGATTAGTCAACAAAGTGGCGGGCGATCCTTCTCGCCACCGGCTGCCTGCTGGGATACGTCACCTGCTTTTAAGATTCACCTCCATTGAACCCAAGGACTCAGAACAGTACCCTCGTATTAAAAAGCAAGCCTACGAAACCTTGAGTTTGAAAGAGCCAACAATGTCATCAGACAATTACAACGAAAAATTGACAGCCGGTAAGGAATTCAAAACTCGAGATCTCTCTCTTTTGTCAATTTCGCTGACTTCAACCCAGCCTCGAACCCAGACACCGAGGACGAATGGCAGATTGTAAGCAAGGAAGACACTCAACCTGATGATTTGGGAAAGGACGAGAACAAGGAGGTAATCAAGGAGAAAACTTCTGATAACTCTGAGAGGAGTGCCGCGGAGGAGAAGAGAGAATTAGCAAAGGCAAAATGGGAGGGCATGCAGCCACAGAGGGGCGGCGTGTACCCTGATAGAGAGGTCAAGACCCCAAGCTATCCCCTGTTCACTGGAAACTGGTAAGGGATTCTTGGCGCGTGTTTCTGAATATGATATGAAGTCTATTCAAGAAGATCCTTGGTCCATGAATGTGCGTTCCTATTTGGCCAAACTGGTGAAGAGGGAGTGATCTGTTGTAAAAGCTCCAGAGCCGTCCGGACCTTACTCTTATCTATTGGCTGACCATCCCAATAATCGTGCATTGCACCGATCAGATATAGCTCATCAGCTATCTCTGGCCAGTCTACCGCAGACTTGACACAACCAGTTGGTTTGGTTGGTTGGACGGATCGCTCGTACTTATCACGGAATATGTGATATCGGGCCATGGCGTCCCAAGTATGCCACCGCCAACGATTCTCAGACGTCGCTGTAAACGGAAGAGGACTTCGCGATGCAGCAGGTTCTTCTGTCTCTCCTAGAAGAAAATCGACGAGTCTCTCAAACTGTTTCGTTGTGAGGGGGAATAGAGTAAAGGGACCTGCTCGTCGCCCTGCATGCAGGTACAGCTCGTTACACTACCCAGATGTTAGCACATGTCTGACCAGCCTATGGTTCAACCTACCTCTGATTCCGATTCTCCACGATTAAAGACGAAGACCCCACCAAATATCTTTGCTTCAGCCCAGTATCCGACGGTATCGGCAACCCCGTTGGGGTATCGCTCAACCGCGATATAAAAGGTGTGGCAGAAAGCTGTTGGGTGTCGATACCCATCCCATTGACTGGTATCGCGTGGTGAGTCTATCCACTTTTGGTAGTCTTGATGTGTATGGTTGGCGCCATCTTGTTGATATAAGTATACCGCAATCTGATGAATAGACACTGCTAGCAGCTCAAAAAGTCTTAAGTGGAATGGCCGTGAATCTATAGTGGCTTCTTCGAAAGCACATAGTAACTGGGACAAAATATCAGGTGAGCCGCGCGTGAGGGCCAATCAAGGAACTCACCGGTAGATGGAAGCTCATTCTCGATGGAAGGTTGCAACGTAGCTGGCGAGCTTTCTCAATCGTTCCTGGGCAAACGTCGAGATGTTGAGTAGCAGGATGGCCGTCTTGCGGCCAGTGGAATTCTTGATACGAGTCAATCGTAGGAAGTCCATCAATGATCTCTGCGAAAGTTCTTTCCGCTACGTCTGTTTCCATTACTCTCATCAGAGCTTGCACAAATGCTTGGCGATGCCTTGTTCCCAGTACATCAATTGTAACCAGGTCCACTGTGTCGTCAAGCATTTCTATTGTAGGTTGTTGGTAAAAAGAAGAGGTAAGTTAGCTTGGCAAGATTGTCTCTAGATTTGATGGCTCTTTGCCATGTTAAAGGTGGTGGTGCGAAAGGGAAACTCCAGCTTTGGCTGAACACAGGCTGCAACGGACTTCAACCTGAAATAAACCAGAAAATCAGGGACGAATGAGCGTCCAGTGGCTCAAATAGTTACATCAAATCATACGACGCCAATTACTAATCATTCTTGGTTTCGATATTATCAACTTAACAGAAGGTGATGGAGTTGACAGTTTCCGTCATCCTTAGAACCGAGCTCAGGAAGATACGAAAACTTGGGCCTTTATTCTAATAGCAAAGAGACCTGAGCACACTTCGTGTAGATTCAGCTGTCCTTTCGACAAATTAGTTATACCGCATTATCTAAGGTCAGAAGTTTGTTCTCTGCGACCGAGGCTGTGAATGAGCGCAAGTGCTTATGTGCATGACTGTCAACACGGACGAGATGTTTTAACTCGATATTCTTCCATTCGGCTACCCTTATATTCTAATATGACCCTACATATCCTCAACAAAGGGTAGTGGTGCAGTGGTATCTCTCCTAAAGCCTACAAACCTTCTAAAATCCGAACCTAAAATCCTAAAACTCTCTCCTTGCACCCGCCCTTTGTTTTTTGAGGTCATTGGTTCGAGTTCACGCTTCAAATCATCTTTCTCATATTTCGAGGCTGCACCCCTTCTGCAGCTAAAAGATCACAAAGTCCTCCGGTTCTTGTTCATTATCAGTTCAGAACGACATGAGGCGTCACATAGTGCAGTAACTAAAAACCAAACCCATTGATGGGATAGCTCCTGGCCTGAACTGTTGGAATCTTGACGCACAGGACTTATCAATTTCTTTGACAATGACATCCCACGAGTTTTCCAAACCAGGGTTGTCAAGATTCTGTTCTTAACCAAACCGTAGTGAGATCTGCGGAGCAACCATGATCCGCCCTATATGTTCGATACGAGCCAAAATCCATGTGTAAAAGAATCATGTTCCCAGATTTAAGACTCTGTTGTCCCGCAGATTTCGGTTTCTCTGTCAGCTCATGAGTACGAAAGACATAATTGGATTGCCGGAAAATCATTCTCGGGAATTCGAAATCGAGAAGGTGAAGCATAGTCTAAACATCCATTCGTTCAGCAGGAAATCAGAAGCTCGCAGGGGGGGTTCCCTAAGTCTGTCTCCGAGCTTCAGAATCAACTTCCATCGAAAGGTTCAGGCCATTCCGTGGGAACTTACTTTCCTATGATCTAAAGCTGTACTGGACGAAAGTCCTTGACCTCATTGCTTAGAGTACGCATCCGCCTGCTTACCTTTGGTCATCTTTTCTGAGTCTATGCATCAAAAAGCCAAACCGTTGGACAAATCCTTATGGGCTTACAACCGGAACCCGTTCAGATTGATTTCCCCTAAATATGGAATCAGGGGTCTATATGCCACAATGGGCAAAGGATCAAGCCAAATAGGTCAGTGGAGGGGGCAAGATGGAATTGGGAGATTTTGCCGAAGTTGACGAGGAGATCTTGAGTTACGAGTACGTTTAGGTTGAGACTGTTATTAAGGTGACGCGGCAAGCCATGGTAGTATGAAGCCACATTTGGTATATGAAGTCTATTCCCTGGCAGAGCCGGCTGTAACAAAAGTAAACGTATACTATCGTGCGTGGTTGAACACTGACGCGGAGACAGTGCACCGGAAACGACACTTTCACTTTGCCTATGAGTAGTGTCGTGTCTTTTTCGTCAAGGCCCATAACTGATTCTCACCCTACTTAAGCCCAAATTGTGCAAAGCTTTCCCAGGGTGGGGTAGACGAGGCTGGTCCCAAGACGATAGATGGCACGTTTGGCATAACCGTTTGACATACTAACAGAGCAGGGCAGTCTTAACCAACCGAGGATGTCTACCCTGCCCGCTTTTCCTTTTTGGGTAACTAGGCCCCGTAAGGTCACAGATTCGAACGGGGCATGACAAAATAAGGCGAACGATTTTTGGGATTTAGCACTTCACGACTACGCTGCATACATAACACGATTGTTTGAAATAATATGTTCAATGACACTATGCAACTATAATACAGTCTTTACAAATCATTACTCGTGATCTACAGTCTTGGGCTCCACGCCGTTGTGGGTAAGAGTTGGCTCATCTCTGTCCAGATCATACATGGCATCTTCTTGAGCATCGTAGTGGCGGAAGATAGCATAGAAGATGCAACCAGTGACGAAAGAAGAGATACCGACGCCAGTGTAGAGCCACAGGAAGTTGGGATCCTTGGCCTCGGAAACAAGTGCCTCAGCGATGGCAGATCCAAAAGCGTTGGTGAAGAGGTAGATGGACTGCACGAAGGACTTCATGCTGGGAGGGGCCTTGGTGTAGGCGTACTCGAGACCAGTGACGGAGATGAAGATCTCAGATATACCGATGAAGATGTAGGCGGGTGTCTGAATGGCGATGTGCACGTTGTTGGGAAGCTTGGTGTTACCGTCCTGGCCAGCAGCACATTCACCAGGGTGTTCGTAACAAGGCCCAGCAGAGTAGATGATGTGCTGAACGATAGCGGCGTAGGCGAGGCAGAGAGCAGCGAGCCAGAAACCGATGGTGATTCGGGCAATAGGTCGAAGCTCAATACCGGCCCGGCGAAGGATAGGGTACAAGACCTTCTCGATGAGGGGAGTGAAAACCAAAATGGAGATGGGATCGAAGTTTTGCATCAGATCGTTGGGGACACCGTGACCTTGCATTTGACCAGCTTGGGTGACGAAGTTGGTAGAGAACTGTCCGTAGCAAACCCAGAAGATGGGGTAGAAGATGAAGACCTTGCAAGCACGGAGAGCACGCTTAAGCTCGTCGACAAAGTGGTCGTTCCAGGGAACAGCCTTGGTTTTTCCGTTGGCCTCGCGCCATGAGGGCTTGGCGGCATCGGTGTTGCGAGCAGCAATCATCATACCAAGAGCCTTGAAGGCATCAGTGATGACGGAGCCCTGAGGAGGGCGGTTGACAAAGGTCTTTCGGCGGAGGACCAGAGTGACGATACCGACATTGAACATGCAGAAACACATGAGATAGGCGGTCCAGAAACCCTTGTACTTCTCCATGAAGGGGGTAGCGAGCAGTGAGAGGGCACCGACGTTGATGCACCAATAGAAGATCATGTAGATGCGCTGGTAGGTAATAGCAGGGTCGATGACAACGCGCTCGCCATTCTTCTCAGTTCGGATAGCCATTCTGCGTCGCTGGTACTGATCGGCGATGAGAGGTGCGATGTTGGACTTGATACCACCGGTTCCAAGACCAATAACGATGATAGCAACGATGTATCCAGCCTTTCCAGCACCATGCTCCATAGCAACAGGTAGTGATGTAGTCCAGAGGATGATGAGACCAACCCAGTAGAAACCGCAGAAGACCAAGATAGTTCTGTACTTTCCGAGGTACTGATCGGCGATGATGGCACCGAGAATGGGAGTCACGTAGCAGAACCATTGGAAGAAGAGGTTGAGACCAGTAGCAGCCTGGTGGCCCATTCCAAGACCCTTGGCACCATCCGCGCCTGTCGGGCTGTTGGAGATGTAGTTCTGGAAAAGACCCTGAGCACCATAGTAGGTGAATCGTTCCGTCAACTCGACAACAGCGATGAGGAAAGCTGAAGCAGGGAGGTTCTCTCCTACACGTCGAAGAGTCGCCTTCTCATGATCATTGGGCTCCTCGCCATCGGGAGTAGTACCGAACTCAGGATCAGAAGCATAGTGTTGCTTGTCGAGAGACTTCTTCTCACCAATAGAAGGGGCGATATAACCACCGGCGAGATCAGTCTTCTTCTCGGCGGGCACGCGCTCACCTAACTCCTCGTGGAGCCTGCATTGCATGAGATTAGCAAGGGTACGAAATAAGCTTGAATAGAGTTTGCGACATACTCGGCGGCCAAATCCTCGTGATTCTGGGCCATGTTGCAGACGTCGATGAGACTCGATGAAAAAAAAAAAAGTTTTCACTGTCACGGATGCAACAAGGGACAAGGCGAGGATGGTTGATGATGAAAGGGAGGAGAGGATGGGAGTAAACGAAGAGTAATAAAAATACCAAGATCTGGAGACGTTTAATAAATATTCTGTCATGGAAACACGGTCGACTCCATATTCTACGCCACGAGATGCCACACCTCGACCGAAGCCATGCCTGTTGCTGTAAAACATCCGACCATCAGAGAAAGGAACCTTTGTAACGGCCCGGATATGGGTATGGAGCATCAAGCAACGGGCAACAGACGGGGGGCAAAAGGTGGCCAATGGCTATGACCGTGTGGCGTGCTCCGAGTCCTTCTGCAAAATTTCGAGAAACATGAGCCATGTCTAAAATGCCGAAGATCCGAGTCACCCCCTGTCTCGTACGAGCGACGGTGACACCTCAAGTGGAGGCTCCGGCCGTAAAGAAAAGCACCCCACAGAAACAGCCGAGCCTAGTGGCGCGAGGGAATTGTCCGGATTTGTGATCCATTCTCTGCCAGAATTGTTGTGACTGTCATTATCGCGATGTCGCTCTCCGGACACGGCGAATCCGTTTGTATGACTCTTTTATGTATTACACGATCGCGTTATATTTGTCGATATCCTAAAGCCAAGAGATTATCTTGTGTTAATCCATGTGATAATGAAGGATCAACAGAACTTCACCTATCATTAAAGATCGGCATAACCTCGCATCAAGCTTACCACAACGAGTAAAGTCCAATTTCTTGCAAACACCCACTGGCTAAATAAAAAGTTCCGCGGCAACTTCTCCCAAGCGCGTGGTAACGTAACAATCGCTGTGTCCGTCCGCGACTAATGTTTGGGAGAGGGAGAACCCTGAATCCACCCGCCACTGATAATACTGCAGTACGGACGGGCCAATCGACGAGGCAAAGGGCGCGATTCGGGAATGACGGCTGGCTATCTCAGGCACCGTCAGTAATCTTTACCCAAGAGGAAGGTCATTACTCAATCATTCAAGTCCTCCCCGCAAATCATCTGTGCAAGGTTTATCTCAGACAAGAAGCTCGTCCAAACAGCGTGCTACAAATTGTCATATGACGTACAACCCTCAAGTAAGAACGTGAGCCCATTCCCTTTACAGGAAACTCCACGAGCGATATAGGGTTATCTAGAGCGTCAGTTGATTTGATAATACCGTGATGATGTGCTAGCCAGCTTCTCGATACGGAATGATATGGTCTTTTGTGATATGGGCTATTGGCCTTGATGTCGCAGGATGCTCTTCAAAAGTTCATCAATCATGATGGGTAAGCGACATGGTGCATAGCATCGCATCTTATCTCCGGTCATTCCCAAGGCCAAGCCGGCAGCAGCCGCCATTTTCCCTTGGCGATTTCTACCATTTTTTGTGCCGCATTTCGCCTCAGCTGATTCAATTGCCATCATGTCTCCCGATGGTGTTGCTATCACCACTTTCACAACGTTGTGAAAGTCAGTACACCACTATTACCTAAAATCAAGAGATCGTCGCCACGCCGCTTATCTCCTAACCCCATTCTCCATTCCTGTCAACTGCACCCCATGTTTTCCTCATCTCCATCTCCATTTCTCAACGGAGAGAGGCCTGAGGCTAATGCATGGGGTAACGGTTCACTCTGTGTCAAGAAAATCAAGGAAGGCGGCCGATTGCAACCCCCCATGTCTAGTAAGCTTCAGAGGCTGCATGGAAGCCAATCACGCCCCTCGCCGTATTTCCGTGAACGCGTTGTTTTTTCCTGGGGTTTCAGGGGGTTCAGCTGGATGGTGGCATGGGCTAGCATAGTTTTGGTTGTTCAGGAGAGAGAGCCTCAACAAGCCTTGAAAAACCGTAAAACCGTATCTTGTTACCGAGGTGCCGAGGTTGGGAAAGAGTTTTAAGAATGAGATTATGGAGGGCGGGATCTAAAAAGTCAAAATAGACGCGTCCGAAGCTGACGAAGATTGTCGTATTCAGGGTAGGTTGGGTTGGTTGCAGATGGTACCTTGCGCTGAGTACAGTCAGCAATGGCGATGGCTCGCCACGAGTCGTTACGAGACCTCTAAACCCAATTCAAGAGATTATGGCTCCCTTTTGGTCGTTTTTAGATTTTTCTCGATATCTTGCAGTAATCGTATCGTTGAAAATAGAATTTTTGGCGTTCGTGATGGTTACGTTACTGCGCAGCATCTGTTCAAAATTTAGGGACGCCATATCCGTGACCCATTGATCTCACTCACAAACCAAAAACTTGATGAACATTTCGTATCACGGCAAATTCCTGCAGTATTTCGGAGTGTGATATACTGAAATGACGACTGAAAATAGATATTTGTAGTTTCATATGTCACTATAAGTCACCAGTTCAATCAAGGCAAGTTCAATACGTCTTTCAGCACACGTAACGCCCCAAGGAGCTCATTGTCGTGATATCGCCTCGCCACCACCTGCAAATTCACAGGCGCACCCCCAAAATCACCCTCCTCCCACAAATCTCTAACATGTCGACAAGCATCGCTTAGCGGAACATAGCCCGTATCATAAACTTCCCCAGATTCAGCCCTAATCGGCGTGGGAATAACCGCTCCCGGGTAGTCGACAAGGTTATAGAGCGAGGTGTAGGTCCAGTAGAAGGCCGTGTCGTGCGCACAAGCTGGCCCTACGAACGACGGGCCGATAATGACATCCACATCTTGGTCACTCCAGCTTTTGGCAAAAGCAAGTCGGAAATCTTCTCGCTCTCTGTGGACGGCTGTGAGATCTACGGCGGTGTGCATGCCCAGGGGCTTTGCGTCTTTGTAGATCCATTCTGTAAGAGGGTGAAGAGGCTCACCGGATGAGATTATGCCGCTTTCGGTGAGATGGCCGCCGTCGGGCCAGTAGAGTCTCCGGACTTGGTTCCATGCTTCTTCTGCGCCGAATACTTTGAACTCTTTTAATTCGATGAGATTGGCAAACTTGCTGTCGGACAGAAGGCTCATGGCCCAGGAGATTGCCCTCTTCACTGGGGGTTGAGGCTCGATGAAGCCATCGTTGCTGATGATGCCGACCTTGAGGCGCCGATTGAATCGTGTTTCAAGACCAGTCCACGGAATCGGAACGACATTGGGATCTGAAAGATAAGGCGTTGAAGAAAGGACACATTTCATGAAAAGGTCCATGTCTCTCAAGGAGCGACACATAGGTCCCGTTGACAGAGGGATGTTCAGCACGGCGGGAGGCGGAGCGCCCTTGATGTACCCCCTTGTCGGCAAGACATTCGATGTGGTTTTGAAGCCATAGATACCACAAAATGCAGATGGGCCACGAATACTCCCACCAATATCAGTTCCGATCCCCAAGATTGAGCCTTTCATCGCAATCAGCGCAGATTCACCTCCTGTCGAACCGCCAGCAGACAGACGAATGTTGAAAGGGTTCAGGACTCTTCCCCAGTGGGAATCACTCTCAAGATGCATCAGCGATTGAGGCTGGTTAGTTTTGCAACAAATGATGGCACCTTGGGCACGCAAGATTGACACCATGTCCGCATCTTGGTCATCGTTGCTGATACTAATAAAACAGCCCTGGGAGGAAGAGGTCCCGGCAACTTGGATATGATCTTTGATGCTGATGGGCAAACCATGTAAGGGACCGACAGGCTTTCCATGTGTCTCGAGATATGAATCAAGCTTTTGAGCTTGTTCGATAGCTTCGTCCATGAACCATTGTGTCAGACAGCATGTGAGCTGATGCGCAATGATGGACCGCTTGCAGAATGCTCGTGCAACAGTTACCGCCGTGTGCTTTCGACTTGCAATTGCTTCAACAAGGCCCACAGAATCATAACTCTCGGTGATGCTGATCTCCTCAGGCGATAAAATGCCACAGGTTGCTGGGATCGTGGAGACATCTGCTGGAGGGTTTTGTATAACCTCCAAAAGCAGCCGCAACTCATCGGGAACCCTTGCTGCAAAGGCTTCCAACAAGGCAGCCCTCTTCTCCTCGAACTCCGGGGTACCGCGAGGGACGGAATTCGCCTGTACAACGGGAAGCCCTGGAAGCATCTCTGCGGCCAATGGTCTAGATTCGAGGGACTTCAAGCTATGGGTGGCGACACTTGAGGAGTCTTTGGAATATCCGGATGGGGGGACTGAAGAAGAGGCAAAAGTCATAGCCGAAGAATGTGTTTGTTTGGAAGCAGATTTGCCAGGAAAGCATGACGAGAAGGACAATGAGGAGGTGGTGCAGTTGTGATCATCCAGCTGATATATGTCAAGCCTTGGCCTAGGAGTTCTCGAACCTCGGGCTTCTTAGCCTTTGCTCGATGCCCTATTCTTCAGTTGTTTGCACCGCTGGTCGCCCAGCAAAGCAAACGCTCGGACCATGGGTCAAATGCACACTCCAGCCGACAACCGTTTCGCAAGCATATCGTTGGCCCACGATATCATTCGCTTCTAACCACTCAAACAACCCAATCCGACACAACCATCCTCAAAACTTCCATTGTTGACATCCAACTGTATCAAACTGATCAACCTTGGCTTCCAGAAGCTCCAGGTGACCAGTTGGAACAATCTGCGAAACGTCCACCAACATGTCCCAAGGACCCTTCGCTTCGTTGAACAATCCTTAGCGGCGTTTCCATTGTCCCTCTAGCTTCGACCACAACCAACAACAACAACCATGTCTGACCTACGATACGTAGATTGCGCATCGGGCGGTGAACGTCATATCGCACCGCGATTATTGCTGATTCCGCCGCCTTCTCCTGGTGACACAGGTGCGGGGGATCAGGATATAAGAGGTCACACAGAGCCCTGTACAACACAACAAGAACAGAACATCGCGCAATACCCTCCCCTCAGGCCACCTACTGCTTCTACACTCCGATTGCCTTCGCCTGAACTGACGCCGCTCATGATGGTAAACTTGGTGGTGAGGAATCCCATTCCTGGGACTATCCATCTTGTTGACCTTAATCGCAATCTGCGTGTTCGTCATGCGGGTGGTGGTGACGGCGACATTGTCCTTGACCCTGTCCCAAGTGACGACCCAGAGGATCCTCTCAACTGGACTCCTCGTCGCAAGGTTCTTGCGTTGATCTGTCAGAACTTGTGAGTGTGTTTCCTCAATGTGTGTCCTTTGCTGACTCGGAAAGGTACACCTGGTTCACGGGCATGGCTGTTGCTACTGTTTACTCTGTCCTTGTCCCGCTCTCACAGCAGTCCAGGGTCTCAGTCAAGACGCTCAATGAGGGAACAGGTTACATGTACCTGCTCTTGGGTTGGGGCTTGTTGTTTTGGCAACCCTTCTCTCTACGATATGGCAAGCGTTTGACCTACCTCCTCTCCGTGCTTGGAGCCATCGTAAGTCAATCTTCATGCTTTCGTCGCGGGCAATAGCTAACAAATAATAATAGGGAACAAGCGTTTGGAGGTAATGCTTTCCAGTGATGCGATACTGGCGTGTGACTTTACTGACTGCTCACAGCGCCTACGTCTCAAGCAACGGTGAATGGATCGCCAAATGCATCATCCAAGGCTTCTTCATCGCACCCATCGAAGCCTTGCCCGAGATTTCCATCACTGACATCGTAAGTAAAACCTTCCGAACTTATAACCGACATGTGATTGACTCTGTCCAGTACTTCACTCATCAACGTGGAACCTACATGGGCATCTACGCTCTCGCCCTCGCCGGTAGCAACTACTTCGCGCCCGTCATATGTGGCTTTATCGCCGAGTATCAAGGCTGGCAATGGGTGTTCTACTGGCCCGCCATCTTTCTCTCGTTTGTCTTCGTGTTTCTCTTCTTATTCATGGAAGAAACCAATTACAATCGTGTCGCTCGACACGCCGACCATGTACAGATCAGTTCGTCCCGATTGAGTGATGAGAACGACGGCAAGGCTGAAGAAAAGGCTGCTGAGGCTGGAAAAGCTGAAGTTAGAGAGGCGGATGAAGCGAACGTACAGTATGCCAAACCGAAAACTTTCCTGCAGAAGTTGTCGCTTTGGCAACCTACACCAAGTCAGAGTATGGCTCGTCACGCTGGACGCTCGCTTCAGTACCTCGGTTGGCCTGTCATCTTTTTCGCTGGCTTCTCATACGGCTCGTATCTTATCTGGTTCAATGTTCTCAATGCGACAGCATCCATCATCCTGTCAGGCCCAGGGTATGGCTTCAAGCCGTCAATGGTCGGACTGAGCTACCTCTCCTGCTGCCTCGGTACCATCATCGCTGCCATTCTTGCCGGACGACTGAGCGACTGGCTTACTATCAAACTTGCACGTCGCAACAATGGTATCATGGAAGCTGAGCACCGTTTGTGGCCGCTGGCAATTTGTGTCATTGGCGTTCCGGCATCCTTGATCCTTTGGGGTGTCGGCGCGCAGCACGGTGTTCACTGGTTCGGCCTCATTTTTGCCATGTGCACTTTGTCTGTGACGAGTGTCATGGGACTGATCATCAGTATCAATTACCTGATTGATAGCTACTATGAACTCAGCGGTGATGCCATTGTCACGATTATTTTGGTTCGCAACACGATGTCTTTTGCCATTAGTTATGGGTAAGTTTCCGTTCGCTGATGGGATCAGCAGACACTAACAGCCAACAGTATCACGCCTTGGATCACCCACATGGGCTATCAGAATTGCTTCATCTCCGCTGCGTTTATCGCTTTGGCCGCTTGTTCTGCTTGCTTTGTCATGATCAAATTTGGAAAACTGCTTCGACAGCGAAGCGTGCCCCGGTATCACAAGTTGGTTGATGACGATAAGAGGGTCTCAGGAATTGCTACATGATGGAAGGTTGAGAATTGGCCGTATATACGAGTAGTCAATTATGTATAATTAGTATCGTCGTGAATAATGATTCGTGTAATCTAGTTTCCCATGTCCGCGTCTCATGCCCGCTATGCAATCTTGATGTGAACCCATGCGTCCATTCAAACCAAGGCTGCAGCGGCAAGGACAGCAGCAGCAAGGGCTCCGACACTGGCCTTGGCCCTGGCACCCATATTTCCAGAGTCGCCAGTCTCGCTGGCTGAAGCACCAGTCGCTGTAGAAGTCTTGTCACCACTGCCGCCCTTTCCACCGCTCCCACTTCCGCTACCGCTGCCGCTGCCGCTTCCACCACCGCCCGAGCCTCCAGAGCCAGCGCTTGACTTGACGCCACTCTCGTTTCCAACACGAACGTTATTCACAGTCAGAGGCGATGGCTTGTCGCCACACTTCTGCGTTACTTGCACTTCAGGTTTATCCGAAGACTGGATGCCGCTGCTGGTAACGTCCTGGAACTGGCCATTGTTGGTATACAGCGGTTCCTCATAGACGTTCTGCCCGTCAGCCTGGATTTGCAGTGTACAATCGGTCTTGTCGGCTCGTCGTCGGAGTTTCGCGCTGCTGGGCTCGCCGACGAGGATGGATGCGACAATGTAGATGAGCTCGTCCGTGTTCAATTCATCGTCGCTGTCGACTGCGACGCTGAAGGTTGCTTGGCCGTTGGCGGGGGCGCTCAATTTACTGGGGCGATCAGTTAGTGGAGTTATGGAGGGGACAGGGAAGTCTTGGGGACTTACATGGCGGGCTTGCCATCGACCTGGACAAGTTCAGCGTTTTCGCCAATTGTAGCGTTCTTGAGATCGACTTCGACTACGGTGCCGGTGCTTGTAGGAGCAGAGCTGAATGTAGCTGTCGCAGTGGCTGTGTCGGTCGAGTCCTCATCGTTGGTCTCGGACGCTGTAGCTGTCGCGTCGGCATCTGTGGCGGTAGCTTCAACTACTGTTAGCTTGCGTGTCTGCAAAGATCATTGGCATTCCTCTCACCATCTGCTGTCGCTGTGCCTTCAGCTGTTGAGGCATCCTCGCCATCATCGCTCGCCGTCGCGGTGGGCTGCTCATCGCCTGAAACTTGGGAAGCTTCATCTGACGGTTGAACAGCTGTTGGCTCTGGGCCATTTGTGGCAGATGGAACACTATCTACATCTGTCGGTTGTGCGTCTCCATCACCGGCAGGATCTGAAGGTTGGTCTTGGGCAGGATTTGAGGGCTCAGCAGCGGGTGCTGATGGTTCTGGTTGAGCGATGGCTGAAGGTTCTGCGTCTTGATCAGGAATGACTGTTTGAGCCAGGCCGTTTACTGCCAAAAGGCCAAGGATGAGGCTGCCAGCGAAGCGCATGTCGACGGTTATTAGCGGGTGTAACTTCTACGTTTGTGTCGTGTTCAAGGTATCTTCAACTTCTTGCAAATACTCAAGGAGTATCGTGAGAGATGTGCAGAAAATGGAGATTTCAGCTCGAGCTGAAAGAAGCTTGTTTATTATACCTGAGCTAAGCTCCCTCCCTTGACATCTGAACCTTGCTGCTGGTTCAGGTGGTGGCATTGTCGGTGGCTTTGCTGGTCCAGACCTTGGGAGCCCTGCAGCTGGGCTGTTAGGCCAGCCACTCAGGCGCCAGCTTTACCATCTGGGGGCTGTGTTTAGCGTCAGAAACAACTGTCGTGTACAGAAATAGCTTCACCTTCGTCAGTGCACCACGGGAGACCCGACGTGTCTCCAGCTCTATACGAGAGCTGTCAGCAATATAACCAGTCGCCATTCCACTTAAAATTCACGATGGACTCTTGAGTATTTATGATCATTTGTGCTTGCAGGTTAAGCTTAGTTGTTCAATTTCGACTACCGAAATTATGCCTTGCTTAATGTTGAGAATAGCTTCAATAGTTCACGCCACAAGAGGCCGCCGCGAGACCAGCTGAAGGGCTAAGCATTTTAGTTAGTCATGGCACATTCCATTCTTATTTCAGCCCTGGCAGCCAATGTATGTCACTAATCGAAAATTGACGATTGCGGCTGAGCAGTCATGCCTTTTCGTTGCCCAGCCAAGATTGCTATCCCATTCAATTAGAAACGGGACAAGCCACATATGTTTCGGTATCTTCCGACAAAGCACAATCTTATTTTTCGATGACAGGTAGTAAATTTATTCTGGCCAGTCTCTTGAGAAGGCCACCCTCGAGAATCTGGGTTTACATTGCAGGCTTAACAAGATACGTCTTCAGCCCGAGATGTCTCCTCCAACCCAAGATCGTGGTCCGACATGATCTGGGGCGGGCAACGCGGCCTCCTCTTCATCTCATCCAGTTGTCTCCTTGTCTCATCCCTCTTCGATTCAATCAACTTCCTCTGTTCTTCCGTCTGTACTAGAGGCGGAGGCAACAAACCCTTGTCGGGATGATACCACTTCTCTTTAGGCGTGTTTCTACCATCGACACCACGAAAATCGATCTCATTTTGAGGACGGAAAGGCAGACGGTCAAGAAGCGCCTTGATCAGATGAGGTGACAAAGGGACTGCATCATGAACATCGCGGTCTGGGCCCAGGGAGCGCAAAATGCCATCTTTGCCGAGTGAGAAGACTCCGTTGAAGGAGGGATGGTGCTCAAGCTTTCCCCAAATATCGCTGAGCTCAGCTTGGTGTTTGCTGATGGCTCCCCATTGAGCTCTACGACTAGTGTCGGAGTCCTGGGCTTGTACTTGGGCGTCGCACTGAGTTGAAGACATGGTGAAAGTGCAGAGTTTTCTGAGGGTAGGTGTTTAATGAAAGAAATTTAGAAAAGTTAGTTGTGATCCCAGTGTTGATTAAATATTGAAATCTGTTTTGCTCGGTCAGCTTCTGCGCATGATGAATGTCGAATTACATACCGCCTTTCAACTTACTTCCTCCAAAGGTCACTTCAAGGACTTTGGTGGCATCCTTAGTTGCAGGGGTATTGTCCTTCTCTGGGGTCAGATGCATGGGTATGAACAGGGGTCTCTGACCAGCGAACGAATCAGATCGAAGCCAGGCCAGGTCAGCATGGAGATGTCATTTATCCTCTCCAAATTCACAGCGATGCAGTTACCATTCTTGAAATTCGTACTAGTTCCATGTGTTTGAAAGACAACTTTTGAGTGATCCGATGGTCATTAGGAAGCTGCTTTGCAATATAAGAAAAGTAGGAAATCATAGCAATGGCTTTCACAGACGAAGCCTTGGGTAAGGAAGCCGATAGTTTGACTTGCATGACACATCTGGAAAGCTAACATGCATTAAAAGAAAGATGAAATGGAGTGTCCTCAGGACGAGGCAATATCACCAGAGAAGGGACATCGGCAAGGAGTCATGGCATGTAACCAAATACAGCAGTTTCAACCGGTCCACGGAACAAGTGCATGAAAGGGATAATGCATTTTATACACAATGACTGACTGGTATAGCACGGCTCTTAGCTTTGAAGCTATCTCTTGCCCTCTGGGGAAAAGTGTGAGCCTTCCTATTTGCAAACTGGAGCACTATTAGGTTTGGCAACACTGTTGCTTGGGTTCGTCTGGCTGCAACCATTCGCAAAACCTAAAGCGGTATCATCGACAGCCGCATTGTAAGCAGCTCCGCAGTTGGGGTCACTATCGAGGTTAATATCAACTCTCTACTTTTTCAAAAGACAACTTACCTGGCACCTCCGGAAGCGGAGTTAAAGTACGAGCAGATATCGTGAGAGAAGCAGTCTTGTGTATAGACATTGCCAACAGCAGTTCCACTGCAACCGGCTCCGCATCTTCCGTTACAAGAGTAGCTTTTTGAATTAGTATTATGTTCTTAAAGAGGAGGGTAGCTGCGAAACTTACTCTCCTGATCCGGAAGGATTGGCACCGTAGTTGCTACCAACAACACCCGTGAAAGTACATTTCTTGCCAGCACTATTGGTCCAAGAGGCAGTGGCTGTTTGACCAACTTTGAGACATGTAATGGCTCGCTTCTCCAAAGTTGGCGAGGCGATGGAAAGGCTGGCAAGAACCAAGACAACAAGAGAGCCGAGCATGATGGGCAGATGATTGAGAACAAGATACTATACTAAAGACTTTCTTTACTAATTACCATTTCAAGCATACTTCTTTTATACAAAATTATAGTCACATCGCTAATTTTGGTAGTATATTCTGTCATCGGAGGTGTATCTTGTTCTGGAAAGTTGCGGAGATAATTTCGGAGAATCGCTTCTTGGCCATTGGCTCGATATGCGAATGTGACTATGATCGTCCCAACAAGAGCGCAACTTAAGCTTTTGTAGACCTGTTTCAAGTATTCAATGCCGTATATGGAACAATAGTAGCCATGTGTACCGGAGAAAAGCTCGGCATCCTTAGGAGCATCACGAGCCTTTGTCTAAACCCTTGGTATTTCGGATAGAGCTTGTCCGTGACCATAAACAGACTACCCCAGAGTACTCCAACTCAGCTGTCACTTGTTATTTGGTCCCCAGAGGGGCAGTGTATGGGTGCGGATATGCCTCTAGTCACATACGAAGCCGTTCCCTGGAGATCTTGACATATGCATAAGACATGTCTGGGACACGACATCAATTCGAGATCTTGGCTCCTGGTCAATCAAGTAAGGCCTAGACACCTCATCTATGACGTCTATGATCCTGAGATACCAAGATTGCGAGCCACGGGATCACGAACAAGCACCTATTGGCGCATCTCATTCGGACCCTGGCTATTGTCCCGACAGACATCCGAATTCTCAAGTGTGGAGACCATTGTTTGAGACAAGTCTAAAGTTACAGGCCCTCATGGAGCAATAGAACTTCTGACCTTCAGGCAAGGTGCCAAGTATACGTGGCCTGTTTTCCATCAAATACGTATCGGATTTAGCCGAGTCTTTCTGTCGAGTTCTCTTCTCTCCTAGATACCTTGATAGAGGAATCACTGGAATGATAATCTTTACTTCCTACGGGAGGACCCGCATCCGTGCCGTGCCGGCTCGCGTCGTCCAATACGTGGTCGTCCGGGGAGCCGGAGTGTTTTTGACTTCGAAGCTGAACTGAGATCTGTCTTGAAAAGTTGGTCGATCAATCAGCTTTTGGCAGATTATGGCTATTTACGGCAATGAGCTTGGTAAAGCTATGCTTTTCCGCATGAAAGTCTTAGATTAGCGAAGCAAGGGAGATGGCTGAGACGGGACAGAGATCCTATGGCACGAATTAAATTTTAGATCGACATAGTGCAGCTGAGGGGTTTGCTATCAGACCAACAGCGAGCCTTTCATATATTGACGGAAAACATGCCCATAGGCTCAAAATGGCGTCTCAAATACGCACTGCTGTTCTTCAAACTCAGAAACTTGTCCTTGAGACACGCAAACTCACACGTGCATCCAAGTGTTTGGAATCTGTATGGGTTTTGGTGATGGAATGGCGGGAGGTTGGCATCGAACCAACACCTTCTCTCTGTTTCATCTGAACCAACAGTCTTACATCCCCTCACTCAACTTATGCGTTGCCTGAGCTTTGAGTTCGTTGGACAGGATATTTGCCTGTAGATCTTGACGTTTTCAATGCATGTCATCCAAGACATCCTTTCATGGCACATCGATCCTCCGAGAATGATCGGACCTTGAGATATTCTCGGGGAAGCTGGTGGGAGCAACGTAGATAACTCGACATGTGATGAGTTTTGAAGTAGTATATATATCCCATCATATCCCCAGCTACTCAAATCGACTCAGTATCACTCAAATCATCTTTCATTCTACTCAATTACTACAACTCAACTACTATCCAATATGTCTATCCCCGGCAGATTCATGATCATTGTTGACGGAAAGCCCGTCGCCAATCCTCAAGACAACGGCGAGCCCATCATCCAAGCTCAGCCTGGCGACCCTGCTGCCATCTTTGAGCTTCGAGACGGTCGTCTGTTCTCTGGTGAGTGGGCTTTGGGCCGTCTCAACTTTGAGGACCGATCCATGATGCCCAAGCGTGTCTTATGGCGCAAGCGAGAGGCCGTCGAGGAGCTTCAGCCCGTTCAAGTCCAGGACTTTGATGGCCCCCCCGAGCTCAACTTCTCAGGTATGCATTATCACTTGTTGGCCTTAGCGTTTTGATATTCACAATTAGTAATAGGTGCCGGTCTGGCATTCATTGAGAACAAGCTTTATGCACCTATCATTCAAGGTACGCTTTTCTTTTCATTGCCTTCATAATGCATGAGGACTGACATTATTTTTGTAGGGGAGAACCAGCCTATGCAGATTCAGCTGTTGCCCTTCTAGGTAGTGTTGATTGATAAGTTTGTACAGGATATTCGTTTTCGAGAAACACGTCCTTTGAAATCAATAGACTTCAGCATCAATCCAATACTCAAGTTTACATTTTATCCTTCAAGATTGTGCTGTTTCGTTCATCCTTGTTACACCAACCTTGAAATGATTGAATCTCGGCTCATGGTCTGTACCAAAGCACATTCGTATTGGCCATGGGTCTTTATAGTGCTCCTGGGCCATAGTGAGACCCGCATACATTGCCATGAAACACGTTCCAGGTGCTTGTGATAGTCCCGGCTTTCCTGACATCGGACAAAGACTATCAGCCTCGATGCAGCCCTTGGATGTCACATACGACCATACCTATAGGAAAATACGGGATCCCGTCCGCTCTCCCATAGTCAAGCCTGTAAGGGGCGGATTAGTAGTTGGGTCGGTGACGACCAGCGAATCCCCGCTGTTGTATGTTCTTTTTGTAGTTCTTATCGTGATGGTGGATATGCTTTTGCCCCATCCAGGATGGCGCCAATGTCTTTGCTTGCCAGCATGTACATCTCACATCCCCACTTGTTCCGTATTCTTCGATCGCCAGACATTGACCGGCTGATACAACTAATGGAAGTAGAATTGATATGGAAGCTCTGGGCAAGGTAATTTGTAGCCCGACATTCATGTCCCTTTTTCTCCTCAGCCGTCCTTGATATTGACTGCTAAGAGTGCAGCAGTCTCAACAGTTGAGACTACTCCAAATCCTGCAAAGGGTAAGCTGCCGCTAACCTCAAAGGGTTCGGACTGCTACAGTCAGTAAGGGAACAGGAAACGCGTTTCTGCCACCGTCGTCGTTCTTTTGATTGTTCGCGACCTCACCAGCTTCTGTCTTTTGCCGCAATTGAGTCAAACAAGCAAGCATTGAATCAACCCTGGGTCTTGAGCGTCATGGCATCCGCATCTACCCAGCCGACAGCTACTGCGGCTCTCCAGCCCACCGTTGAGACAGTCCAACGCGTCCGCAACCCCGGCACCAAGTCGTGCATCTCAACCAGCACCGAGTTCCGTTGCAGCAGCGGCCATCCCGGGTGCTGACTTCCAAGTACCCACGTGGCTCCGCGATCAGATGAGATTATGGAAGATTCCGCCAACCCCTGTCCGGGCATGTGCATGGGTCCTCGAGGCTTTCGATCACTTCAACTCCAAGAGAGCGCTGCCAGATCATTTTCGCGGAATCCGACCTCAGCTACATCGAGCATGGTTGAGAGAGAACAAGAAACAGACCAATACAACTACCACCAAGCAAAGAAAATCAGAGGAACCCCCAACCAGCCTGCCGCCAAGAAAACGAAGGGGTCAGCGACAGTCAAGTCAGAGAACTCGCAAGTTGCAATGCCACCTCCAAAGCCACTGGGAAACTTGAAAGGAAAGTACGCCATCGAAACATTTTATGCCTGCTGCGATGACGAGTCTCAACGGAACCACGACGAGTTCTGCAGTATACTCCTCTCCCCAGGAGACGGTGAGGCGCTGCGAGGTTATCTCACTTTGGGCCGAATTAATTACACTGCACTCATGCTTTTCGATAAATGTCTAACAGAACCTTCGACGCGCAAGGTACCATTCAGGTGGCGCGGCAGGAGAATGTTCAACAAGTTCAAAATGTTCCGAGGTGACAAAAACTACGGCTGGGCGAAATTTATTGGAGATGGCAAGATCGAGGTTTCTTTTCAAGCTGAAACTCGAGCTCGTGGCGCAGAAAGGTCGGAGTATTGGTGAAAGGGGCAAGCATAACGTAGCAGCGTTTTGGGACGACTGGCACGAGTTGGATGCGGAAAGCCTGGACTTGCTTGATATTGACAGACTGATACCACCTGATTGGTAGTCATTTCTTGCTGTTGAAGTAGGCTCGGCTTCCTTGTTTAGTCGCCGCTCGTACTCTTAGCCGTTCGAACAGCTTTTGATTGATCAAGAATGCAAACTGCAAAAGCTTAAGGGAAGACTGTCCAGTACAGCCTTGTAGTCTCCTGTTGAGAAGCGGTATAGGTCCTATTATTCTATTCCCTAAATAAGGGAAGCTTCTGTTTCTGGGGCAGTGGCATAGCGGTCTTATCGTCACATCTTCTCTTCTGGATATCGTATGATACTTTTTACCGGGCAGGATGAGGCTCACCTCCACTCCAATTAAGCACTAACGCCAATCGAGAGCATGCATTTCTCGTGGAGACTCATAACGGACGGTCAGCAAAGCTACACAGTTCTTGTCTACTAATCTTCCTGTTTGTCCCATAAGCCATTTGCTTCTGAAAGTCTCCAGCTTCCGAACAAGTGCATGAGGTTGAGACTGCGGAGCTAGCTTCTTATGCACTTGCGGGATATACGTATATAGCCTATATTGATACGCTATTTGCCTATAATTGAGCAAAAATGCTTCATATCGCCCGCGTATATCTCCTCAAAGCACTTTCCATTCTGATTCAATTACCATGACTGGTTTAAGATACGACCCTGAATACCTCGAGGCTCTGGGGCCTGTTACCAAGGAACCAAAGCCCGAGCCATCGAAATCAGTTTTTGAGATCAGGAAGAGCACTGAGGATGTCATCCGGCGAGTCGTCACTACTTCGCCATATCCCGATGGCGTGAAAGAGACTGTGTACAAAGTCGAAAGTTACGATGGAGTCGAAATTGAAGTCACCCGCTTTGCTTCCGAGGAGACGTTGGCTTCGGACAAGCCAACACCCGCTGTGATGTACTTTCACGGTGGTGGTTATGTCTCTTGTTACGTGGAGCTATTTGCGCCTCAAATCGCCCGTTTCGCAAACGACTCAAAGCTTCCATACTTTGCGGTATCCTATCGGCTGGCGCCGGAGCATCCTGCTCCTGCTGGGGTCGAAGACGCATATGCGGCTCTTGAATTTGTGTCAAAGTCTGCGGCGGATCTCAATATCGACCCTACCAAGATCGCGCTGCACGGTGACAGCGCTGGTGGAGGACTCGCCGCGGGTCTTGCTTTGATGGCGAGAGACAGGCAGCTAAGCCCTCCGATCGCGAAGCAACTGCTTGTCTATCCAATGCTAGATGACCGAGACCATGTTGAGAAAGATGATCCAATCCTGGATCTTATGGTCTGGAAACCTGATGGTGCGAAGCTTGCATGGGACGTGTACGCCTCTAAGGTTCGAGAGAAGGATGATCCGCAAACCTTATCTTACGCAATTCCAGCTCGGGCTGTGACGCTGCGAGGCCTGCCTTCCACCTATATCGACGTGGGATGTCTCGATCTGTTTAGGGATGAGGACCTGGAGTATGCGAAGAGATTAGCTAACGCGCATGTTGAGGTTGAGTTTCATCTTTGGCCGGGGCTCCCTCACGGGTTCGATGGGATGAGAGATATCAGCTGGTTTGCGAGGTGCCAGGAGAGTCGCATAAGTGCGCTGAAAAGGATGTGATACTCAGTTTATGTATCACTGGGATTATTTGCTAGTGAAGACGTACCTTGAGATAGTCATTATGTGTGATGTGAACTGCCACAAATGGAACACTGTTGAAGAGCATAAATCCAATACCGAGCCACTGTAGTAGACCGATAGCATTCTTGGGATCACAATAGCCACACCTGGGGGTATCAGGTAGTTGCACAGCATGCTGAAGGATGCAAGGCTTGGTGGCTCATGAAGCCCAATCCGTCCTTGACGTTACCATGTGTACCTGCAGCTGCCTTCATATGGAGATGATCTGTTGCAAGACAACGTGTCAGTTGATTAAGCTTAGATCTCGCTGGCGGATGATCTCGATAGAGGATACTTACACCGTAAGGCGTATTGTCGATCATGGTGCTTTCTGGGCGCATCGGACGACGACCATCTTGACCATCACAGCTGCAGCGGATCAGTCCAACAACGAGCTCCGAGGCAGCCAAGAAAGCCACTGAGAAATTTTCGTGCACTCACCAGTTGTCTCCCGGTTGTCTGGCATCGAAAGAGGTCATCACATGGAATGGCGGCAATTCGGGCTCTGAATTGGTCAATCAGTCAAGGTATGAGACGATCGCATTGGTCGGGATGCAATGTGTTGACCAACAAGGCTAATAGGCCCGATGCACGTAAAATGACACTTCAACTACCAGAGCCGCGTCAATAGAAATGCGGGTGAGTGTGGAGAAAACATGGAGTATATGTCATCAGACGCAATAAACTCTCGTCTAAGAATTGACATTGCAACGCTACCATCTCATGGCGAAATTCCCATTGACGCGTTTTATTCTCCGGCTGATCCATCGTACCCCTCAGTTCAATTCATCGGTGAAGAGCACCACCGAGCCCCAGACTTTTTGATCGACACGTTCGGGAGTGAGAGCCGTGGGGGAGCTATGTCATGTCATGTAATGCGGGTCATTTGTGGCCGAGATGTTTTTTTTGGTGGTATTGAATGCGCGTATATAAGTTCTGGGTGATGCTGTGCACGCGAGCTTGAGGTTGATCGGCATAGCAAGTCACGATGAAGTTGCTTTCGCTTTCAACTGTCGGGCTGCTTGCCTTGGCTGGTTTGTCGATTGGACAAGAGACAAAGGATGTGCCAATTCAAGACAATGGACTCACAAACATCGTTGAATGGTAATGGACTCGATTGCCGCCTTGAAGCCCCCCCATCTAACAAACAACCCAGGGACGACCATAGTTACCTCATCAATGGCGAGAGAATCTTTGTCTTCTCTGGAGAGTTCCATTACTGGCGTCTGCCTGTGTACGCTTCACCTCCTCCGTCAACCAAGCACGAATCTAACATTTGTCAGACCCGAACTTTGGCGCGACTTGCTAGAAAAGATCAAAGCCGCCGGCTTCACAGCCTTCAGCATCTACAACAGCTGGGGCTACCACGAAGCGACCCCAGGCGTCCTCGACTTCGAAAATGGCGCCCACGATTTCGTGTCGATCATGACCCTTGCCAAAGAGCTCGGCCTCTATCTCCTGATCCGTCCTGGTCCCTACGTCAATGCCGAGGCTAACGCCGGAGGCTTTCCTCTGTGGGTCACGACCGGAGAGTACGGCAAGCTTCGAAACGATGATCCTAGATACACTAAGGCTTGGTCTAAGTATTGGACTGAGATTTCCAAGATTATTGAGCCACATCTCATTACCAATGGCGGCAATGTTGCCATGTTCCAGGTATGGCTGCAGCGTTGACAATGGTGGAGGAAGCTGACGAGTGTAGATTGAGAACGAGTTAGGCGGCCAGTGGAAGAATGACGACAAGAGAATCTTGAACGAGCCTACCGCCAACTACATGCAACTTCTCAAGGAGTCCGCCAGAAAGGCCGGCATCGATGTTCCTGTGTTCCACAACGCGCCCAACACTGTGAGTTCTACCTCTCCAAATATGAAGTGTGGATAGAATATTAACAGATCCGCAGCGTACATTTTCTTGGTCCAATGACTTCGAGCGCAATGCAACCGGCAACGTCGATGTCACTGGTGTCGACAGCTACCCCTCCTGCTGGAGCTGCAACCTCGACGAATGCACCGGCACCAACGGCGAGTACGTCCCTTACAACATCCAAGACTATGTCACCTACTTCAATAAGCAATCTCCCCGTCAACCTCACTTCTTGCCTGAGTTCCAGGGCGGTTCCTACAACCCATGGGGCGGTCCAGAGGGTGGATGCCCTGGCGATATCGGCCCTGACTTTGCCAACATTTTCTACCGTGACTTGCTCGCACAGCAAGCCACCGCCATTTCTCTGTACATGATGTACGGAGGCACAAACTGGGGTTGGTTCGCTTGCCCTGTTGTTGCAACTAGCTACGATTACTCTTCGCCTATCTCTGAGAACCGTGCTATCTGGGATAAGTACTACGAGACCAAGTCGCTGACTCTCTTCACGCGGGTTGCGCACGATCTTACCAAAACCATCCGAGTCACCAACAGTACTTCCCTTTCTACGAACGATGCCATCTTGATATCCGAGCTTCGACATGAAGAGAACGATGCTGCTTTCTACGTTGCCCGACACGATCACTCACCTTCCGGTACCAAAGAGACCTTCAAGCTTCATGTTAAGACCTCGGAGGGCAAGCGTATGTTTCGATATTCTTCCTTATTCCTCAACTACTGACAACTTCTAGTCACCATCCCCCAGAACGAGGGCTCAATTACCATTAACGGCCATCAGTCCAAGGTCATCCCAACTGACTTCCACTTCGGCAAGAAGACACTCCTCTACTCGACGGCCGAGGTCCTCACCTACTCCATCATCGACAACAAGGAGGTCATTGTCCTCTGGCTTCCTGAGGGCGAGCAAGGAGAGTTCACTCTCAAGGGACACACCGAGCTCAAGCACGACAAGTCTCTGAAGGGCATTAAGGTCAAGGCTGGCAAGAAGAGCGTTACTGTCAACTACACTCAGCAGAAGGGTCTTTTCACTCTCAACCTGAAGGATGGCTCCACCATTGTTCTGGCTGATCGAAAGACTGCTTACAAGTTCTGGGCTCCTACACTGGATAACAACCCTTTTGCGCCTGTCAATAAGACTGGTGAGTTCTACTGATGGCACTGGTTAGAAGGGTATTGATTTTTATAGTTCTGATTCACGGCCCCTACCTCGTCCGCCACGCCACCATCAAGAACGGACAACTCAACATCCAGGGCGACCTCGACAGCGCCACCGAAATCACTGTCTTTGCTCCCGAGTCTCTCAAGTCCATCGCCTGGAACGGTGAGAAGGTCAAGGTTTCGTCCAAAGAAGGCCACAAGTACACCATCAAGCTCAAGGGACCTTCAAAGGTCACGTTGCCCAAGCTTGAGTCCTGGAAGTTTGCCGACAGCTTGCCCGAAATCAAGACCGACTACAAGACTTCATCCTCGGCCTGGGTTGGTACGTAGTACAGGGGCGCCTGTAATGACTTGATGTACTGACCTTGAATAGTTGCCGATAAGAAGAACACCACCAACGCGGTCCTCGTCCCCGATCTGAAGAACCCCGTGCTCTACGTCGATGAGTACAAGATCCACTACGGAAACCACATTTACAGAGCTACTTTCCCCACCACTAGCTCTGCCCCTACCGGTGTTTATCTGAACCTCACTGGTGGCATGGCCTTTGGCTACTCCGTCTGGCTGAACTCGGATTATATCGGCTCTTACCTCGGTGAAGCTACCACTGGCCATGCAGGTCAAGAGTTCTCCTTCAAGAACGCCACTCTGTCGAAGAAGGAGAACGTTCTGGTGGTTCTGATGGATAACTCTGGCCACGATCTACGTGATGGCGCTCTTGACCCTCGAGGTATCACCAACGCTACTCTCATTGGCCCTGCCAAGGGCGGTTATAAGTTCTCTGAGTGGAAGATTGCTGGTCATGCTGGAAGCGTTGAAGGCGAGGTCATCGATCCCATCCGCGGCCCCCTCAACGAAGGTGGTCTCTACGCTGAGCGTATCGGCGCTCACTTGCCTGGCTTCTCCGACAAGAAGTGGAAGTCTTACTCCTCTAAACAGGGAACTCTCGTCAACCCTTCGGCTGGAGTCCGTGCCTACAGAACGACCGTTGATCTTGATATTCCCGATGGCCTAGACGTCGGTGTCTCGTTCAAGCTTACAGCGCCTTCCAACATAACCTTCTCCGCCACCAAGAAGGACTACAGCAACCAAGTCAGAGTTCTTCTGTTTGTCAACGGCTACCAGTATGGACGATTCAACCCATACATCGGCAACCAGATATCCTTCCCCGTTCCTCCTGGTGTTCTGAACTACAATGGAGAAAACACCATCGCTGTTACGGTCTGGAGTCAGAGCGCTCAGGGTGGTGAGGTCAAGGTCGAGTGGGAGGTTGACTATGCCCATACATCCAGCTTCGATGTCAAGTTTGACAGCAAGTATCTCCGCCCGGATTGGACCAAAGAGAGACTGCAGTACGCTTAGGAAATTAGTAGAGTTACGTGTTACGAAGTGGTGTTTGAGAGTTAAACATGTTAGTTATTAAGACATTAGTCATGTTCGCTAGACCAAAATTTAGTGAAGCTCGGTTGGCTTCACGAAGACCCAGTTCTTGTCAGCTGTAACCGGTAGTCCTTCCTTCTTCTGAGCAATTGTGTTGTTCTTGATCATGCCGTCAATCTGCTCTCTGTAAGCAGGCTTACGATCAACCCAAAGGTGAATACCGCCACGCGCAACATCAACACCCTGGAAAATCATGGGACCGTCACTATCAGGAGTATCACCACCAGCAAGAATAGGCCTGTTCCACTCATCGATGTAGGTGAGAATAGCAGCCCACTTTCCAGACTTCCAAGTAGCTGGGGCCCAGAGCCAGGGAGTCATCTCAGCATCAAGGTTCTGCTTCTGTGTCTTTTGAGTGTAGACACCATCCTCAATCTGTTTGCGAGCAGTAGTGATCTCGCCCTTCTTGGTCTTGAGGAAGAGAGATACACCGATGACGTTCTGGGGAGGGACGTTGTAGCCGTATTTGGGATCGCTAGCAACCATGCGGACAAGCTCTTCGGAAGCAGCGCTGACAACGTAGACCTTAATGCCGTTGGCCATGAGGCGGTTGTACAGCTCGACCTGGCCCTCGAAGATCTTGGGAGGGGAGACTTCGGTGGCTGTAACCTTGTCGTCCTCAAAATAAGTGGTGGGAATGGTCTTGTTGTAGGCCATCAGCTCATCGACGTAGCCCTTGAGCTCACCAAGAGGGAATCCGCTGAAGATTTGCGCGGCCCAAGGATAGCAGACAGCATCCTCGATTTCGCAGAGGCGCAAGTAGTAGCTGTACAACGACTCCTTGTGCTTCTTGGTGTCCTTGAAAGGGACCAGCTTAAGAGCAGGGTCCATGGTCTCTCGTGTAAGAACACCCTTGTTCTCAAGGTAAGGAAGAAGCGATTCCTCCAGATCAAATTGATAGCTGGTGTTGTCCATGTCGAAGACAGCATAGCGACCATTGTTGGCATTGCGAGCAATCATCTTGTTGAGAGCTTTGGCAGCTTGGGCAGGCCAATGCTTGAGCTCGGGACCCTTGAGACCATAGTTGCCATTGGAGGGAGCGGCAACGGAGGGAGTGCTTAGGCTTGTCAGCCAAAGGGCATTGACAACGAGATTGATGCTGGGTCTCATGGTGAAAAGGCTTGAGGTGAGGTGAGGAGTGAAAAGCGTGAGGAACCTACTTTTCAGCTTCAACTTGGGATGGGATTCACAGAGTAATTAAAGAAGTCAATGGCCTTCAAGGTTTAGCGGCCCGACAATTATTCCATACGAAGTCACTGATAGTGTTGCAAGAGGTAATATCCGGTGGTTGGTCTAAATGGACGATCTTGGACTATTTGGTCACGCTACCCCGCTTACACGTTTATTGAGGGGTTTTAGTCGCTGTCAAGATAACGGCGACATGAGCTTGTTTCTGTTCGACGAAGGTCTCGATTATTTAATGTCGCAGACTGTCTCGTCAATCTAATACTATTAAGGCTTCTATTCGACATCAGATCGATCTAAACCATGCCCATATCTCGCAGCTGAAGGTGGTGATGTCAGCCACTTTCCTGTCTAGGCCAAGTTTCCAAGAGCAGGGGAGGGTTGTACAGTTCAATAAACGGTCAAGATCTGCGTCATTGACACGAGGAACAAGAACGGCACTCGGCATTAGTTCAAGGCTCCAAGCCAAGAACCCTTTTACTCCAATGATGTAACGTTGAAAGGGGTCCCAGGGCGTTTTCTAAACCACTAACGGGCAGCTAACAGGGGGTTCAAGGTTTAAGCTTGCCAGCATCGGGCTCCGAATTCTGCTTATCGCAGGGAGAAATACTTGGAATTAAATTGCGTTCAATTGGCAGGACGGGGCGCCAATGATTGGGTACAAGGGTTCCTAGCTGCGTCTGTACTGTATTTCTCCATTTTGTTGAATTGACCCTGATTTGCAGAACCCTTTGGTGATTTCTTCGGCGAAGGCGATGGCGATGGCTTTTTATTGACTGATTCGACTCCGATGACCTCCAAGAATTCCTCGAATTCGGCTTGGGGAATCATTCCGCCGCTTGCGTTCTTGTGACCAACAGCGAACCTAGGTCCCAATCGCTCTCTCAGCGTTTTGTCGTCTGCTCGATCTGCTGCTTGAACAAGAATTTCTGGGATGTTGACGGGAGGATCTCTGCCCCTGGCACACGTTGGAACGCGACACGAATAATTGACAACGCCTCGCGCGTAACCTTCATTCGCTACCATCACAACCTGGAGTTCTCTTGAAAACAATTCACGAGCTTGACGTGTTGCAATGACAGCATGAATCTGTGCTTTCGAGTTGATGCGGATTACTGCGATTTTTTTATCTGCAGAAAACTTGGGCACCACGCGACCGGCCCTCTTCATTTCAAATATCACTTGAGCCCTTGCTTCCTTTAAAAACCTATTCTTGACAAGGTCTCTGGGTGATGAGGCCTCGATCAATGTTTTCCAAGCTCTGGGGACGTCGTAGGCTGCGGTTCGGCGAGGAGCATTGATGAACATTGCGCTACTATTTATCGACCTTCTAGTATGCGTCTTAAACGTCGCTTCCATGTTCGGAAATGGCGAGCGCTATCTGATTGCATTGCCCAGATCGCCATGTGTTCCCATGACACATAACCAGCCGCATGCTTCCTCGACCCCTTCTTGTAAGTCGCGGCAGATGAGATAAGTCAGCAACGAGCTTGTAGCTATCGGTGGACATTTGTTCGCCGTCACTAATATCGCGCCCTCGGGGTGATCGTCATTCTCTGCGATATGGTGGTCAATGACTAACGCGCGATGGGGTGAGTCGATTACAGGCTCTGATTTCCATGAGCCTTGGTCGAGGACAATGATGTAAGATGGCTTGTAAGCTTCCATGTTTGTACGAGAATCCCTATAGTTTAGAGAGCTGTTTTTGTTCATCGTGTAGCCCGATATCAACTTGGGGTCAAGGCCGAGCAAGATGAGAGTTTTTCTTATGATGGCTCCAGCAGCAAGGCCATCAGCGTCTTTATCAGGGACGATAAGAGTCCGTTTACTAGCGGCGGCACTATAGGATGATTAGTTGAAGTTCCCTTTAGACAAATTATGTCCTTCTCATCCAGACGATTGGCATGGGCACAAGTAGGGGCAGCTGACCATTCACGAATAAAATCCTTTGCTTTCTCAATCTGACTCTTGGGGGCAGGCCATATCATCTTTCCATCCTGATCCCTCCGCGGTTGAGCTTTGTGATAATCCTCTTCAGGAAATATCGGCTTCGCACCGCGATACTGAAACTTCTTTTGGGCCACAATTGAGCCTTGAAATTGACGTACGATTGTGAGGGATGGCCCATTTTTGCGAGCGATAGGTAATACGGATCTTTGTGCATTCAAAGTCTTTGTGACAGACGGAGTTGATGTGAGGCGACGCATGGTTGCGGTAATGAGATAAAAGCCCCAAGCATATTGACATGGTTAATTGGAGTCATGAAAAAACGAAAAAAACGTGGCGTGCAGCACACAGCCACGATTATTCGCCACATATCATGCTTTAGGGTATTGCTCTTCTGTTTACCAACTAACAACCGCGATCGAACGCCGTCAAATATTGATATTATTATGGATATATGTAAAATACTACGCCACCCCATGCACATTGGAGCGGCGATGGGGCGCATGGGGTATCCTCAGCCGAAGGCCGTGTGTCCGCGGGCCGGGAAGCTATTACTATTACTGCATTATCTACGTACTGATCCAGTGCCATGGCCATTCTTGGTATTATATATCATGTAAGGACTCCGTGTAAGAACCTGTCGTTTCCTAAGCTCCTGATCCCTCATCTTCATCTTCATGCCA